CAGGGGCAGGTTCAAGTATGGGGTAGAGCCTCTGACAAGAATCCGGACTCTATGGCCCATCGTCTCTGGTATTGTTGGCTCTATGGTGGTTGGAGTGTTCTTGATTGGGTGAATAAACCCCGAGGCCAACACGAACCCTTGGTTGCGATGACGACGATGTGCTGCCGTGTAGCGTCTGTTTGTTTGTTTGTTCGTGCTCAGGTGTTCAACTTATCGTCCCAACAATGTTTTCTTAGTCTGCAGGTGAGCATCATGGCGAAATGGCAGCCGTCGTGCATTGGTGTCAAGACGTCGCAGCCAGGGGCTCAGGCAACGTAAAGAGAAACAGAGTAGCTGCATAGAAGAACAGCAGAAGCGGGAGCGGATGACAAGGACGAAACTCGTCCAAGATTGCGGTGTATTCTTCCTTGGTACGAATGCTGAGTAGAGTGTAAGGAGTGAGCAATCAAGGTTCAAGGCCCAAGCTGAAAAGGATAAGGCCGGCGACACAACGAGGGTCGGCGCGGGACGCTTGTATCAGCGGTGGTGATGGTGTGGGCTTCTCAGGAAATGGAGTGAAAAGCCAATCGCAGTCATCGTAGATGCGTAGACAGGCCAGAGTCCCCTTGCGAGAAATGAGCAGACGGTCAGCCTCAGTGTCAGCCTCTCCATGTAACAGATTGGAAGCCTCGCTCCCGGCGATGGAGGAGGTGAAACCTATTCAGCCTGGCCTAGATTGCCGAGTATGGTGTGGTGTTCCAGTGGCTACTCCTGTTTCCGAGGAGCAAGTTGTGTTTGACTATGGATGCGGTATGTTGCAACGGCCAGATCGTTAGTATGTGTTGGGTGCAAATCCTACACGGCAAGTGGTGTCGTGCGGTCCTAATGTACTGCGGTAGCTTATGCGGTGCAAAGCAAAGGTGTACCATAGTACATGGTCGCAGTAGGTGACCTGTAGAAAATGTCACCAACGTTCATGCCAAGTCGAGGCTGAATCTGAGGTGAGGTGAGATAATGCATGCGATGTGATGCTGTGGAGGTAACACTTGAAGGCTGACTGCCCGAGGTGAGGTGAGATATTGGGTTATCCATACAACCAAAGGGAAGGGACTGAGCCGGTAGAAACCCGGAGGCGGAGGAGGGTTCCTTCCTTATCGGGTCCGCGGGCATTTGCGGGTCGAACGTGGAACACTGAATTTTGGCGGGACGGAAACTTCGGGCCAGAACAGCGAACAGCGGCGGGCCTGGAGGAAACCGCAAACGGAAGCATCGGGTGTCTGTTTCTGCCTGAGTAATGGAAATGAATTGGTAGACGGAAAAGGTCCCCAGCGTCGATGGAAAGCCGGGATCGCGACTTCCACAAGATCGTGGAAGTCACGATTATTCGTCGATTTGTACCTCCACTCGGCCGGAGAGTGTGGCAGGTACATCTCATATTGACCCACAAAACGTGGAAACCCCTCCACCAGGCCCAGTGTCGTCCGTTCCTGCCCCTCACCCTCAGTAAAGCAAGCGCAAAGGCAAAAAAAAAAAAGTCACCGTCACTTCCTGACGATAAAGAACGGAAGGAAGAAACACTCGAAGAAAGGACCCCACCTGGAAACACAACGCTGGGTCCGGTGGAGGTATTTTCTGCCCTACAGAACGTGGAGAAGTACAAGTTCTAGAGCTTTCCAGATGTCTCTCCTCCAAAACCACAACCTGCTGAGCTGAGTGTGGCCAAAAATCGAAGCATCGTGAACTGGAATTTCCATCGGACACTCCGCCGACGCAATCGGCATCATCACGGATTTGCAGTATCCATACCTTCCCTAGGTACCTTACGCATCAGCATCAGAACATGGAGAGCATCCAACACCTGGCAGAGAATATTTCGCTTTTCGCCTAACCGCGCGGGGCGAACGGCAATGGCAAAAATCCCATCAACAATGGTCAAATCAACGCTATCGAATCAAGCACGGAATCCCTCTGTCTCATCGCCTATTGTCTCGTCTGTCATGAACTTGCAGCAAAATGCACCCTTCCTGCAGCTGTTCCTCGGCGAACAGGGCCACAAACAGCAAGAGGGGCAACTCCGCTAACGACTTGACTGTCGTGTCTGCCTCTCGTCCGCAGTGTCGCTTTCACCACTCCAGTCTCCCGACCTCCAGCATCGTCGGCGCAATCATCCACTACTATGGTATCGCCAGCCAATCGTCACTCCAGAAACATACTCGAGAGGCAGCCCAGCCGAACTTCATCCAGACCGACCGCCCGTACGCGTACCCATGTCGTCTTATCAATAATCAACCACTGGTCCGGTCCAATGAGCCACAACCCACCAGCTCCAACCCGCACCATATCTCAGGGATATCCGTAGTGTACGGATTGGGAGATTCTGGCCCAGCGAAACCTTGTTTTCCAACCGTCCACTCAGCGTCTGTCCGAATCTCCGCTGCAGCACGCCCGTCTCGTCACCGTCGGCGTCAACAACTTCTCGAGTGGCGCCATCTCGCCCTCTCCACGAATCACACCACGGTTTTTGCGACCGCCATCCCTGCCATGGGCGATGACAAGCCGACAAGCCTGACCACAGCCGCCGCCGTAATCTTCTCGGTACTCAGAACAGCCTCCTTCGCGGTAATCCGTCCCGTTTCATGGCTGAAATCTGAACTGCAACCACCATCGACACGCCAGAAAACCAGGGGCCCGAAGCCGAAGGAGGGGCAAGGCTCCTTTCTGGACCTCAAGCAAGGCGACGCCGAACAGAATGAGGGGCATTCCGCCAAATCCATCGACGAGGGGCTGCAATGCCGTGATTCCATGTCCATGATCCATGTGATGCCATCGCAAAAGACGCGGCCCCGTCCAAGCCTCGATCGATCAACTATGGCTTTTCTTCATCAAACTCTCTGACAAGTTTGCGCTTGATTGACGGAACGGGCGTGGCATCGCATGGTCCACGACCTATTTTCCCGCCCGAGTTGCAGGCTGGCCCCTTCAATAATTGCCGCATTTACACCATCGTCATGTACACGATACAGCCGCCGCAAGACGCAATTGGGTAATGCAGCCACGGCTTCCGGTTTCTTTTGCTCCTCGGCCCTTTCGGCGGGCCGTCTACCCATCCATTGTGAAGCGACGCAGGGAGATTCAGGAACAGCCCACGAAAGCACCAGTCCCTGGACTCCCATAGCGCGACCTATTGGTGACTGGCCGCTGATTTACGATTGCGATTGATTTGCGATCCGATGCCACGATAACGCACAAAAATTCCTCTGCCACGGCCAGTCGCCAGCTGCGCCGAACCTCCTTCTCGAGCCAACGTCGATATTGCTTGACACACACATCGCTCGCGTCGTACAAGTCCACGCACAAGACTTCAAGCTCGCCTGGAGTTTGCGGCTACCCCAAGTACCTACTGTCGTTGCGGCCCAGGCCGCCACATGTTCCATGTCACGGTTCTGTTCAGGGTCCTCGTGGTTCCAGGCCGGACGGAACCGGCATCGCCTTCATCCATCCACAAGCACCCGAGCCGTAACAAGCCCTGGGGAAGAGGGGCTTGGACTCTTCGGAGCGGGCGTGCGGGACATCCTTTCAGCGAAGGACAGCACCATCCCGTGTACAGGCAGGCAACAGGGCAGGCAGGCATCAAGAGTGTGTACAGTGGTTGAAGGACAAATGTTCAGCAGAGCATCGATGTCTCGGCTGGTCTATTTTGAAGCGATAGCGCGGGCATGCTGGAGGATATGTGGTGTGCCACACCATCCAGCGCTCACACTCACTTTCAAGCACACCAGCCGCTAGAGCACTCAGCACATGCTACGCTCGTGATTGCCCAAGGATGACCCTTTCAGACCTCCCTCGCCTCTCTGTGTTGCCATTGTTGTCACTCTGGCCCGAATCCAGTGGAACCACTGTTTTCTGACGGGCATGAAGATGGAAGAGATCCCACCATCCAAAGCAACGGGAATCAAAAGGGAGCAGAAGGAGAGATGGCGGCGGCAGCAGCCTGAAGCTGCTCCGGGCCTCACATGCCCTGGCCAAGCAGTCCAGGTCCGCTGTTCTCCCGCACCGTTTGTTCGCCAGGGCATCAATATGCAAATGCAATCACCAACGACAGGACAAAGGGACTCGACGAATGCCAATGACGAACCGACGACGTCCTTTCCCTTTGGTCGGTTCCCATTGTGCCTCATCCACATCCCCATTCATCCACCTCCATCCCAACTCGACCTAACGGAGGAACTGCACCCCTCCTTTTCGCGCAGTGGTTTTCCTGCTGACACCCCCTCCCCTCAGTGGAGCAAGTAGGCTGTACTAGCTGTTGTACCTGGTACGGATACTCCTTGACGAAATGCTACATTTTCGTTGGCTCTTCTGCGCAGTAAGGGCCGCAGTCGTGAGCTAATTCAACGCCGGTCCGTTTCAATGAAGCGGAGACTCGCAGACAAGGTGACGGGATGAAGAGTGAGCAGGACGCCGTCTATTCGCGCAGGAGGCAGGAAATAAGTGGGAATGATGGCATGGCTGGGGATGCTGCGGCGTTATGTCATTGCACTGGGGGCGGGCCAGTCCTTGACACACGGAGGCGTCTGCCTCAGAATGAGGAGTCTCCCGGGATGCCTCAAGTGAGAAGAGATACGTATCGTCATTTACACCGTGACTTCACTACGTAGGAGGTGGGGGGGGGGGGTGCTTGTCACCACGACGTATCGCATGGATCCCCCCTCCTGTGCGTCCAGGCCCCTCACGCTTTCCACTTCGAGCCGATGCCCCCACTGTAAGTGAGCCTTTCACACGTCAAGGCAATCCCATGGCAGGCACTTGCTTTCGATTACATCGTGGTGCCCTTCGTGAAGGCGAAGTAGTCCAAAATATAAGATAACACCGATTCCCCCAACTTCATCTTTTCGTCCCAGATCATCATCACATCCAAATTCCATCTACACACTACAGCTTCAAATTGACCTCTCCACAACACAACTTCATCCTCATTCAAACACATCTCTTACTATCACAACCCTACAACCATACTCAAAATGTCATCAACAACACAAACCAAGAAAGCCGTCCACTTCGGCGCCGGAAACATCGGCCGTGGATTCGTTGCCTGCTTCCTTCACAACTCCGGCTACGAGGTCATCTTTGCCGATGTCGCCGACGCTCTTATCGACAAGCTCAACGAGACTCCCTCTTACCGTGTCATTGAGGTTGGCGCCGAGGGCACCAACGAGAACGTCATCACAAACTACCGCGCAATCAACTCAAAAACGCACGAGGCTGATCTCGTTGAGGAGATTGCTACTGCCGATGTTGTCACCTGCTCTGTCGGCCCGAACATCCTGAAGTTCATTGCCCCTGTCATCGCTAAGGGTATTGACAAGCGACCCAGCGACTTGGCTCCCATCGCTGTCATCGCCTGCGAGAACGCTATTGGAGCTACCGACACCCTCGCCGAGCACATCAAGGACCCCAGAAACACTGCCCCCCACCGCCTGGAAAACTACAATGAGCGTGCCCGCTTCGCCAACTCAGCTATCGATCGTATTGTTCCCGCCCAGGACCCCAACGCTGGTCTGGACGTTACGCTTGAGAAGTTCTACGAGTGGGTTGTCGACCGCACTCCCTTTGACCAAATCCCCAGCATTGAGGGCATCAACTGGGTCGATGAGCTTGCTCCCTTCATCGAGCGCAAGTTGTACACCGTCAACACTGGTCACGCCACTGCAGCTTACCACGGATACAACCGCAGCAAGCGTACGGTGTACGACGCTCTCCAGGACAAGGCCATCATGGCTGAAGTCCGCAAGGCTCTCGAGGAGACTAGCAACTTGATCATCAGCAAGCACGGTATTGATGAGAAGGCTCAACGCGAGTATGCCGCCAAGATCATTCGCCGCATCGGCAACCCTCACCTCGAGGATGCCGTCGAGCGTGTCGGCCGTGCTCCCCTCCGCAAGCTCAGCCGCAAGGAGCGTTTTGTCGGCCCCGCTGCCGAGCTTGCCGAGAAGGGACAGGACTGCTCCGCCCTGCTCCGTGCCGCCGAGATGGCCTTCCGCTTCCAAGAAGTTGAGGGTGATGACGAGAGCAAGGAGCTTGCCCAGATTATGTCTGAGAACGGCCCTGAGGATGTTGTCACCAAGATCTGCGGCATTCAGTCCACGGAGAAGATCCACCCCATGTTAGTTGAAGTGGTCCGCAGAGTTCAGGCCGACAGCGAGGAATGACTACAAGGTCCCCGACTGTAAACACATTATGATTAATGGGTTTTGGATTCTTTGGAGTTGAGCATACATCACGGTTACAGGCGAGGCGTTGGGGATAAGGACTCAGCATCTTTGGGCGCATTAGTATTTCTTACTGCCTTCCACCCTTTGGTGGTCGACGAAGACATAGGTCACGAGCCACTTCGCATTATCAATGCGACGAATGGCAAATATGAATATTTACAGACTTTAAACTGAAAAATCTTATGATCAAGCTGTGATACCAGGTGATTTAGGTGACAACGACTAGCTGAGGATTAAACACTCAAGTTATTGTCTATGCTGCTGAAAATTGCATCATATATCTCCCTGAATTCTCCCACATGATGGGAATAATGAGACTAACTTATAACCTTCTTCTTGTTCTTTTTTTTCTCTTCTTTTTAAACGTGTACTGGCAACTCGACCGCAGAAGATAGTTCATTATGTGACACCAGTTGAAGCTATCGATAGGACAGATGTATGAACATTGATGGGAACTAAGCCGACACCGAAAATGACAGGTGTTGACAGTGGCGCCAGCGGTGTGCGTGGCTGATTCTTGAGGTCTGGAAGGGGGCGTGGCTGGTGGATTTGTGCCTTAGGCAAAAGCCACATCTGTCAGGCACGAACTAGCTCCTGAACTCGCGGTAGGGACACAGTTGAAGCTCGAAATACCGATCTAGCCAAAATTATTGCGACTGCTTCAGCTCTGGAAGCCATCAATTCCCACGACACCCGCTCTCGAGGCTCCCCGAACCATCCCCGCGACCGGCTTCCAGCGGCCTATCCTAATACACCCACTGATACACCGGAATTGCTGGAAAGCGCGACACATGAACCTTCCTTGAGAGTCGTCACCAGCGCCGAATATCACCCCCACTTGGCTTCTCGAGGACACCATCACCTTTCTCCTCCTCCCTTGCTGGCACTCGCATAGGTGTTCACCATGAAGGTTGACGTGAAGGTATGACCCATCTGGACTTCGCCCCGGAAGCTTTCTGCATTGTTTGGAGAGCAATCATTTGGCCAGGCTCCTGGTAGCTTTGCAGCTATCGCCAGTCTGTCATCTCCTGAACAAGCTCTTGTAGCTAACCTCACCTCCAGCGACAATTGTTCGCCCGCAGCGAGCGGGTGAAGGGCATCGACTTCCACCCCCAAGAGCCATGGATTCTCACCACACTCTACAGCGGCCATGTCTACATTTGGTCGTACGAGACCCAGCAAATCGTCAAGACATTCGAGCTCACCGACGTCCCTGTGCGCGCCGGACGATTCGTCGCAAGAAAGAACTGGATTGTCTGCGGTTCCGATGACTTCCAGATTCGCGTCTACAACTACAATACCTCGGAGAAGATCACGTCCTTCGAGGCCCATCCTGACTACATTCGAGCCATTGCCGTCCACCCGACACAACCTTTCGTGCTGACCGCCTCCGATGACATGACGATCAAGCTTTGGGACTGGGAGAAGGGCTGGAAGTGCGTGCAGGTCTTTGAGGGTCACGGTCATTATGTCATGGGCCTGGCCATCAACCCCAAGGATACCAACACTTTCGCGTCCGCCTCCCTGGACCGTACCGTCAAGATCTGGAGCCTCGGCTCCGCGACGCCCAACTTCACCCTCGAGGCGCACGAGGCCAAGGGTGTCAACCACGTCGACTACTACCCCCACTCCGACAAGCCCTATCTCCTGACAACATCCGACGACCGAACTGTCAAGGTCTGGGATTACACCACCAAGTCTCTGATCGCTACCCTCGAGGGCCACACGAATAACGTCTCGTTCGCGTGCTACCACCCCGAACTCCCAGTTATCATTTCCGGCTCCGAGGACGGCACCATCAGGATATGGCACGCCAACACGTATCGGTTCGAGCAGTCACTGAACTATGGCCTGGAGCGCGCGTGGTGTGTCTCCTACCAGAAGGGCAAGCAGGGCGTTGCGGTTGGTTTCGATGATGGCGCGGTCGTCGTGAAGCTTGGTCGCGAAGAGCCTGCTGTCTCCATGGACGCCTCAGGAAAGCTCATCTGGGCCCGCCACAACGAGGTTGTTTCGGCCATCATCAAGGGTGGAGGTAGGTCACGGCAATCAGAAGCTTGCGCGAGTATAACTAACGTCTGCAGATGCATCCATCAAGGACAACGAGCCCATCCACCTCCCCGTCAAGGAGATGGGTACCTGCGAAGTGTACCCATCGACTCTCATCCACAACCCGAACGGCCGATTCGTCGCAGTCTGCGGTGACGGAGAGTACATCATCTACACGGCCCTGGCGTGGCGTAACAAGGCTTTCGGTTCCGCATTGGACTTCGTATGGGCCTCGAAGGAGAACACGAACGACTTTGCCATTCGCGAGTCGGCAACAAGCGTCAAGGTCTACAAGAACTTTGTTGAGAAGTCGGGTGGCCTCGATGTTGGCTTCCAGGCCGAGGGTCTGACTGGTGGTGTTTTGCTCGGTGTCAAGGGTCAAGGTGGCATTTCATTCTTTGACTGGCAAACTGGGGGCCTTGTCAGAAGAATCGAGGTCGAGCCAAGAGAGGTGTGTCCAAATCGTACACGTCAGGCCCGAAAGATCAAATTGCTGACCAAAACAGGTGTACTGGTCCGACAGCGGTGAGCTGGTTGCTCTCGCATGCGACGACACTTTCTACGTCCTCCGCTTCTCGCGCGAGGCCTACGTCGACGGTGTTCAAAGCGGTCAGGCCGACGAGGATGGCGTTGAAGCCGCTTTCGAGGTCATCACCGACATCAACGAGAGGTATGTTCGATATCCAAGCCGATGGTTCCAGTACTAACATTACAACAGCGTCCGCACCGGAGAATGGGTCGGCGACTGCTTCCTCTACACAAACAACACCAACCGGCTGAACTACCTTGTGGGTGACCAGACCTACACTGTTTCTCACTTCGACCAGTCCATGTACATCTTGGGCTACATCCAGCGTGACTCAAGGATCTACCTCGCCGACAAGGATGTCTCCGTCACCTCATTCGCCCTGTCCCTGCCTGTTCTTGAGTACCAGACTTTGGTACTCCGCGACGACATGGAGACGGCGCAAGAGCTGCTGCCCACCATTCCCGCAGATCAACTCAACAAGATCGCCCGCTTTTTGGAGGGCCAAGGCCACAAGGAGCTGGCTTTGGAGGTCGCCACTGACCCTGAGCACAAGTTCGAGCTTGCCCTCGGACTTGGCCAGCTTGACACCGCCCTTGAGCTTGCCAGAGAGGCCGATGTTGAGCACAAGTGGAAGACGGTCGGTGATGCCGCGCTCGCAGGATGGCAAGTTGCCGTGGCTCAAGAGTGCTTCACGCATGCCAGGGACCTCGGCTCCCTCCTTCTTCTCTACTCCTCCACTTCCGACCGCCAAGGCCTTTCAAAACTGGCCGAGCAGGCTCAGGACGCCGGCGCTCACAACGTCGCTTTCAGCTGCAAGTGGCTCTTAGGAGACGTTGCTGGCTGCGTAGAGATTCTCACCAAGACTGGCCGCTTAGCTGAGGCCGTCCTTTTCTCGCAAACATACAAGCCCAGTTTGACGGCAGACGTCGTCAGGGAGTGGAAGGAGAGCCTCGACAAGGGAAAGAAGGGCCGTGTATCCAAGATGATTGGTGTTCCTGTCGAGGACGAGGAGCTTTTCCCCGAGTGGGATGAGTGGCTCAGCCTCGAGAAGGAGGGTGTCGCCGCGCCCGCGGTGACCGAGATCAAGAAGGTCAACGGAACGGAGTCAGCCGAAGAAGCCGAAGAAGAGGCCGAGGAGGCGGAAGAGGAAGACGAAGAGGCTGAGGAAGCCGAGGCCGAAGAGGATGACGAGTAGTGGAGTCAGTGCTCGGTCGGCTCGAATGGAATTTGATTACAGTAGGGATTGGGGATCGTAAAAAGGCCTAGATGTCGAAGTGTTTGGTCTGCCTCGACGGGCGTTGACGGTAATGATCATGCCTTGCAAATAAATGGAAGCTGTTTTGTGCATCATGTCATCCCCTCTCGTACTCTTGGCTCGCAAAAGTTGTATGTAACTATGTTTATTGATCGCGATGATTATTTTCATGAACAGCATAATTACTGTAGCCAACATTTTCGAGATGGATTGCCCGAGCCAAGCCAAAACACCCAACGCCCTGCGTCTACGCAGTTGTATTACCGCTAGTAAGTCAAACAAACCTCCCCCGCCGAAGCCGTTCTCAAGGCCCAACTCTCAACCCTGTCAAGGCCCCAGATGACAGTGAACAGGTGCCTAGCGCACTCGTCAACTTCGGCGGCCGCGGCGTTGCAGAACAGCCCGTCAGACCGAAAGGACGGGACAAAGAACGTCTTGCCACAGCTCCCAGCATCCCATTCGTCGGGCCTCAGTCGCGCGTACACGTCCTCTTCCCCCCCCGACGATGCCAGCTCGCGACACATAGCCGCCCACCGCGGCGCCGACGGCGCGTCCCATAACCCTGCCCTGGTCGTGAAAAGAGCGCCGCCGGGACACTCTGACCAGTTCCCTTTGAGCGTGGCGTAGACGCCGATGGTGCACGTCGCGAGGAGCCACGTTCGCCGGACGGACTCGGAGAGGACCCAGAGGTTCCAGACGGCGAGGTCCGAGTCGTATGTGTCTTGGCCGCTAGTACCTTGCGGCCCGGAGGAGGAGGGAGTGCAGTATTTTGACCCCGGGATGAGGTCCGCGGAGAGGGTGTTGGCATCCAACACGGCCGAGTCCCAGAGTTGTCGGCACCAGAGAGACAGCGTGGGGAGGTGGGCTTCTGCTGCCGTGCGCTGGGTCACGGAGCCGTCGAAGAGGCGGATGATGGTGTAGACGAAGAGGGCCTGGACTCTCGCCAAATGGTCCCGCGTCTCTAACAAGGGAACACAGAGGGTCGTCTCGTCGGCCACGGGCTGGGACGCCATCAGGGCGGCGACGCGCTCGTCGAGGATGCGGTGGACGAAGGCTTCGTTGTCGGGGGTCTTGTGGTGGTAGAGCGAGGCCGAGGTGAGGGCGTCTTGGATGGCGGAGGGGAAGTGGTTTCCTTCCGCGTACATGCTGCGGTGGATGAAGGGGTTGTGGCCGTGGAGGACCCAGCGCTTGACCCAGGTCTGCAGGCCGCGCGTGAAGTTTGTGAGGACCGAGGTCGGGTAGGTGTCTCGCTGCGGGTTGGGACGGCGGTCGATGTGCCATGTTGAAGGGGCGAGGAACCACTTACTTTGGGCTAGGCTATCGATGATTGTCTTGTTTTGGGAGCTGATAGGGGGGTTGGTGATGTTTTGGGAGCGGTATGCATCTTCGGGACTCGTTGATGTTGACGGTACGTATGAGGCGAGGTTTGTGGGCAGGTCCGGCGGGAGAGTGCTGAAGTCGATCCACGGGGCATTGCACAGTCCGACGGGCAGCAGCGGATCGGCGTCGAGGGAGAATAGATCGACCGCTGCGGAGGTTGGAGCTGCCGCGGATGGATCTTGGGTCCCGGCGGTCTCATGGAGCCGATGCCGTCGGCGCTTGGTGGGTGGGTAGTGGCAGTCGATGTCCCGATCGTCGCAGCGGGTACATGACGGGAGAGTCTTGTCGCAGCGGCGTTTGGATTCCGTGCAAGCCGTGCAGGCTTTTTGCTTCGATAGTCGCGCCATGTCTCGTGGACGGACGGGCGGGCGGGTGTGAAGTGTTGAAGTGCGGCTTTTGAGTGTGTGTTTTGTGACTTATAGGGCAGCTTTGCCTGATTGATCGGACGCTCAAAATGGCAATGCTACCAATTTGGTGACCTATGGCGAAGAATGCAGGAGGGTTGAAAGGAAGAAGGAGAGGTAGGTATTCTTGGGCATGTAAGGTAAGCCGGGCGACGTATGCGGGAAAGTGGGGCCTCGTGCGGGCGAGTTGCGGGTTTTCGGCGGGCGATTTGCGGAAAACTTGCGGGATGTCTCCCGGAGTGCGGGGCTTGACAGGGCCCGACTGTCCGTGTTTGGCATCTGTTCTACAAGCGGTATTATTGCAATGGCAGATTTGGCACCGCGTATTGTGTTGGAGGTGATGGTATGTATAAGAGTAAATCTTTTGCTTTTCGACAATATTTGAGGATTTGATGGATAGTAGCAACAGATTTCAAGCTCAACCAGCATAGGAAGGACACAACATTCGCAATTCAGTCTACTTCCAAGGACGCCTGCATAGATATCACCGGGATGGATTCTCACTTCATCAAAACCGCTGGGGAGGATGGCACCACCTTCACCAAGATCCTCCATAAGAAATCGTACCCCACAATCAACCCCGCCCGCCCGGAGCTGTCTCAAGCGGGCCGAACGGTCTTGATCACCGGCGGTTCAGCCGGTATCGGCTTCGCCATTGCTAGAGGTTTCGCGCAGGCCGGTGCAGAACGCGTCATCATTCTCGGCAGGCGCCAGAAAGTCGTCGATGAAGCCGCTTCCCAGCTTCAAGGGGAGTACCCCTCGGTCAAGATCGACGGTCGACAGTCCGACGTGAGCGATCTCGACTCGGCGGACGGGCTTTGGGGGGCTCTGGAGTCTGAAGGCGTCCATGTTGACGTCTTGGTTCTCAATGCTGGCGTGACGACTCAAGGAAGTCCGATTCTGGAGCTTGGGCGGGACGAGATCTGGAGCCAATACATCGTGAACGTCCGCTCGCATCTAGATTTCACGGAGAGGTTCTACAAGCAGAGAGGAGACGAAGATCGTGGGAAGGTATGTCTCTTCTTCACAAAATTTATGGCGTCTTCTTCGGCTGCTGATGAGTATCCAAGTTCCTCCTCAACGTCTCGACAGAAGCAATCCATAACATCGCCAAATCGGGGCCGTGGCCGTCTTACAGCCTGACCAAGAATGCAGGGACCATGTTATTGCAGCAGATTGCGAAGGACACCCCCGCCGAGAAGATGCAGGTCATCAATTTCCACCCTGGCGTCGTTTACACCGACGTCTTCAAGCAGAACGGGGTCCCAGAAGATGCGGTTCCTTTTGACGATGGTGAGTGATATTGGAGTATAGTTCTCAAACCCGGGCCGTGCTAATGAGAATTACAAAGCCGACTTAAGCGGCAACTTTGCCGTGTGGGCGGCTTCCGAAGAGGCCCGGTTTCTGCACGGCCGTTTCGTTTGGGCGGGTTGGGATATCGACGAGTTGAGGAGCGGAGAGATCAGAGAGAAGCTTGACAGGAACCCTGAGTTTCTCAAGGTTGGTGTCGTTGGTCTTCAAGAGTAAGTGAGTGTAGTCAAGAGGCAGGTCTCTTGGCCCCGTGCGCAATAGAAGGGCACACTCACGCGAGAGGCGACACAACACGCAAATGTTTTGGCTTATTTTGTTTTCCATCATCCCATCTGTATCTGAAGTCAAGTTTTTAGATGTATTAGCGAATAATAGTGAAGGTATATTTCATTTATTGAAGGCTGAGTCTTGCTTTCAGCTCGGCTGATTGCCGCTTCGGGAGGCCGTTGACGCGAGGTGATTGAAGGGATCTCAGCCGACGCCACGTTGGCGTTTGCCGTTGAATTCACGATAGGTTTGGATTTGCCAAGAAGTTGTGGCACAGGGCTGAATCAGTAGTTAAATGCCGTGGCTTAGAAACATAACGTTGAGTTCCGTGGACTCGTAAGCCCATCTTCTATCGCCAAGCTGACCACCGTCTGTGGTCCTAGAACGACAAGATGCGAGAAGGAGCTTAGCGAACTTTTAGTTTGAAAGGCTCACGTTTTGCGTCTTCTTTTGATATTGCTGAGTACCTAGTGTAGGTACCAAGGTATAGAAGGGAATGGACGAGTATCTGCATTCAGCCCAACGTGCCCCTTGGTTCTCTCAACTGTCTCCGAAGAGCTTCTACCCCAAGTATGAGGCAGATGTTCGGAAATGAACGACCGATAATCGACATTCCCATCACTTCGGCCTAATCTCTAGGCACCAGTCAGCCAATTCATGTCGTTCTAGCTTACTTCGCGTCTAGCCTGACGACTAGTTGCGCCACTTCCCCTGAATGCTTCGTCGAAACGGCTCTAAGCTCGTTAAGCTCACAACTGCCTCCTTTTATCTGAGTAGTAATTAAGGCACATCTTGATCTTGGAATGCGGATATCCTCAGCCCAAGCCAACAGGTCGCCATCCCCGAAGCCATAGTCAACCTTTGTTTCCGGTCCAGTATCAAGCCGTTCGAAATCATAGCAGTTGAGCTCTGATCTGTTGACATTCTTGTCATGTTCCCGACGCCATCCTGTCAGAGCTAGGCTACCGCTAGAGAGGGCACGGTCTATATGGCGGCCAGCCGGCTCACTCGCGATGATCTTATTCTTGTTATTGGAGATTAGGCGTCCAGGTGTTGATTAGGGGTAGTCATTGCCATGTCCTCTATTTAATGAGGGCGTTGCCGAGTATCCGTCCTTGTTGTCGTTTTTACTCATTATCGGTGTAAACAAGACAACCGCATTTCCCACAATTCTCAACGGTCAACAATCGAGTTTCAAGGTCAATAACTCACTTAATACTCTGCAAAATGCACAACTCGATCGTCTTCGTCGCGGCACTCGCCGGCTCTGCCGTCGCCGCCATCAGTAACCCCCATCCTGACCACATTCGCCGCGATATCCTCCCCCGCCAGACCGAAACCATGGCCTCGGCCGACCCCTGCCTCAACGCCCTGGCTACCGTCTACGCCAACGCGCCGACACCGCCTGCGAAGGTAGTCTCCTACGAGATGACCGCCCCTGTCCAGACGAACCCCTGCAGCGTCACCGTCCCGTCCGACCTCAGCTCCGACTACGCCAGCTATACCTCCGCAGTCCTCAGTTGGGTCGATTCCAACTCGGCCTCCATCGCCTCCGCTCTGTCTCAGTGCTCCACGCTCACCGATTTGACGACCGAAGTCCCTGTCTGCACTGCTACCGGCGGTTCTGGTGGTTCCAAGGCGACAGGCGGTGCTGGCGGCTCTAGCAGCGGCGGTACCAAGTCACCCAACGCCGGTCCTCGTGAGACTGGTGTCGTGGCTGTTGTTGTTGCTGCCGCCGGTATCGTCGGTGCTGCTTTGCTGTGAGGGCTTGTGGAGTATGATATAATTGTACTATTTGGGAGTAAGGACTTGATTTTGTTGGGATATCAAAAATGTATTTGCAGTCAAAGTTTGTACATGAATTTACATCGCCTTTAGAGAGTTGAATCGACGGGTTCTCTTTTCGGTTTTTACTCAGATTCCTTCGTGATGACCTGAAAGCAATGAAGCAACAAGATATACCCGCTTACTCGTCGAAAGGTCTAACAACCCACGGCGTAGCCTCTGCCAGCGCCGTCGTGCACTTAGCGGCCAAAGCCTCCTTGGCCTCGGTGCTGTTGGATGAGATGCAAGGCATGCCTATGCCGCCCTTGATACCATCGCACAGAATAACGGGCTCTCCACCACAAGGAGTCGTGATGTTGAAGTTCTTGAACTGGATGTTATCACAAACAGCATTGGGGTTGGTCGAGCAGGTCAACTTGGCGACGGCGCGTCCATACTTGCCACTGCTGTATCCAGAAAAGTTCTCAAACAGAATGTTGGTAATGTTCATCTGCGAGGGGTACTGCTCGCAGGTGGTAGCGTTGATGTTGAAGTAGCAAGAATCGATGAAGGCGGTGTACTCGTTGTTGGCCTGCCAGAAGTTGCGGAAGGTGACATTATCGATGAAGCCGTAGCCGACGTTAGGTCCGGCCCAGGTCTTGAGGCGGGCGCCGTGCTGGCCGTTGAGCATCCAGACGTTCTCGATGACGACATCCTTAACAAAGCTCTTCTCGCCGGCGTACTGGCCCAGCGAACCCATGGATTGACCGTGAGTGCCGTTGCAGTACATGGTGTCGACGTGAATGTTGCTGGCATTGGACTTGGGAGAGAAGCAGTCGTCGCCGATGTTGACCCATGTGCGCTCGACGCGGACGTCCTCGACGTTCAGGGAGTCGAAAAAGTCAGTGTTCTTGGGCTCCGCTGTGTGGTTGTTGGATTCAGCGGTGCAAATAACGTCCTTGAAGGAGATGTCCTTGGCTGGAAGGAATGTTAGCCGGCCAGCGAGTAGAGGGAGATATCGAGGAACTCACAGGTCACAATGAAGGTAGTCCAGCAAGGAGAGTCCTTAAGGTGGATGCCTTCCATAGACAAGCCCGTTGCGTTCTCCGCATAGAACAGAATCGGGCGCAGGTAGGAGTTGCTGGGGTCGAGAATTCTACAGCTTGTCAGCGGATTTGAAAGGCGATCAAGATACATGCAGGGACTCACTCAAGACCAGCAAACTCGTTCCACCAGCGTTGGCCGTTGCCGTTCAAGACACCCTCACCGTACAGCTTGACGTCCTTTCCGCCCCATTTCCAGAACATGATGGAGTTCTGGAAGGGATGGTGGAAGGCATTGGCCTGCCAGTATGGCGTATCATTGGTGAACTTGATCTCACCCTCCCAGTGGACATGCACATCGTTGAGCCAGGTCAGGTCCAGAGGCTTGCCGATGATGAACGTCTGGTTGGCGGGGAGGTACAGAGTACCGCCGTTGTTGGCCTTCTTCAAACCTTCGAGAAACTCATCCGAGATGTCGTCCAGGTCGTCCTTGGAGGCGCGGAGGGTGTAGGTCTTGCGGTGGCAGTCCTTACCGCGCTTCTCGAAGGGATGCTTCTCGCGGAACTCCTGGATGTTACGCGGTACGCCTGCCGGGAGCTCAATCGAGCTGGCGATGGCGGTACTGGCGGCTGCCAAGGCGGCGAAGAGGGACGAGACTCTCATGGCTGCGTGTGAGACTGGGCGACGTCGAGAAAACACACACGTTGAGTAGGATTGCCAAGTGAGTTGCCAAGAGAAAGGGCTGCTCGGGAGAGGTGATCAGCCATCCATTCCGACTCTTGTGAGGCCGAGCCTCTTCATATACTCGGCCAGCTTGGCATTGGACCTGCATCGCCAAGGGACATTGGCACAGCTCTCCTCAATTCTTCGCTCGCCTTTCCAAAGATCATCATGACCAACATTGCAAGAGCTCCAAAACCACTGTTTATTTCCCCAAAGTCGGGGTAAGATGGCAGGGGCCGATATGAAGCTAGTCTCGCTTCGCCCAGCCATCTGGAAATAACCAGGCCTTTGCTGCACGAGGGGAGAAACCACAGCGTTCCATTCCACCTATCACGCCTTCGGCTCTCCTCTCGCCCATCGCCCATATCAGTCCATCCGCGTAATCAACAGCCCGTCTCGTCGGGTCGCCACCCGGGCTCGGTCTGGGGTGACCAACCTCACCTGCATCTCGACGAGGTGAGAAGTTGGGGAAGCTGGAGAGATGGGCTTGTTGGCTGAAGTGGATTCGGAGATTGTGCAGGTAGCCTGCATATCGGTATCCAGGGTCGAGTACGCTGTTTGGTGAACGCGCGCAAGTGATTGATGGGATTTCTAAACCGCTGTCGCCGGAGAAAACTGACCGACAATCGGATGGGTTCGACCTGCGTCGTTAGTCAAAATCCCCCGCACGATGCCAATTTCCCCCAGTGATCCATTTCTTTTTCTCTCTTGCCCCTGGTCGTCCCCCGCGCCGTGATGTGGATGGGAGATGGTTAGTGGATGCGTGGTCAAGAGAGGGAATCTTTCTGCGGCGCTGGCGCCGCAAAGCTTCAGTCATCTTGGCTGGCTTCTTGGCTGCTTAGCCACTTGGCGTTTCTTGCCAAGACATCATGGTGTTGTTTCTCGGAAATTATTACCGAGGCGACCGCATGGAGACTACCTTACGTAGCGCTTTCCGGGGCAACCACCAAGTAACCAACCCGTTAAATTCTCACGCACACAACTTAGACAATATGGAGTGATTTTATAAGATCTCGATTGTCTCAATTCAACTCATGTCTCAAGAAGATTATCAACTAATCAACTTTTGCAGATTTTCTTTGGAATCAGTATTAAGGTATGTCTTATTTTTGGCTGCTGGCCAGGGTTCAGGACCATTCACGACAGATGGACATGCGTTTTGGGGTTCCCAGCATTATTAGACATTGTATTGAGGACGTGGCTACTAATATGTACAACTAGTTCACTAACTACGTTCAAGCTCCTGGGTTCCTCGTGGTTTCGTTCTTCGCATACACCTGTGCTTCGACGCCCAGAGTCCAGATCTTTGCGATATCCCGCGTGTTGGAAATATTGGCCAGCGGATTGGAGTTCAGCATCACCAAGTCCGCCCTCTTGCCTATCTCGATAGAGCCTCTGTCCGGGACGCAATGGTATCTGGCAGCTTCCCGGGTGGCGGCATTAATCGCCTCTGCGGGCGACATGCCAACGTACTTAACCAGATTCTCCAGTTCAAAATGAAGCGTCAAGCCGAATGGAACTGATATGGTCGTATTGCCCATTTTCAAAGAACCGACAGCATCGGTTCCAGCAAGAATTGGAATTCCAGCCTTATGGAGAAGGTGAGCATTTGCGTGCGCATTATCGATTGTGCGGTTGCTCCCCGGCTGAATGTTCAAGAACTTTTCAAGAGCGGGCTCCCGATACCCGTACTCGAAGATGTTCAAGGTCGTCGTAACGTATTGACGCTGATCCAGGATCTGCTGAATCACAGCTGACGATAGGACCCCGTCGTCCGGGACGTGCTGAATTCCGTTGGTCAAGGAGTCCGCAGCCTGTTCATAGGCTGCAATTGTTGAGGCGTGTGTCATGGTCTGTTTCTGGAATTCGTTGTGGGAGGTGTGAACCATCTGAATTTGTTGCTCCAGAGAAGGGCCAGCGACTTCAGCCGTGATCTTCAAGAAGTGGCTGCCATTGCCCATCTGCCACCTCGTCCACTCCAGGATGTCTGTACTCGGGTAGATGAGAGTATCCCTAGCACGGGCTGGATACTGCTTATCGTGAAGACTTCCGTTTCCGACAGCTGCCATCGAAGCATACACGAATGAGGCCAAGCCTTCTTGTCGTGCCATGAGGGCGCACTGCGTGTAGTTTTGACAGTTCATCTGCATCGCAGTTGTGCAGCCATATGAAGTAAAGTCTTCAAGCGACTGAACATCGGTCAAGTGGACGTGATTGTCGATCAGGCCCGGGATGAGGAATTTGCCGGTGCCATTCACGATGTTTTGGGCGTCGGCACATTTGCTTGCAGGCACTATGTGGCCGCCGTCGAGGCAAATTTTCTGTGGCTTGCCGAATCTGCGGCCGTTGAAAGGACGGATGTCTTCGATAGCAGTCTTGACGCTCGTTGTTGATGTAGAGCGCCTGACGTTGTTGATTGAAGTGTGCTCTTCGTCGCCCACATGGAATGGACAGGCTTGACTGATTGCGCACAACTGTGATGCCGCGAAGGCCAAAGGGAGTAATTTGAGCATTGTGATATCAGATTGAAAGGCTGAGTTCTAATTGATGTGGTAGAAGTGTTAATTCGTTGACTTTGCTCGTTGACTTTGCTTCCAGGTGACAGCAGGCCTCTTCATATTATATGTCGTGAACATTCCGATCTTGAATTCCGTCGGGCAGTTCAACCGCCCGCAATGGTCACTGTAGGATTCAGTCGTGAACTAGCTCATGCGAAATCGTATTAGTCTTTGGCAAAGATCATCGCGAATTCTTTACTGCCTACACATCATTTCGAATGACATTCCGTAACGGGGTTGGCTGAGCACTAAGACCCTCCAAGGCAGAGCTTAGCATAGCCATAGCGCGGCCTCCACAGCCCAGCTGAACTGATCCTTCAGCGACGTAAGTGGCCACAGACTAGCGGTATCTTCCACGTCGGCCGATTTCAGAGATCTTTCGGGCCCGAGCGATCTCAACCGGGCTTCCAGTTCGAAGGATTGATGGAACGGAGATATTTGGTGACGTGTGCTACCCAGCCACCGGACGTACCGGTGAGACACGGCGCTCCGGAGCGTGTCGGAGCCCGATGGGGTCCGGCACGGGTCAGCCGGCGGTTATCACCGACCTGGAACGGCATAACCTGGCGCCGATTGACTTGCTACCGTCGTCCATCGCGAATGCAGACACAAGAAATAACACATTCTATGTTGAATTGGATAAGGTAGTTCAAAAATAAAAAATGATGCCGACATTTAGTTGATTTCGACACCGTTCGACCACGACATGAACTCATGCTGCGCACCTATGTTGTATGAGTGAATCGTAAAATAGTGGTAGAAAGCCATGAAACTCCCACTCATCGACGGAAATTTCAAGTAGAGTTGTTTCTCGGAAGCAGAGTGAGAAACATCAACTCAATTCAAGTAAGTCAATCTCTCCTGTATTCTTTAAAAGCTTGAGTGACAACTCGGTAGTCAAAAACATCGCAATGACCTTCGAGCTGCGTCCGGCTTCCCTTATTTGCAAACCTCAAATGAACCGTGGATGCTACGTCATTGTCCGATTCGTAAATACCGCAGGAACACCACCTTGAATCTCCAATCGCTTACCGAACCCCCGAAGGAGGGGTCGCAGTTATCCTGAGAAACCCACTCTTGGCGGGAGACGGTGATGGAAATGTTACTAATCGACAACTGGTCCATCTCCACAGGGAATTAGTAACACAGGAGGAGTAAAGTCTTGAGTCTCACCGGTTCTTGCATGCATTTGATTTTAGATTTATCAACCGCTCTTGGATCTTCTCGTCAAGCTTTTGATCGCACACCCTAGTGACCCTACTTTTCCTGTCATCATACAGATCCCTTGGTCACTATGTCTGAACTCACAGCGCTGCCAAAGGGCTCGTTGATTCTCGTCACCGGGGCAAACGGATACATCGGAGCCCAGGTGATCAACACACTTCTTGAGTTGGGCTACCGCGTGCGCGGCACCGTTCGATCTGAAAAGCCGTTCCTGAATGAGTACTTCAGTAAATATGGCGATGCTTTTGAGCAAGCCATTGTACCTCATCTCGACGATGAAGAGGCCCTCGGGCTTGCAATGACTGACGCATCTGGCGTTGCTCTTGTGGTATGAACAATATGTTGTGCTGGCTTGCTGATAAGATCTTGACCACTCACACATGTCCCAGGCATCGGACCTCTCTTTGAGCGACGACCCTCAAAAGGTTATTCCCTGGGTCGTGAAGTCAACCGAAATTGCCTTGGCGGCTGCAGCAAAGCACAGCAGCATCAAGCGCGTGGTTCTTACGTCGTCTGCTTTTGCGGCGATAGTGCCCCAATACAACAAGACTGCTGTTGTTAACGAGGGTACGTCTTCACGTGTTTCTTATGCTTAGAGTGGTTCAATGTCAACACTGGGTTGCATAATTTGCTGCACGAACAAAGCCCTAATTACCTTACACAGACACTTGGAACGAGGCTGCTATTAAAGCGGCCTGGGACCCAAACACCCCGAAGGAACTCAAGCCGGGTGCTGTGTACGCGGCGTCCAAGGCAGAGGGAGAACGAGCCGCTTGGAAATGGGTTGAAGAGCACAAGCCTGGCTACGTGTTCAACGCCATTCTTCCAAATTTCAACGTAAGTAATTCGTTTGGTTTCAGTCGCTGTTATCAGTCTAATGCTTGCGTCACCACAGACGGGAGAGATTCTTCGTCCTGAAATTGCGGGCTCTACCATGAAGTTCGCCAGCGACTTACTGAGAGGTCAAGATGCTATGCTTCGCGCCTTCATGCCACGTAAGTAGCCTATTTAACGTCCAAAATTACGCGGCGACTAACCTGATATCTCATTCTAGAATGCTATGTCGATGTGGGCGATGTTGCACGCCTTCACGCCATCGCCATGCTTGCTGAGCCTGTGAAGTCTAAGAGAATCTGGGGTTCCGCCAAACCTGTCAATTTCTCTGACTTCGTTGATGTCTTGCACGAATTGAGACCGGATAACAAGCTGATTGCAGAAAAGCCGGAGAACGAGGGCCGTGACCTTAGTGAGCTGCCGCCTGCTGTCGAGGCCGAGAAGTTACTCCAGAAGTACTTTGGACAGAAGGGCTGGACTCCGTTCAAGGAGAGCATTGAAGCAGGAATTCGCGGCATGTAGAGACACGGAGAGAAGTTTATCCCAAGCTATTCTGTAGACTAGTATAAGACGCCAATGAAGCCCAGATATTCAACCTGATGTTATTACATGTCACTTTGGCGTCTTTAGTAATGACGAGTGAGGCCACCTTAGACACCACGGCATTTCACTACCATAATTTGCAGTAGAAGATATGGCTTGACGGTCAAGGATTATGATGTTGACAGCATGCAGCATATTCACACTCTAGTCCCTTTCAACAATAAAACACATGAGCCTAGCTAGTATCCGATACTACATTGCGCTAGAACAGAAGAAAACATGAGCGAGATCATATGAAATGAACATCAATTGTGCTTAGAGGACTGTGGTATTAAGAAATAAAAGCGGCCGTCTCAGGTGATGCCATGTTGTGTCGAAAAACCATCCAGCGACACTTTGAGCCTACATCAAGCAAATGCCTGCGTTACAGTCCTGTATTAAGATTAGCTTCTCTCCATAGAACCTGCCGAAGGGAGATACGAACCGCCCTGCAGCGAGCCAAACATATCTATACATCAAATTAGCCACCATGTAGACGCCACATCGAGAAGCGTTGACCTACGCATTTGTTGTGCTGACCATTGTACCTGCAGCAGACATTATATCTGCCACTAGAGCCTTGACCTGGACTCGGAGATCCACCATTGTCACCAACTGGTCCACCATTCTCGCCCTCGTTGTCATCGCCGCAGTCGGGTGGGTGACCCCTGCCGAGCAAGATTGGGTCACGAAGGTCGTAGGAGTACTGCATCAGCGTTTCGGGGCTTGCAGCGTACGCGGCAGCCGCGAATACAAACAGAGAAACAAGCAACTTCATCTTGACAACAGTCTCGCCAGGGTTTTGAGTGTCGGGTTGTTGCAAAACGCGGAGCGACATGCAAGTGACGACGGGAGAGCACGAGGCGGTTGATATACCCCGAAGACTTTGGGCCTCGGGACGGTGCATTGACTATGCTTCAGCGTGAGCGTCACGTTTTCTGTTCACTTAATCATCGAAAGTTTCCATCCCATATCCACGTTCTAGAATCCGGCTATCTCGGGAAACACAATCGCCTGTTCATCGCCAATAATATGTAACAAAACCCTATGCATTGTTCTACGCTTTGATTGCTCAGCTTTAAATGCCTTAAGCGTGCGAGTCTTCAGCCAAAGTTTAAGTTCTCTGGATCGGTTTCTCTCATACTGAAGGAGTAAAAAACTGCTTATTGAGAGTCTGAGGGCTGACATTTTGCAACGTTCCGGAACTTCCTTGCAGATCTGCTGCATGCGCACAGTCAGCGCATATCCTTACCACCGTTGAAACCTGACCTGAGCCCCAAGATCAGCCGCAGATCTGTGGTGGTCTGAAATTTACATCTTTGATAGATTTGCGGGACTATGCAACCTCACACATTGAGCGGGAAGAAAATAGCATGTCTGCGATCTTTGAACTCTGGCTGGCAGTCAAAAGCTTGTGCAAACTTACTAGATATTGCAGGGGAAGTGAGTGGAGGAATGAAACCCCAAAAAGTGTCTTATATATCTTCGACGTTTCTTTACGCTTAATTGTTCGCTTGGCTCGATAAGGTGGCTAAGGGCATGTGGTGGGTAGCAATATAGATAGCTTGAAGTGCTGCATGTCGATGAGCCAAGGCTGTGCATGACATGAGGCGCAGATCTTAGGATGAACTGGCCTAATGTTCCAGTGAAAGGATTTACTTGCGTGCTTGCTTACTGTGAGAGTTAGTGTCCGACCTTGAGTATGAGAAGGCTCATGCTTGCAGAGCATTTGAGTCAGGCGTCTTTAGCTTTGGTCTATCCCAAGATTTACTGGCGACCTTTGCCACATATTCAAATGATCTTCTAGAATATGAATGAGGTTAACATCGGTGATACGCAAAGAGGTTATCGAGTCTTTCAAGGGGATATCACTGACAAGGTAACTTTTTAGTTTTACATGAGATTCAGTGGCTCGTGTTCGCAATTGAGACACTCTGTTTAGTATACGTTCACGCTTCTCTCAACAGAGTCAATTTCGCTCAGCTGCGAACTGACGAGAACAGCTTTTCGTGGGTATGACGAGATGTCGAATAGACCAAATAAAATGAGGGTGACTGCATTGTATTGCGGAGCGAACTGCGTTGGTGGAGAACAGCTGTCTCGCAGCCGAATTGTCCAACGACATGAGTGTTGGACTAGCGATTCACCCATCCGAACCATCAAGTGTATGAGACTGAGTCCGATGAAAAGCCTTCCATTACTGAACGTAATCAGTTCCCACCTTTCTGCAAGAACACACGTGTACGTGGGATTTACATCCTTCAGAGTCTGCATGTAACCATATTGATCAGGGGGTTTCCAAGGATACTGTCAGCGAAAAGATGGGCCGAGGTACTTGTAACGAGACAAACTCTGATGGGGCCAGGCAACAAAAGGTAGGTAAACTGCAAGGTGAATAAAATCAGTACTATACATACCCAGTACCTATACAAGGAGAAGCAACAAAAGTTGGGTAAACTCAGAAGGTAGGTAAACCACACAAAGGTAGGTAAATTGGTAAACCACAGCGAAAACATGGGCTCTCGAGCTGGCAACCGATTGCGGTGAGGTTATTCGGTCGATGTTCGGTAAGGATTACGTTTATTTAATGGAAAATGTCTAATGGAAATAATGAATGTCGAGAACCTGGGTTTGTTAGGTAATGGGTATCCAGTGCTTCAGCTTGGCATACTTCTTGGCCGGTCCAGCTTCATGGCCTTTCATTCAAACATCAAGTGTTCAAGGCCATGCAGATCGCTGTATAAATTCCCAGTAAGCTCGTGGTTTTCTCTTTTACTCTTTTCAGGTCATTGGCATCCGATTTGCGGCCACCTTTTGTCATCGACGGGTACGGGACTTGTCGCTACCTTCGAAATCGCCAACCAATCATATGGAATCCCGAGCCGTCCATTACACGATTCCTCGGCAAGCATCACTACCCCCTGAGATAGATATCGACTCTCGCTGAAAGGAGGCAACATCTCGGACGCCACTACCTGAGACAAGATGCACGTGTACATTCAACCCGCAGCTCCTTGGTTAGGGGACCACATCAAGTCGTTCATCCGAAAACATGCTCCGAACGCCGTCTTCATCGATGACTTTGATGACTTCCCGTCAGATGCCAAAAGTGTCTTTCAGTTCTGTGACGGATGGGCACTCAATCGCAACTTTGCTGTCTTGAATGCGGCAGAAACTGCCCTCATCAATGCCTATCCGAACAGCGACGCCTTGGCTCGAAAAGACTATCTGGCTCGAGTGGTGGACTTCTGGACGGCCAAAAGACCTGAGAGTATCTTGAAGAGATGTGTCCCACTAACGGTTCGACTGTCTCTGGACTATGCCGAATATGTCGACGATGCCTTGACCGCGGCTGACGACCTCACACTCCTGAACTCTCTCGAAGAGAATGATGCCAAGCCTGCCTCTGAGCGTGAGTGGTGGATTCTCAAGCCTGCACTGGTCGATTGCGGTGCCGGCATCCGTCTATTCAGTACGATGGAAGAGCTTGCAAGTCACCTGGAGCTCGCCGAATACGAAATTGATGAGGATGACGAGAGAGATCTGAGCGAGCAGGCAAACGGCAAACCTGACGGCTTTTCTCCAACCCTTTCAACACCTGGTCTGGACTCTTTGGATGCTCTCATCACTGCAACAGGAGGACTTTCTCTGAAAAATCCCGATGAGGGTGTTCAGAGAGCTCCAAAGCCGCAATACGTCTTCAAGGAAGGAGGTCGAATCCCTTCAGCTCAGATGCGCGAGTTCGTGGCTCAACGATACATCGTTCATATTCCGCCCATGGAGAAGAGGAAGTGGCATGCTCGGGCATACGTACTTTCCATGGGCCGTCTCAAAGTCTACGTCTTCAAGGAGATGCTCGCTCTGCTGGCCGGGGAAGACTATGAACCTCCTTGGCTCAACCCCAGTCTCAAGTCGTCCTTGACCAACACGGCGCTCCAGGATGAAGACGTCTTCGTGAACAAGCAGTCCATGAGGGACTTCTGGGCAGCTCCAGATGATTTACTCCCAGGAGATTGGAAAGCCGATGTCTTTGAACAGATCTGCGATATCTCGGCTGAGCTGTTCCGCGGAGCTGCCCATACCATGGCGGACAAGTTCACGACGGTGAATAAGTGCTTCGAGTTGTTTGCTGTGGACTTTCTCATTGATACAAGTGGGACTGCTTGGCTTTTGGAAGTCAACGAGACACCGGCCTTTTACGACGTTGGGATGGCTGGCCCGTTGGCATTACGCCTCATGGAGTCTGTCGTTTGTATTTCTATGGAGCACATGGGCAAAGCCAGACTCGATGATGAGCATAACGCTCTGGTGAAGAAGCGGATGATCCAGGTTCTGGATGAAACTGACAAGCTCGCCAAAAGCAACATCACAGAGATTCTTCCAGAGAACTAGGAGATGGTTAGATAGTAGACAAAAGTAGATTAAAATAGAGATAAGTAGTTAAGAACATACAGCGCATGCGGTCTCGGTGACCAAACTTGCTGATTATCGTAACTTTTCCCCGAATGACTAGGCTTCCCCGGACTCCCGGACTTCTAGAAGCATATCCACTTCGTGTATGCTAAGCTGCAGTGCATCTTAAATCAAGCTTGAATTGGATTCCCCGCCTGATTGTCCGAAGATCATGATCATCTCTGAAACTCTTTACAACCGTGCCAAACATGAAGCGTAGATCATGAGCTTTTACTTCCTCTCGTTTGCCATTATGAACCCGAAATCTGCTGATTAACATGGGCGTTACGAGTCTCTCGCTTACGATGATAGTGTTTTACGGTGTATAAGTCCTCTCTTAAGGTGCTTCACTTGTGGGGTTGTCTCGGGTCTGTGACAGGAGTCGACTCAACCCCAAAGAGCCAGGGAACGCCTGTCAAGTTGGTGACACCGGCCAAAGCCGAATGTCATCCCAACTCGGAAACCATGATAGGCTCAATTTTTGAATGGATGCAAGATTGAACTGATGTATAAATGTGCCAGCAATATCACAACAGTCAGTTCATCGTTCCTCAGCTACTCTCTACAACACGCAACTTCAGCTCTCGGCCGGCCGATTCATTTCAATTCATATTTGCAATCGCAGTAATTGTATAAATACCACGTACTTCTCCAATATTTCACCATGAAGGTCTCCATCGCTCTCGTCCTCACCGCCATTCTGGGCCTTACGGCCGCATCACCTCAAAATCGCGGCGGAAGCAAGGCTCAACAAAGGGCAGACCGACAGGCCCTCCAAGATCTGGCTGGCACGGATGTCGACCCTAATCTTGAGAATGGCACAAGACTTCTGGACAATGGCCAGGGTCAATGTGTAGCTGTCTCTGGGAAGGCGGTATGCTCGGACTCTTCTGGAGCTACCATGTAGGTCACCACCAGCTGCCTTGAGGTTACCTATGAACTGAATCACCGCTGACGACTAGCAGTCGCGGGAACAACTGAAGCGGGATGTACAACACGACAATATCTTATTGCATACTATCTGAGTAGACAGCGGGGAAGGTTTAGCTTCAGGAGTATCTTATTTCAATCGAAAATCATCATTTTTGTGCACGATAGTACTCAGACTACCGGTCATCTCTGGTGTCCCATGAAAACATGTTTATTAGCTGTAGCGTCTTCTCAAAAAATGGAAAGAAGTATCGTAAATTACACGCGCTCCTTGATCTTCACTCTGACGCCTTTCGAGTCAAACCTTCTTAAGAGGTTGACCATGCGTGAGCCATCTGCACGTCCTGTCTCGAAGAGCTCAAAAATAATTCGTGCAGGCAACGCTGTAATCGTGATATAAAGCTCAGCCATGGCCAGACTACATCAATAAGTTGTTCTTATTTCATTGACTTGATACAGCATCCCTTACTTGACACCCAAACACTGTCGAGAGCCTTCTCTAAACGCCACAAGGAATCTCTCAAGCTCTGGCTTCGCGATTCAACGCTCCGGAACGAAAGACTTGGGCTCAGGGAATAGTCCCTCGTCATGAGCACATCAATCGTGGCCATGGACACCGGGGTGTTTTGTAGGACTGTCCATCCGCCATAAGTCAGCTCCTGATCCGGCGCGAGTCGTGGAGCGCGCACCACAACGCCATGGGAAAGGTGGACGGACTCGAGCACGCATGCGTTGAGGTATGACAACTTCTTCAGCTCTTGACACTGGGTGGCAAAACCGGCGGCAACGAGCTCCTTGCGCAGCTTTGACGAAACATCCGCCTTGCTCGCAAAGTGGAACGTGGCAAGCGTCAGCGCCCACGAGGTAGTGACGAGACCAGCATCGACCACGAGTTGGGCCTCGTCCCCGAGCCGAGTGTCAGTCTTCTCCAATTCAGGGAGGTCACTACTGATTACTTCATTCAGATCCTTCATACCCTGGGATAGGTTGTTGGATAGATCACTGAGCGGCTGGGCACGCCACGTGTTTTACACGTCGAAGCGTCACCAGAGGCAGTATCTCTGCTTGGGCGGCTTTGACAAATTACACCGGGAGGAGGAATTTGGAAACAAAAGGGAACATGCTGGCCGAAAGGAACTGCGCTGTGAATCGTACGAAAAGCATCATAAAAGGTTTCCTCAAACCCGGGCGACTCGAGGTGGTCGTACTTGTGACGTCCGCCGGCGCGGGCATAGAGCGTGTCAAAGTAAGTGCATCGGGTCATCGACGTGTAGTTCTGCCGGTGAGATCCGAACTATCGGTCCTGAGAGGCTTCAGCGTCGATATGGAATTCTTTTGCGAGTATAGATCATGTTGCTAATGCAGCGACTGGATATGGGTCGTGAAGTGGCCCGGTTGGACGACATCGTGATAGAACTCATACCAGGTCGCTAGCTTGTGGCCTGGAATCTTGGCGAGCGGGGGCAGAAACAGACGATAGACAGCGAGAAAGAGGGCGTAGACAAAGATAACGGTTGCCAATATCTTAAGGCACAGGTTTGGCAAGTATGTCTGCTAAGGGCATCGTGCTGTGTTTTCCTTGTCATTCTTGCTCCGTGATGAGATGTTTGCCAGCCAATGTCTCTCATGGTCGGCAACTCGATGGCAACGGTGTTCATCTGCCGTCGCAACGGCAGCAGGAGAATACCGTTGCGACTCCTAATTGCTTTGAGGATGTTGTTCCCTTCCATACCAAGGGAACCTAACTGGCAGCGGATGCAACCCCGGCGTCGTTCCCCGCGGTCTCGGGCCCGTCGGTGAGGTTTTCACTTCGCTCGCTATTGTTTGTCGTGTCCTTCACTGCGACTTGATACTAAGAGTCGCTGCAAATATTCCCCAAAAGCTCTAAATATCCGCTGAAGAGAGCGTCCTATGCATGGGGATCCCACCGACAGCATGCCGGCAGCACGGCGACAGCATGGTTCTTGTATGAGCGCCACGAGATCACAATATGACGACACGACGGAAACAACCACAGCGCCACGACCCTTATTGATTCGCGATACTATCGGACCCGTTCATTCCGTTTTGATGTATGAAGCTTTGATTCCGAACGAATTCGAACTTCAATCGCAGGGGCGGCGCTTCAGCTCCATGTTTCCCACTTAGTGAAGTGGTGTCTGGCCTTCCCAAGTGCCTCGACGTAGGCTCTAAAGAACAAGTGCACCACACTATGTCGTTAAGTCAGCCTCCGAATCTTGAACTAAGAGAGCAATCAAACATATCCAAGTAACGATTACTTGCCTCAACCTACGCCCATAAGCGCGGGGATAGTATCAACACTGAAAGCCGCGTTAGCCACGTCTGGGCAAGGACAGGCTGCAGACAGAAGAAGCTGAAGATGCGTCTTCTTGAGCCTACGGTCAGTTCCAGTTCTAGTTTGAGAAGATTTCACTTTGGAAGTACGGCTCCAGTACTCGTGCTCTGTGCTGTTGTCAACCTGATGTAGATACCTAGAGCTCACTGCCTCGAAGCCGTCAAATTTTCTGGATTCTTCCCTTCCCTTGGCAGCAAATGGCGACTTTATTGATGCCTCCGATATTCAGCTGTGGAGGAGCATTCGTGTTGGCCGATGTCTGGGTGATGCAGTTGAAACAGCGTGAGAGCTAAACTGTAACGTATGGCGGAGTAGTAGCCAGATTTCTTATCAGTTGAGGCATATGCTGATGGTATTTTCCGTTGGGACAGTGAGCCAGCGTGTTATCAAATGCTTCGAGTTCTTGAACGTCTACCGAAAGCTGGGAAACCACGGTGATGGGATGTAACATTGATGTGCGGTCTAAGTCAAGATGGCAGTAAGCAAGGCGGGAACCTCATAACAGACCAGACCAGTCCCAAAGATGGGCTTTCATCTCGATCGAACGGCATCTAGGATTCCCTTTCAGTCCGGACCATTTACAGATGGATATCGGACTCACATCACGCTGAGTCCAGACTGCGCCGACAGCTCTAGCCGCAGCCGCCTTGGCAACGGGCGCACCGAGGACCCGCCTCTGTGTAATCGGCTTGCCGGACCGGTTTCGGGGGCCTGGCCAGTTGGACCATCGTCCGGAAACACGACGGGATGAAACCGGAGGACCGCCTGGGGAAACTTGCAGTCGATTCTCCGATCAGTGGGGAAACCATAGGAGTTCGTTTCACTCGAGCAAACCTTGTTGCCAGTTCGCGTGGGAGCCACGGACAAAACAACATCAGGCCGGGCATCGCGGACTGGAAGACTGATCACGATGGACTTCATGCCGCGGACTTGAGGAATCGCGGAATGCGAATAAGGGGCTGCCCATAAGGTTGGTTCGAACGAGTTGCAGATGCGCGGAGATGGTGGCCGTTTTGCTTCTGGGGAGCAGGCTTGGCGCCCGTCCTGGACAGAGTTGACCTGAAGCGCTGTCAGAGAGTTTCCTGGGTCTGACGTTTCCGTATTCGGTCGCTAACCGCTGGCAGAAAGGGGCAATAAAGAACTCGTCTCGCTACCCTGGACAACCTGAACGTGAGGAAAGCGAACGAACGAACAGTTCACAACCAGACGACCAGAGACGAATAAGAAAAAAACGCCGCTATCGCTGGTAATACCGGAAAGAAGAAATGCCATGCCTCATCTTTCGTTCAGCGTAGCATCAGATCGAACGAAGGTCGTTGGTGAAAAACAGACCTTAGTACAGATGGTGGGCAGCGGAGGTGATAGATGGGTTCGCAAGATGCCTGGAGGCCAGTCCCAATCACACCATCTGTGAGCCGCGGTCCAGATCGGGGATCGAAGCCAAGAATAGCTGCAGCAGTAGCCACCCGTCACGCCGCCGCCGTCTCAGAAGCCGCGGGAGAGCAAGGCTCATACCGCAAGCGAGCTCATCCGAGATATGGCCGGTCGACGAACGTTGCACGAGCTCCTGCAGCCTTACTCGAGAGGTCATCTGAACCGTGCTGCCTGAAATTTGGAAGTTGACAAATTTCTCCGCTATGGCGATGAACGTCCGGCCACATCATCCTTCTTCATGTCTGGGGACAGTTAAGCATAATCGGGCGAGTAAGCTGCGATCAACCATAACCGGGCCCGGCCGATTCGGTCTGTCCTGAAGGTCTCAGACTCGGTAACGATTTTGACGAGTGGCTATGACGTCTTTTGGGGTTCGGCTTAAAGCCGAATGTGCGCAGGGCCGCCGTTTGTTTGGTCGAGCTGCCGCTGGTTTGACGAGTGACAAAACCATAATCTCAATGCAAGATGAAGAGAAAACGGCGGCGGCTGCAAGAAGCTGCGGGTGAGCACCTTGAAGAGGGTAACATGATTTGCGAGCAGCGGGCGGGAGAATCAAATCATCAAACGCTGGACCGGCAGGGATGTCATGTGTCCAACAAACCAGCAGGAAGGGTGGGAGCCCAGCCATCTCGTCTTGAAGACGCTGGCATTCGTCGACAGGTTTCCACTACCGGGAGGCCAGCGTACGGACGGGACGAAGGCCATACGTGGGAGCGTTTGGGGCGAATAGGGTCGAAGAGAAGAAAGAGGGTTGTCGACTGGGAACCGCTGTGTAGGTTATTTGGCAGAAGTCAAAAAGAATTGGAATTCGTGATCCGATTTTGCACAGCCATCCTCGCCAGGCAGTCAGAGAAAGCCTGGACCAACCTGGTGACTTGCCCGGGATACCGGTGACAGGCATGGCAGGACGTAACGCCCTGCTTCTCCTGACCTTTGAGAGACCTGAGATGAGTTCTAAGTTTCTGGAGTCAGCGGGCGGCATTGGCGACTCGGTAAGGGGACCACGATACCCCAGTTTGGTGCCGTCATGGAGGCCTGTGGTGGACGAGTCCGGGACCTCCTTGAAGGGACGGCAGGACGGTGATCCGCGCAGAGACAGGGGAAACGAATTTTCGATTTGATGGATGAGATGGGTCACGATAGCACGATAGGCCGATGTCTTGTTCGGTCGGGGAAACGTTTACACCGGCTCAAACGAGTTGCGAGCTCTCGGTTCGGCGTCGCGGGAGACGAGTTGAGGCCACGAACTGTGGGCGTGTGGGAGATGTGTCGCGGGCGTGGGAAACGAATCCGACGTCACGGCGGTTGAGTGGTTGAGACAGACACACATCCCATCTTTTGAGGTTGCTTCTTGCCGGCAGCAAGTCTGCCCAGGTGTACCAAGCTTGTCACAGAAGAGGCCCGAGGGTGCGCAGGTCTTCGCCGGTGGCATGTCTGAGCGGACGGGAGCCACATGTCATGTCAGCCACAAGTCGCAGGGCAAGGCCTTCGAGACCGTACTGTCACGCAGGCCAGGGTAGTAGGCGGCAAAAGTTGTTATTTTGAGGAGTCAACAAAAGAAACGGGAGGGCATGAAGTGAACGAACCGTTCACCTGGGACGAGACGAAAGTGAGATACTGCAACGGGCATGGCGACCGGCTTGATTTGTGTACGAACTCAAGCATTCCGAGTTGAATGAACGGAGCATGAAGTAGTCTGTGAGTATCCGTATGTTTGGATCTGAGAATAAGAATAAGAAACGATAATTTGGAAATAAAATAGTGAATGCGATAGAGTTGCGGGATGACAACTTGGCAGCACTGTGCCTGCATTAGTCGGAGGTGAAGCGGGTGATAGGCGATGAACTAAGGCAAGGTAAGGCGCGGTAATGTAAGGTTATCCGCCAAGATACGTACGTTATGTAAGACTGCAAAGTAGTCGAGTGAAGTGTAAGTGTGTGTGTGTGTGTGTGTGTGTGTGTGGTGAGGTGACAGACATGAAGGTGTGATGAAGTGAGGGAGGGAATGTATGGTAAGGCGAAAACGAGGGGAGAATTGGGAAGGCGATGCTAGCTAATGCCCAACTAATGCCATGCGGTGCAGCCTACCTCAGCCACGTTGGGGACGGATACATTACATTAGTGAGAGTGCACAATTAAGCATAAGAGATGGAGAAGGGAATGACGTTGCCGGTACCTCCGTGTCCTCGGTGTCGTGAAGTGGGTGGTGTTTGTAACTTGTTGAGTTGTTGATGGTGTGCATCGCATCTGCAGAGGGCTGCTTATCCGCTGCCTCGGAAACCCCTACTACATACCAAGGTATGGTACAAACCACAGCACGCACGACGAGCTTAAAACCGCAACTGCCCAAGCTTTGACACTATTCTGGTTCCCGTTTCATGCCGTAAGTCAGGGGGTGTCAGTACGTATCCATCTTTAACAGGATGTGACCCCTGGCCGAGACGGGATCTTTGCTGCTCTCACCGTAATTCTCCGAATCGAACCCGCTTCCATTCACAGTTCTCTCATTCCCGTTTTCTCGCCTCGTCCACTTCAGCTACCACATATCACAGTATCAATGGTAGCCACACACTCTGTCCTACCCTGAAGCCACATACTTCGCTGCCAGCTCGGGCGCTGGCTTCGCACGGTCTCCCAGTCACACGGTCGCCGTTTCCGTGAGAAGGTCCATCATGTTCATGACGGCCACGTCCACAACCACCAGCCATTATCACACGCCTTTCCCACGCCCTCCAAGCCCGCTAGAAGTCTTCTACGGCGCGTCTACGACCTTCTGTTTCTTGACCCGAGCGTCTAGGGCCCAGGGCGACGGCTTGAAAGAACTCTATCAGCCTGCCTGTCCTGTCGGCAGCTATACTCTACGCTACTGCTCGTTGTCGGTCATGATGCTGCGAGATATCGCGCGCCATAAGGTTATACTGCGCTTCCCTGCGCGATAGAACCCATAACCGCGCCGAAGGGAACCCTCCCCGAGCCGAACCTCACATCGTCGGGTGATCATTCATGGGAGGCCGAAAAGAAACGCTCCGAGATCTGCCTCCAGGCTCCCTCGATGTCCTGGAATACTCCGACTCCGTGTTACCGAAAAGAACATTCCAACATCACAGATCGCACATCGCTCTCATGTACGTCGTTGAATCATGATCCACCGACTAAACAAGCCCAAAACCACCGGCGCCACCTCGCATGGCGCTTCGCCTCCCGCGAACATTGCAGCCGCTCCGTACGGGGGACGGCCGCGTTTCCTGACTCCAAAACACGTACCGAGGCCTACCAGCGTTTCCAGACCCGGAGATCCCAAGGCTGAGGACACGCGAGGAGACGTTAGTCCGACCAATACCAAGACGCTTGGTTACAGCCAGGGGAAATATACGGGGCCAGAGAAAGGCTTAGCCTCAGCTCCTCGTTACGGCATCTCAGTATGTACGGTTATCTTCACCAGAAGAAAAGAGACCCTGTGAACATCAGTAAACCAAGACGGCCCCAGATCTACTCGACATCCCAGTCTGATCGCCGAAACCGTAAACTTCTTGGCTGCCGTAAGAAGGGTGCATCATGTTCCTGACTGATGAACCAATCGGATCTCTTGAAGCACTCGTTCACCTCTCATTCTGGCTGCTGACTACACACGCAGTACTGTCTGCCCGTTCCTGTTCCTGAAGCTACTCTCACCTCGTTCCTGACTACTGCAACTCTACTCACTCAAATCACTCAGGCACAGCACGGCCATCCGACGCCAAGACTCCACTGAAACAGATTCACGAGCAAAGATTCGCCAAGCTTCATGCATCTTTGAACCTAACCGCACATCCACATCCACATCCCACCGCTCGCTCTCGAGCTTCAACCCCGGCCGCGCATCCTTCCATCATCGCGACCCCTTCGCAACCTCTCACACAACCCACTTGCTTGCTGCACATCACTCAAATCATTCTTACATACACATACAAACGTACATCGCATACACCATGTGCTGCTATGTACATGCCACTGCTGCCCGGTGAGGCGCAGTCACGCAGTAGCCCGACTTACACATGGATGGTAAGGTAGTGAAGGTGGGCGGGTGGATTCGCGGGAGGTTCCCACCTCAACCGTCTCCTCATGTGGGCGCCTACTCCAGCACCTTAGATGCGATTTGCTCTGAGCCGCATCTTGGCAGCTTCAACTTCATCCCCCACAACGCGACAGATCATCTTGAATATCTTGGTAGTATCAAGAGTTGACCCTTCTCCGACGCTGCCGGGGCTCTTGTCTTTCCCTCTCCCTCCCTATGAGGACTCGTCCTCTTGTCGTCTCATGGTAGTCCATCAGCCCGCCGGCAAAGACCCTCATCAGAGTCAGAGAGAATTTCATTTCTTCGTACATACACGTTCAAGCAACGAGACGAGGACTCACACACGCCCCTTCTGCCCTCGTTCACGCCCCCCTATGCCCCATGCCTGTGCCACTTGATTTGACGCGATACCGAGCTTTGCTTGAAGTTGACTTTGACTGACGGCCAGCCGTCCACCCTTCCCTTCCCCAAGGTCCTAGCCACACCCGAAGGGGACACTGACCCTGACGATGTGTTTGCAAGGTGCAAGGTAGCATCGGGGACGCAGGCCAGGCCGACTGGGGTTGTGCGCGCGGCGGCGTTGGGATCTCATTGTGAGAAACTGCAGAGAGTGAGGGCGAGAGTGACAAGAGGCAAACGCGGTTGTGGTTCAGCTGAGAACAGACCACGGCCATCAACGAGTTCCTACTCGTCTGCCTTGCACACACTACCTCAGCTACACTACCAAACAGCATGGAACGATCTGATTCCGAACCTCGTCAATTCCATCCCATCTCTCACCCCCCCTTTGGAATTTGTCAAATCTCGTCCCCCCTGGCCTTGAGGAAAAAATGGAATGCCAAGGACCACCATCCAGATCTTTCTATATAACTCTCCCGTCCACACCATCAAATCTAACCTTCTTCTTTCCCTCATCACACAGCATCAACAACAAAGCAAGCCTTCTCTTCTTCTTCTCTTCCTTCTTACACAACCAGCCCCGGTGGCTTTTTAACCTACGCACTCTCTAATCTAAACTCCTCCGACTCCCAAGTTTCCCCAGCTCGCCACTTTCACTATCAAAATGCGCTCCCAATCGCTTGTCGTCGCCGCTCTGGCCGCCTCCGTCTCGGCCCACGGCCTTGTTGTGTCCATGGATGGCGCCAACGGTGTCACCATGCCCGGTCTGACCGGTAAGCAGCAACACTTCAGAGAGAGAAGGATTCGGACATCTAATACTAACATCACAATCCAGTCGCTGACGGCACTCCCCGTGACTGCTCTTCCAACGGCTGCGGCTCCCAGGCCGATACCGCCATCATCCGTGACCGCGAGATCGCTTCCGGCGAGGTCGGCCCTCTCGGCCGCACTCAGGGCAACGGCCCCGTCACCGCCGATGTCATGATCAACAACTTCATGGGCGGTGCCTCCGCACCCAAGAACAACGGCGCCGCTTCCGGTGTCGGCCAGGAGGATAACATCCCCAACACCGCCAAGCGCGCCGAGCTTCACGTCCGCCAGGGTCTCGCCGGCCTCTTCGGTGGTGGTGGCAAGAACAAGGGCAACAAGCAGAACGGTCCCCCCGAGGCCCGCGTCGCCGCTACCGCCGGTATGGGTGCTGCTCAGGGCATGCCCACTTGCGCCGACGACGGCACCATCAACTTGACCTTCCGCCAGATCAACCAGGATGGTGCCGGTCCCTTGACCGCCGATGTTGACGGTACCTCCGGAGGTACCAAGGAGGAGGCTTTCCAGAGCGCCCAGGTCACCCAGGATGTTCCGGGACTCGGTATCCAGGGTCTGTCTCTGGCCACCAACACCGACTTCCCCGTCAAGATCCAGATGCCCGCCGGCATGACCTGCGACGGCAAGGTCGGCATGGCCTCCAACGTCTGCGTTGCCCGCGTCCGCAACGGCGCCGCCGCCGGCCCCTTCGGTGGCTCCGTCGCCTTCACCCAGACCGCCGCCGGTCGCAAGCGCGCCGTCGCCTACCGCCTCAAGAAGCGCATGGAGATCAACAACCGCGTATAAGCGGTTCCGTCTCTCCTCTCCCTTTCCCGAGAGATCAGGGTTGTGGGTTTTTGAGAGATCCTCAGCGATTCGTTGGTGTCAAGCCTAGGAGTTTGGGGGTTTACGAGTCTTGCCCGCAGGGAGTCAGGGACTTCCGGAGCTCGATTGGGAATTCCAGACACGGGTATAGAGCTTTGGAAACGGCCATTCTTTATTATTTTGTATTCTACATTTCTTATTATTAGGTCGTCACTTTTCCATAGGCAATTGACGCCAAGTCGGAGTTTGAAACTACATTGCTTGCTGTCATTCTCGCTGTGAATTTGGACTTTGATGATTCTTCGAAAATCAGCAATATCACAAGAGCTATATGAGTGTTTCCCCACGTCTATCAGACGGTGTCAAAATCGAGTGACGCCGTCGGATAAGCTTGTTTCTACTGACAATTCATCAGGTTGCCACCTAGCCACGGCCGCGAGTAAACAACTGTGTGGCTGTTTGTCGACTGCTCCGGAGGGCAAGACCGTCCGAAGTGGAAAGCCTCGCTCAGGCTGCATCCCTTCTTCGTAACCACACGAGCAACATGACACCGGACTTGTGTCAGGAAGGGCGAAACTAAACAAGCGTGGCGAATCAGGGGCAAGGAAACATTTCAAATTCTGAATCGCGAATTTGATTTTGAACTGGCCATTCGCATGTCGTCCTCGGACTTTGCTCAAGACCTAGTGCACCTCGTCTTGGTCGTCGCTTACAACCGACGACGTCTCTCTATCACGCGACGACATTCCCGGCCGAGGAGATGCTTTCGGCCATCGACGGGGAGGCCATCCTAATGCCGGCCTTGATGAAGTGCCGCTGTACTACCAAAAACCAAAAAACAAAGCGGAACCGTCGCCGTCGAAGAATCAAACACTGTGAAATCTGTGCAGGAACTGCCTGCCTGCCCACCTTTTGGTACTGTTGTTCTGCATGGTTTAAAAATATGGCTTCCGTAAACAAGAAGAAGAGTCGGGCTAGAATCACCAGCGACGACTAAGCTTGAGTTAGCCACGGGTGTTCCCAAAAGAGAGCTTTGGACGACCAACCTGTATGCCGCGTTGACCTTTGGGGCCTTTTTCCGGATTTTTCCGCTTTCACCTAGCTTGCCCTCTTTACCGCCCTTCGTCTTAGTGTCGATCCCAAGGAGCTCGGCCTCCAAGTCGGATAGTTCTGACCCTTCACTGCCGTGCGACGCGACCGAGGCCATGGACTGCCTGGATGCAGGGCGTGAGTCGGCATGACTGCTGTGAGACCCGCGACGCCACGATTGATGAGAACCGTTTCTGCTCTGCGGTCGACTGTCAGGAGGCGGTGTTCCCGGATATGGCGGCGTTGCCGGCCTCCTTTCGTGCATGCTGTTGGTAGAATCCTGTCGTCGCATCTGACGAGAGCTATGATAGCCGCTGTCGTGACGCGCAACATATCCTTCCCTGTCCCGCGAGGAATGCCCGGCTTCTCTACTGTCGCCGGACGCATTGAAGTGGACATCGCCCGTAGCATGCTCAGCGCGCTCCGGTCTTTGGGTCCGGTAGCGATCGATCGACCTGTCGTCGTCTCTTCCCCGACGGGCGTACGGCGATGCGTGTTCGTACCCCGGGTGCGGTTCGCCCTTCTGCCTCTTATGACCGTGGTCTCTCCTCTCACCTTCCTGATAGCTACTGCCCGGCGACTGCTGATACGGCGAATCTTCCCACGTGCGCTTCCGGTTATTTGCGAATCGGGTTTCAGGAGTTGGCGGTTTTGGCGGCAGAGAGGGAAACCCGGGAAGACGTGACGACTTGAACGGCTTTTCTCTGACAACGGGCTGCTTCCTAGCGACTTTCGTGCTTGGCGCAGGCTTCCAGAAAACAGGATCATACTTCAAAGTGGAGAAGAATTCGGTCTCCCGGATGGGTCGCGAAAACTCTTCGAGGTTGTCCTCCTTCACAAACTCAGACGTGATGCAGGTGGCATTCCATGCCGGTGGCAACATGATGTTATCATGGTAGTCCAGAGGTCCAGGAAGAGGTTTGCCGATGGGGTCAGGTTGGTGAGTTTTCGGCGGTTCTTGGAAGATCGTCTTCTCCTCCCATGTCCAGTCATCATCGTCATCAGCATCATGCTCGGACACGGTGGCTGCTTGGCGGCTTTCGGGAGTCCCGCTAGCGATCGATGCCGCCTTGGCCTGCTCGACTTTTGGCGTAGAGCTTGCTTTCGGCGCGGTAGAATTCTCCATGTTCCCAGACTTTGGGCGAGGTTGTGATGAGTCCCTTTGCGGCTGGTTGCCATGCTTGTTGCGGCGACCCCGATCTTGACGTCGATCTCGACGATCTTGATTCCCCTGGCGATGGCGGTTGTTTCGGTCTCGTGACTGTTGGTTCCTTTGTGGCACAGGAGGTATCGGAGGTAAGCCATGTGCCGGTGGCGCACCGCGAGGAGGGGCTGGAAGAGGAGGAGGTGGCCCATAGCCCGTATCAGGGTGTCTGTACGGTGGAGGGTAAGAAGGCGGAGGCGGAGGAGGTTGAGAACCGTACGGCAGTTGTGAGGGCGGGGGGGCATAGCTCGGTGGAGGGTAGCTTCCTCCAGGAGGAGGGTAAGAACTGCTCGGAGGTGGCGGAGGGGGGCTGGACTGGTAACCTGGAGGTGCATAAGGAGGAGGATATGTTGGACCCGGAGGGTAATGAGGTGGTTGATAGCTAGGAGGAGGCACCGGTCCGGAAGGCCCCGGCGGCCCAGGTGGAGGGGGGCCACCGTACTGGCCGGGGCCTGGGTACTGGTAAGACGCAGACGGTACCGGAGGACCGGAGGCGCCGGGTGGTGGTGGTGGCGGCGGCGGCGGGTAGGAACCCGGGGGCGGCGGCGGTGACGCATACTGAGAATAGCCGGGGTAGTTACTCGGAGGTGGGGGAGGAGGATAGCTGGCCGGAGGAGGTGGATAAGACGGGTAGGGCTGCGGGGGACCGGGATACGGAGGAGCATGGGGCAGACTGGGCGGGGGTGCGTAGCGAGTGACGATCGGATTGCCGCCGGGTGGAGCTGGATATTTTGTCACGACCGGCCCCGATCTCCGGCCGGCGTGATGATTGTCATTTCCTCTTCCATAGTCATGGCCTGTTGAGGTATTCTTTCGTGAGAGTCCACTTTCTTCAGTCAGTCTTGGCACGGCTCAAGAATCGGTCCAACTAGACCGATGCGACTGCAGTAGACTTACGCTGGCTTCGCTCTCGCAGGTTCGGGACAGGCCACAGCCCAGTGTCCAATACCGCCACAGTTGATACAACTGGGTTCTTTTGTAGGCGGTCCCAGGCCTGGAGCGTGATCTGCCATGACTGAAGCGAGTTCGTGGGTGGGAAAGTGGTGTGTAGATCTTGTGGGAGAGCCGCGATGCCGAAGAAGGACGAGTAGCAGCAGAGAGAGAAATGCCTGAGACTGAATGAGAAGTATGGTTGAATGGAAGGGTGTTGTATCAGAAAAGCTTTCGTCTGGTGAAATGTTCCAGTCGATAGTTGGTGCTTGTCTCGAGCACGCCAGAAGCAACACCGAACCGCGGAGAAGCCTAGTCTCTGCTTGATGTGTGTTGAAAATAAGAGAAAGCCTAGAGATTGGAACAATAAGAAAGCAGTCAACTGAAAGTCAGGGGGATGCCAACCTCAATGGTTGCGTTGCGAGAGTTCAGTCAGCTGAGCGCTTAGTGAAGATGGGCAGACGGAGCGCAATGCCGTTCTGGAGGCAACTTTCTGTATGACGACTCTCATTAAAGATGGGGGAAATCTCCTTAGATTGCTCGAGACAGAGATGAGGCCATTCAGAGGTGGTCGACTAGATGCGCTGATGATGGTCGCGGGGTCGCATCACCTCGGCGGGACCTCCTTCCGCGACAGTCCAGTGGCGCGCAGGCGGAGGGGCTGCGTCCCAAGAGGTCAGTCGAGCAGTCGCGACTTTGATATCGCTCTTGAGAGACCAATATCAAGGAGATGCTGGCGCTTGTCAGAAGGTACAAGGATGAGGGCGTAGCAAAGCGCGACGAAGTTGACCAAAGTTCAAGGTTGCGCGAGCGCGCCCAGGCTCGGGCGGAAAGTGGGGCTGGGCTCCTACCCGGTGAGGCACAGCGCCAGCGCCAGCAGCAGCGCCAACACCAGCGGCAACAGCTTCCGACCTACCTGGAGGTCACGAGAAAGACCGGAAATACGTCGGGCCGACAACGCTTTCTTTTTCCTCTTTGTTGCAGCAGGTAGATTCATCCTGATTCAGCATGGAAGCCGGGAAGAGGCAGTAGCAAGGCACAGAGACAGGCCAGTTATGCTGAGGGCCAAGCATGTCCAGTCAAGCGTTGGCAGACAGAGATGGTAGAGTCTAGCAACCTTACTTGAACCTGCAAGCCCGAATGCCACCTACAAATCTGTGTGTGGTATGCCGCTTGCCGCTGAGTGTCTCTATTGTGCTTTTTGGTAAGGCAGTGTGAGGCCATTGTACCGTGCGAGATGTATGAAATTGGAGTTGGTCTCAAGGGCAGCTTCCACAGTTGATAGGAGAAATGAGATGATAGCAGCTACATCGCGTGAAACGCCGAGGCACTACGTCCTCACAGCGCCCTGGCAGTGAAGATGCCAGAGGAAGAGAGGCTATCTTGACAAGACCTGTCCCAGAAGCAGGAGTATCATTTTGCATTTTCTTGACTGCTGGGATTTCAGATATCCCATGTGGGAGAGCTGAGACGGATATTGGATATTCTAGGCCAATTTGGTTTCTGATGAGAAATGACATGCAATGCAAGCAGGTCCGATATAGCTCGCGACCACGAAAGAACCAGGTTGAAACGCGCAGAAATGGGCCAGAGTAGTCGGCAGTCAAAGACAAAGGAAACGCGACCGAGATTCCGGTCCAGGCCAGGAACCCGAAGCATTACAGACGCCAGATGTCGGGTGCTGTTGATTTCTTGGAGGAACAAGAAGGCCAGGCCAGGCCAGGCGGAGGGCAACGCGACAGATGATCAAGACGGGGAAAAAGGAAAGTTTTTGGTCGCGAATGCCCCGTAAGCGGGAGCGGAGTCTCCAAACGTGCAGAATGCAAGCCAGAGTCGACGGGCGGAAGAAATAGGTAAACACGAGAACGGGCTCGTCGTTCTGCTGCAATTGACGACGAATATGAGAAAAAACCGAACCAGATTCAGACGGGACAGGGCGAGAAGCGGTGTATGAGAGGGGAGAGACAGCGCCGGCCGTCTCGACTTTGACCACGGGTTGGATTGGGGGAAGAGCTACTCTTTATATGCCAGTCAGTCCACCTCAGGTCCAATCCAATGGAAAACTTGATTGCTTCCATGCACTGAGGTGAGCGAGCCTGTGAGGTGGCAGGCAGCCGGGCTTCCCTGGCCAAGAGCCAAGACTTTCCCTCAGCGCTTCTGTCAGGGGCTTGTAGCAGCCTTTGCCCCTAAAGACCGGCCCCCGGCGTACGTAAGCGAGGCGGTCTCGCTCGCTGACTGGTCCATAACGCACCGAGCCAGTCCGTTTTTGGCAGCATCGTCTTTTTCGTCTGGATTTCGCATTTCTCAGCCAGGTCCGAGCTCCCGTCCCGAGCTGGATTGAGTTGGCCGACGGGACTTCCACACATTCAGATTGCAGCATGACGTCCCTTCTTCTGCAGGCGCTACAGCTGTCACTTGCGTAAGGTAAAAAAAAGAATATCGACATTTTCTTCCACCGAGGGCATCTCTCCCGCCGCGCCCTCGTTCTCGTCGCTCCTTTTCTCCTCTACACCACCGACTTGACGACACCGACCTGCGATACCCGACCGAACACCATCGTCTACCTCCCCCGCGTCGATTCACCCCACGCCCACGCCGTCCACCTCAACCACTCGCCCGCCTCCTGCCGCCGCGCACCCCAGCTTCCATGTAAAGGCCCGTCGTCCTCGATCATGTTTACACAACCACGAAGCTCATCACCACATATCACCCGCCCTTGGAGTAGAAGTGGTCATCGCCGACCTGCTTCTTGAGCGGCTCCCCGCTGCAGTCTATATTCTTTCTGCCTCTAGAGACCTTTACGACATCTTCATACGCAGACACCGACAGTAGTTTGCTGCCGTCCCGTCGCACAACCATCCATCAAGATGCCCGGACTTCCAGGTACGCCATGCCATGCGATTTGGAAAGCTCTTAGCCGCCGCATAAACTTGGACTGACGCGCCTGATCTCAATAGCTTCCGTCGATCTCGACGAGTGTATTTCGCGCCTGTACAAACGGGAACTACTCGCAGAGTCCGTCATCGAGGCCATCTGCGCCAAGACGAAAGAGCTCCTCATGCGCGAGAGTAACGTCGTTCACGTCCGCGCCCCCGTCACCGTTGTTGGCGATATTCACGGCCAGTTCTACGACCTTATCGAGATCTTCAAGATTGGCGGGTGGTGCCCAGACACCAATTATCTGTTCCTGGGTAGGCGCCGCAACTTGCGTGCCGAGCGTGGAGAGGATACCGACGACTGACGACCATGCAGGAGACTACGTTGACCGCGGCATGTTCAGCGTTGAGACCATTTCTTTGCTTGTGTGCTTGAAACTTCGATACCCCAATCGCGTTCATTTGATTCGAGGCAACCATGAATCTCGCGGCGTCACCCAGTCCTATGGTTTCTACACGGAGTGCTCGAGGAAATACGGCAACGCCAACGTGTGGCATTACTTTACCGACATGTTTGACTTTCTGACACTGAGTGTCGTCATCAACGACAAGATCTTTTGCGTCCACGGCGGTACGTCATTCCCTGCCGACAGCCTGCGCGCCGGACTAATCAGTGTCTCCCTACAGGTCTCTCCCCGTCTATACACTCGATCGACCAGATCGTCATCATCGACCGCTTCCGCGAAATCCCCCACGAAGGCCCCATGGCCGACCTGGTCTGGTCCGACCCAGACCCCGAGCGAGACGAGTTCTCCCTGAGCCCCCGAGGAGCTGGGTACACATTCGGCGCCCAGGTCGTCAAGAAGTTCCTGGCTGTCAACAACATGGACCACATCCTGCGAGCCCATCAGCTGTGTCAGGAAGGGTTCCAGGTTCTGTATGACGACCGCCTCAGCACGGTCTGGAGTGCTCCAAACTACTGCTACCGGTGCGGCAACATGGCCAGCGTGCTAGAGGTCAGCGACACGGGCGAGAGGTTCTTCAACGTGTTTGCTGCTGCTCCAGAGAACGACCAGCACAAAGACATGCAGCCTGGCGCGGAAAAGACGGCAGACGGGAACGCTCTCCCTGATTATTTCCTGTAGTGCAACTTATGGAAGCTTGCATGTCGTACATGATCTCTCCAGTGGTCTTCTTTAGCGACTGAAGAAGTTATGAAACCATAGTGAACAATGGCTGATCGACGAGCATCACCGACAACGGAATCTGTCAGAGATCTCACGTAAAGGAGGGACAAGACAGGCATATAGAGAACGATGAAGATCCAATGGATTTGTATACAGAGCTCGGAACATAATTCGAGCCTGAGAACTACCTGCCATCTACCGACCAATTTTGATTGATTCGTGACTTCATGTGCCGGACCTTTAGGAGGCGGGAGCAAAAATTCAGCAAGATCAGCCCTTCCATCATCTGTAGAACTGACCAACCATTCCTTTACAAGGGCGGTGTTTGTTGTTGTGTATATCTTTCATTTTTGTTTGTGAGTGAGTGATGGGGAGGCCCCGTCTGTCCGGGTTCCCAAGTTGACCAAGCAATCGACCGCAAGACGTTCCCCACGCAAATCGGATGGACTCGTAGCCGTCGCCTCGGAATCGTTGCTGTTGCTACTGGTTTTGGACGGAGGCCGACGGCCTGGGGAGGACAAGATCGCACTGTTCGCTTATCGGGGACGTGGATGAAATGAGCAAGTTGGTTATTAACGGTTTCCTCCAATCTACCAATCCTTGGCGATGTCGAAGGACCACTCAAAGGTCAGGTGAGTCTTCTTGTCGTCGTCGACGAAGCTGGAGATGGCGTTGTAGTGGCCGCGGGCGAGCATGCCGGAGGGGGCATCCTCCTCTTGGACTAAAGGGGGGAGTCAGTCCACCAAACCGGGACATGATGACAACGTGAACTTACAGCGCTTGGTGTAGGTAGGCTGCTTGTCGGTGTTAGGAGCGTAGCTGCCCTGCGAGAACGTCAATACGGGGCTCGTCTGAAAGATGTTTGCCAACGGAACGGAGACTTACCAGCATCTCAGAGTCCTTGCTGACCTTGATACCCTTGCGCTTGACGACCTGGACGTACTGCAGGCCGCTGAGAATCTCGTGCTGGACCTTGAAGGTGGCGACCATGGTGAACTTGGCGCCCTCCTTGATCTTGAAGGGCTTGTCCTTCAGGCTGGCCTCGGAGCCGGGGGCGGACAGGTCGATGGTGACGGGGTCGCGGCCGGGAGACTCCATGGTCAGGGAGAGGATGATGCAGACACGGGGGTCGGAGGAGTCCGAGAGGTCCTTGCCGCCGCCGAGGCCGAGGGACTCCTTGTAGCGCTGGAGAGACTCGTCGTTCTCGTCTGCGGGTGGGTTAGTCGGCGTCTGGCTCTCATCGTGTCGATCTCGTTCTTGCTGCAGCTCATATGTCTCGACACCGTGGGCTGCCCGGACGGCGTTGGGTGAGGTGTAGAAGTCCCGGATGAGACTCGGGTTTTGCTGTTGTAGAGGCTGTGATTTGGGGGAGTTGGGAGGGTTTGGAGGGACAGGGCGTGAGAGTGCTCGCGCTCGGTGAAGCTGGCCTTCCACGAGAGCCACCGGAATTCCGCCACTGCCACCAAGTGTTGGCGACTGGGCGCGGGATTCGGAAGGGGTGTTGAGGGGTGCAGGGGGTATCTCAATGGAATTGCGATCTCGAAGAGCATTACTGCGGTTCTGACGGCGCATGACAAGGCGCATGCCCTCATATAACCTCTCCATATTGCGATGAAGGAGTTGCGTGCTTTACAATACGCCAAAAAGAAAACACCAAGAACAGAGGTAAAAAGTGGTGATATCTGGGGAGAAAGAAAAAGCCATGTGGTGATGTGGTGGTGGTGGTGGTGGTGGTGAAGATAGCTTGGTGTTTATGTTTGTTTGGTGGTTGCTTGGAGGGAAGGTGCGCCTGCCTTGGATGCTCCTTCCTGGTTGTGATGCTCCATGGTCTTGGTGATTTCTGATTATCCCATATCAAATACACCATGAGCACTTGCTCAATGTCACCGAGGTGAAGGCCTGGCTTCAAAAGCTCTTGTTTGACACACCGACATCCAAACAAGGTGAGTGAATGAATGAGGGGCACAAAGGACCCAGTCCCCAGCTGTCCAGTCCACCCAGGCCATGACCATGGACACAAAGACTTGCATTGAGGGCGATGTGGATGAAGACTCTGATCAAGATCAAAGAGATTCAGTACTCACCCATCTTCTGGTACTCAGCGAGACTCTGCTTGGGCTGGGAGAGCTTGTAGCCCTGAGTCTCCTCAGGCATGGTGTCATCTTGCTCGTGGGAGGCCATGGTGGGGTATGGGGGTAGCTCTGGACAGAGATTTGGAGATGTGCAGCTGGCGAGGAACGAGTGCGTTTGCTTGTGGGAGCTCCGGATGTAGAGCAGCAGCGGCAGTGAAGGTAGTGAGTAAGCAGAGATGAGGTCTGTGACGATGTTTACTCTGAGGAGAAGTTGAGGTTTAGGTTCGGTCGATGAGTTAAGGTCAGGCAGTAGTCGCAGCTACCTTACCTCAGGTAAGGTACTCGCTGGCCGGGCAAGGTACAGCAAGGCAGGTAGGTCACCGCTTCCTGAGGTGCCCCTCACCTCACCTCGCGCCTCCACGTCTTGCCTCCCGGCCCAGGCCCAGCAGGCCCAGCAGGAGCAGCAGGAGCCTCTGAAGGACTGGTCGCGGACAGGCCAGCCGGCGGGCAGTGGACTCCTGAGCTGTGGATTGTGGATTCAGGATGGCCTACACTAGACGAATTCGGGCGTTTCATTGGCCGATGGGCTTGGTGGGGTTCGGCTCGCATTGATTGGCCGACATCTGGAACAAGATGGAACTTCACACACGAAACCAGCACAATCAACAAAGCCCTCGCGTGCATATCTCGCAGTGCTTTGGCTGCCGTGGGAATGCAGAATTCCAGCTTCTTCTACTTTGATTTGGGCACGATATCATGACACTGCGACTCATCGTTGGAGAGGACGGTCGTGTTTGGAGAGAAAACATCCCAATCGTCTGGCCATTACCCCTCCACGACGGTACATCAGCTAAGGTATTCCGTGTAACACTCTGCCCCTCCTGAGGTGTCATTGACGACCAATCTCGACACGGCATGGAGGGGCTAAGAGGGGATCGTCCGTCGATATTGGCCCAGGCGATTTGAAGAGCGGTCTGGACGACTGCAATCTGCAGCTCTCGAGGATGTTGATTGCTGACACTGGCTTGCCATGTCTGTTTTCTGCCTTCTGTTCCTGAGACCTCTTGGTACCTATCAGGAGACGCATGTGCCTCGTGGAAGTCAATTCAGCCACCAGTCTCACAGGATGCGGGGTGCTGGCCTAGGTAATAAGGAGGCTGCGTCCTGCATCTGTACAGATAGGTAGATGTTGGAGAGACGAGAGGCTCTTCTTGTCTTATCTCGAGCGCGGATCGGACTGCCGAGCACCCCAGGCGCAGTCATCATTTTGTGCAGCATGTTTATGCAGATTGGATAAATGCTTCTGCTGCTCCCGCTCCCGTCTCTGACCATGACCCGGCTCCGGCAGTCACTTTCGCCGGCATCGCCATTCGTATCATCGCCGTAAACGTTCCGAGCCTTTGGAACCCGCCAAAGCGATGAGATGGCATTTTCTGGCCCCTTGGCTTCGATTGTCGTTGCTCAGCCAATGCCGCCGTCTCCATCGAGTGCCGGGGCCCGGCTCGTTTCGCTCCGATTAAGGAGATGGTGAAGTCATGCCCTCTAGCTTCATTGTCGGCATCATTGCTGCGTAAAGTAGATCGTCCTTTGTTTGAGGGTTTCCGCCAGATCGGACGGCCTGGGAAAAGGCATGTCCTGTTCTTTGGACACGTCGATTGCCCGCGAATCTGCAGAAGCAACGTGGGTACAAAGACTTGAAGCTATCAGAGGTATCCGTAGGGTTGGCCCGTTAGGTAGGTACGGATAGCGGGCTGGGTGCTCCCCGCGGTCTGCTCTCCTGGAAGCTTTCAGAGCTCAGTCCTTGAGCTGGCTGCTGCTCGTCTCGTTGCGACGAAGAATGCGGCAAGGGGAGGGGGCATCCATGTTGATGAGAGACCCTCGATGAAGCCACCAGAGACCCCTTGCGCTGTGGCCCTGTCCCCGCTTCTAGCTGCGAACGGCTCCTAGGATGCTCAGAGCTTTTCGCGTCCGCGACGAGAATGTTGGGATTTGAGAACCGGGATCAGCTGGGTGAGGAGAGGAGAGGTCGTGTCGGCAGAGATGGTGACCAGGAGCTCCGGTCCAAAGATTGAGGCAACGTGTGCTCAACTGAACCGAAGAGAGCTGTCGGACGGTTGCAAAAAAAAGATCGCTGCCAAAAATCAACCAGGGTCACCGAATAGGAAAGGGAAAAAGGGACCGTCGCATCTGATAATTTTCCTCTCGCTCAGGGGACTTTTTTTTTTCTTCGTTGCGTCTGCATTCCGGGGAAGGAGCCGGGGAGGTGTTCGCTTGGTAGAGAGACGCGGCAGGTGGTATACGTGATAAAGAGGTACTTCCATATGAGCATTACAGAGCAACAGAATGATGTACCTGTCTATTTCGCACTCTTCATCAGGAGATTCTCATTCAGCCCATTCGCGGAAACCCCCATGCCCCCCATCAATTTAATCCAATGAACAGAGGACTGTAGGACCCTCCCGCCGCCCCCCAAAACGTGAAGTCACTTGCCAGAGCTACCACCTATCACAGCTGGCGCGCAAGTGCTTCTGCGGGTGCTGCCACTGCCGTTGCCGTCGCTGTCGCCGTCGTTGCTCGGTGCTCACCTCAGTGTACGGGTGTGTGTGAGAGACAGAGAGAGGAGAGAGAGGAAAGCGGGTGCTCCAATTTGCGCGCGCGCGCGACTTGACCCTTTCGTACTTTCCTTCTCCTCCTTGCGCCCATCCACGCCCGTCTCGTCCGTCTCCTCTCTTTTTTCTCTCGACTTTTTCCAACCATCCATCTTTTGAAAGTCTCGAGACACTTCGTCGCCCTTTTGAGTTTTCGTAACCCTCACGGGACGCTACTCCCGTTTGCTTCCATTTACCAATTCTAATCCTTTTTTTCCATTGACATCATCTCCACACCCTGCACCGGCAACCTTCTACCCTACCTGTAAAGGTAAGGAACGGATACGCGACAAGACTACCCACCTGTCACGTCCATCAGCTCCGACGAGTCCAGTAAGCGACACCCGACACCACCTTCGCCCTTTTTCGCGCGCCCAACGTGCCATATCCGGTGCTCAGACTGACGCGCCGAATAGTCCTTTACTCCTCCGATCGAGCCTTGCTACCTAGCGACGAACGCGATCCGAGCATTCAGACCCCCGGTCGTCTTCACGCGCGCATCGCCATCACCTTACATACTCACTTTAATCACCAATCGCAACGGCGCAAGCCCATCACCATCAAGATGCCCTCCGCGACAGCCCCTTCCGTCGAGAGGCACCTGCCTAAGAAGCACAACCCTCTAATGCTCGAAGATGTACCGCCATGTAGGACTTTCTGATTGATTGCGCCCGAGGCTTTTGCTCACACTGCCACAGACGGCGATCTCGTTGCCCGCCGCCGCCTCGGTCAGACCCAACTGACGGCCAAGATGGTCAACATGCCCGACAGCGACGGATCTACCCTCGGTGTTTTCGACTATGCTCATCTTCGCGCCCCTCTGCCCAAAGGAATCGTCTCCGGCATCTTCAAGTCCAGCCCGAACAGCTACTTCCTGATGCGCCGCAGCCACGATGGCTTCGTCTCTGCTACCGGCATGTTCAAGGCCACCTTCCCCTACGCCGAGGCATCCGAGGAGGAAACCGAGCGCAAGTACATCAAGTCTCTCGCCACTACCAGTCCCGAGGAGACGGCTGGAAACGTGTGGATTCCTCCCGACCACGCCTTGACTCTGGCCGAGGAGTACCGTATCCTGCCGTGGATCCGCGCTCTGCTCGATCCTGCCACCATCTCCGTCTCCAACGCGCCCGATAGCCCGCCCAAGAAGATCGCCGCGCCGCCCAAGTTCGAGTTCGTCAAGGCGCCCACTCCCCAACTAGCTCCTCCTGCCACCCCGACTCAGCTCCGCAGATCTCGCCGCTCCGCCAGCCCGACCAAGACTACGATCCCCAGGCCTACCAGGTCGCCCCGTAAGCGCAGGGCGAAGGCCGATTCCGTCGAGCCGAGGGAAACTACGCCTGCTCTCACTACCACCACCAAGCTCGAAGTGAACGGCGTTATTGAAGAGGACAAGGTTGCCGAAGCGGAGACTGTCATCAAGACCGTCGAGGCGGAACCCAGCGTCGTGCTCGAACCGAGGGAGGAAGACCCCAAGGCCAAGGTCTTTGTCGACCAAGACATCAAGACAGACGAGGACGGAAACGAGACGAAGCACACTGCTGTGTCTCTCCAGCTTCCCCTACTGAGCTCTCAGCCGCCAACTGCCGAGGAGACAGCCCGTATGATCGCTGAAGCCAAGCAGATGGTTGAGGCGGCCTCAAATCAGGATGCAGCCGTTAAGAAAGGCAAGAGAGGCGCCGAGCAAATCTCAACAGGGGATGACGAGGACGAGAAGAAGGAAGGTGGTGCCGAGACTGCGGAAGAACCCCGGTCGAAGAAGGCCAAGACCCAAGAGACCCAGGTCCAAATCAAGAAGCAGGGTATGCGCAAGCGCGCCATCTTTGGCATGACTGCGCTATCAGTAGCCGTGGGGTATGTTCTATCGAGTCCTTATGCATAATGATGTGTGCTAACTGTTGACCTAGCGCTTTTTCATACTTTACCGGATCGTTCTAAGAAGACGTCGTTACCAGTGTGGGGGGGTTGATATTCGGGGTGCATTTCGGAATCGAGAGTTGAGTGGTCTGGCCTGGGGAGCAACGGAGTGTCCGGTTGCTCTTTGGATGCTGCTGGGATGCAGACCTGGTGGCAAACCTTTTTTTACGTTGCCTTTCTTTCGCTCATACCCAGATAGAGCCTGGGAACAATCCAGGCCGGCTTTCTTTCACTCTCCCTCTCTCTCTATTGGGAATTGTTGATGTGGGACTAACTACGTGTATATTGAGATCGCGTTTCAGGCGACGGGCGACATGGAAGGCGAGGCACGGTTTAGGATTGAGGGTGTTGTAATCGATGTATCGTTCCTGGTGCTTGTTTCTGCTTTTGGGCATGGTGGGTATGTACAGATGGCAAGTTGTCTTGATGTTTTGTGCGATATTTCTGGGCGTTGTCAGTTTGAGGTCGTCGCTCATTAGCAACAAGCACCGGTTGACAGATGAATCGAATTCATGGTTCTTCAAACACTCCGAGACGGCTGACAAGTGACCCTAAGGCAAGAACGAGGTTGTCTTATAATGGCGCCGGACCGTCCTCGACAAGTGATGCCGCAGAGGTCGATGCCAAAATACACGATCAAAGATTACTCTACAGCTCGACCAGCTTGAGCTTAGTCTTTCTCGATCTACCAACCCGAATTAAAATCCATTTTACAGATATATCCTCGTGCCCTGCCACCCTCCTGCCTGGTACCTGAATCTGTGTGACACCCTCTGGCATCCCGGCACACACACGAACCCCCAAGGGTCCTCTTTTTCTCCAATCCGGGGCCGCTAACACCATGCACAGGGTGAGGGGGATAACTTGGGGGATCTCGCGCGGGTCGGGCCAAGGTCACCCGCGCTCACACTTGTGGCTAACACCGGCAATGGCCGGCTCCCCGGATAACCGTAACCCTCCCCGCAGACCGAGAAGCTGGGGTAGCTCGGTTGGAGGCGCATTCCATCCGCTTGAGCTCTTCGGGGTGTGAGCCGTTTCCTTTTTTCCCTTTCCTCTTATTTCTGTCCCTCAATAGACGCCTCTGATTCGATAATTACGACGGATTTGAAGATGAGGATCAATTCGACGGTTCGAGCTCTCCGACTTATTCAGCGGCGTGGTTTTGCAACCACGCCGCGGCGATTGGATAGTTATGGCTTCATCGGCTTGGGTCAAATGGTGAGCACCCTCCATCGTTCGAAGCTTGACCTCGAATCGTATTTGATGAGACCACTGACACATTCCAGGGTTATCAAATGGCCAAGAATCTTCAGTCGAGACTGAGTCCCAAAGACGACATCCGCATCTTTGACATCAACAAAGAAGCCGTCTCGAACTTGGCCAAGGAAATGGAACAGTCGCAGACCGGTGGAGCAAAGGTTGCCGTCGTCGACAGCGCAAAAGACGCTTCCACGGAAGCAGTATGTTCACTCATTTTCTCTCACGCCATCTTGCATGACTTCATGATCGATCTCTCTCTCAGCTCTCATGACTTCATCTCTCTGGATCCCGAGCAGGCATCGCTAACTTACCCTTCCAGGACACTGTGATAACAGTCCTCCCCGAGCCCTCACACGTGAAATCAGTCTACGCATCCCTCCTCAAAGACCTCCCCCCGCGCCCGCGCATCTTCATAGACTGCTCCACGATCGACCCCTCCTCCTCCCGCGAGGTAGCCGCCTCCGTCGCAGCGGCCCAGCCCTCCGGCATCTTCGTCGACGCCCCCATGTCAGGCGGCGTCGTCGGCGCCACGGCGGGAACCCTGACCTTCATGCTCGGCTGCGAGGAGTCCCACCTCTCGCGCATCGAGCCCGTCCTCCTCCGCATGGGCCGTCGCGTGCTGCACTGCGGGCCCCAGGGGACGGGGCTTTCGGCCAAGCTGGCGAACAACTACCTGCTGGCCATCAACAACATCGCCACGGCCGAGGCGATGAACCTGGGCATCAAGTGGGGGCTAGATCCCAAGGTGCTCGCGGGGGTGATCAACGTCAGTACGGGCAAGTGCTGGCCTAGCGAGGTGAATAACCCCGTCAAGGGCGTGGTCGAGGGGAGTCCGGCCGGGAGGGACTACAAGGGCGGATTCGGGATCGGGCTGATGCGCAAGGATCTCGGGCTGGCCGTCGTCGCGGCCAAGGAAGCCGGCGCGAGGCTGGAACTTGCCGGGCGGGCTACGGAGGTGTACTCTGCTGCCGAGGGGGAGGAGAGGTGTAAGGGGAGGGACTTTTCGGTCGTGTACCGCTACCTCGGAGGCGAGGACAGCTAGACGGGCGGGGCTTTGCGGAGTCCCGGGTAGAACATGGTACTGTTTTTTTTTTATCGAAGAACGTCAACCCAACCTGCCATGGACAGCCCCGGCGTGACTCTCATCCCCTTGATGACTGACCTCTGCTCCTTGCGCCACCACGCCGCTCTCTTTCTCGCTTCCTCGGGGCCGTAGTGGTCGAGACACAGCTCGCAGGTGTAGGCCTTGGGCTTGGGGCGGCGGTGGAGGTTCGGATTGATGGCGGTGTATCCGCGGGCCACCTGTAGCGACTCGAACTCGAGCCCGGAGGTGTGCTCGACGTCCGGGTCGGGGCGGCCGGGGGCCGGGACGCGGAGGACGCCGCAGTGGGGTTCGGAGGCCGGGGCGGCGGGGCACTTTTCGACGGCGCCGCAGGGCTTGACGGCGGATGTGCTGCAGAGGGTGCAGATTTGGAGCGTCGTTGCTTCTGCGCGGCACATTGTCTGGTCAGTGGTCTGGGCTGGATCGGATTGGTTTCTTGATGATGATGGGCTCACCGGTTTGGGCACGGAGTTATGGGTGTTATATGGTTCGTCGTGACAGTATTGCGAAGATTGCTGGAACGACTGAGATGGTCTTGGTCACTTCTGGTCCTGGACAGTCGACTTTATGATAAAGGGTGCGGTGGAAGCTTGGTGTCTTTGCTGCCTCTGTGATGTAGTCAAAGAACGTAGATACTTGAACAGTGCATTGTGAAAACAGTTGAGATTGGCTAGATAAAGTTTTTACACAAAGGCAGCGGTGTAGTAGTGTTGTGTTCTTGAATGGCGAAATGGAACAATGGTTTTGATTCAAAAAGACTATGGATATGTCATTGATCATGTCATAATGTGTCTGTAATCTAAACGCAAAATCTCATCAAACTAGTTCGATAGGAAACTAGGCCTATTGGCCTTCTATCCATCTAAGATAACTTCATCCTATTACAAGTGAAAGTGACCCTTTTCATGCCGACTCGCGTCCCGACTCGACCTTGGTGCCCTCAGGAGTCGTCGTAGTCGTCGCCTCGTTCTTTTCCCCAACATCCACCTTGCGCGAGTTGGCCATCTGCGGGAAGAAGACACCGGGGTGGAAGATTGTCAGCAGCGAAACGCAAATCAGCACGAGTCCGCTATCGAGAATCATGAACGAGATCTCGTCCTGCATGATGTGGTTGCCCCATCCGCCGGCCATCTCAGCAACACTGCGTCGGTTATCAGCACAACTGTTCTCTCATAATATAAATGGGCAAAGGACATACCGGTAGATGCAACGGATCATGACGCAAGCATACGCCCCGACGATGCTGTACATGAACAGCTTGAACTTCTTCTGGTGCCACAGCGTGAGCTGCGCGGGATCGGTATCGGGACTCGCGGCCCACCTCCGCACGCGGATGAAGTAGTCGGCGCCCGCCACCCCGAACAACATCAGCACCACGACCTGGAGACAGATTCCGGCAATGATGGCGCGGTTGCCGCCGTCCAGGAGCTTCTTGTTTGTCTGGCCCGCTGCGGCCGCGAGCCCGCCGCCGATGGCCTGTATGATGAGGCAGGTGAGGTCGGCGGGGAGGAAGATGATCGGGTACAGCCGCGGACGGATGCGCGAGAGGGCCGGGTTGAGGTTCGCGGAGACGTGCTTGAGGGTGAGGTAGATGCCGGCGCAGATGAAGGTCGGGCCGAGGATGATGGTGCAGATTTGCATCTGGAAGGCGTCCTTGTTCCAAGGGTTGTCGTGCATCAGGACGCGTCCGACGTAGCCTGGATGAACCATGTTAGCTGTGTTCAGATAAGAAGAGGCCAGGAGCTCGGAGCATGTGTTCATCTTGTCGTGATTGAGATGAAGGGAAAGGCTGTCTGATGGGATTTCATACCAACGGTCTCCAAAATCGTACCACCAGTCACGAAGAGCATGAAGGTCCATGTTCGCTTCCATGTGCCTAGGAAGCCTGATACCAGCACAACGAGGCCGAAGGCGACGGCGAAGAAAATGTTGGCGCCGAGGTTGGGATAGTAAGACAGCACCGTCATCTCGACGGGACAGAAGTCGGAGACTTCGGTGCACTCCTTGAAGGGACGGCGGACCCCCGCAGTTCCGTTTGTCGCCATCTTGGTGATGCTCGTGAAGTCGGCGTTGGATTAAGCGTCTAGTGTTGTGTCGAAATGCAGCTTCGAGATATGTGCGGCGCGGCGGCAGTGATACGGAAGCTGCGTGCTTACTCTTCCCCTCCCTTCTTCGTCCCTCGCCGTAGAATGAGCTCTTGCTCGTCGAGAAGTAGTCCAGAATAATGAATCACGTCGGAAGATCTATCAAGTCACCAGCGCAAAGAAGAGAAGGGCTCGAAACAAAACGACATGTACAGATGAAACGAGGTAGGCGCGGTGCGAGCTACGAACGGCGCGCCAGATCTAGATATGTATGCATGCACGGAATCATCAACATGTGCCGTGCCCTCCTCTCTCTCATCCTCCGTGTATATTAGGGGGGCGGTGGACCTTGAGGAAAGCCGTCTCAACGGCATGTCGCTGCGCCGCCCTGGTATGACGGGAACGAGTAAACCGAACGAAACGAACAGCTCCCGTTGAATCATCGAAAGAACAGACGTGCGGCAAACGAAGACGCTAAGCCTGGAGCCAAGATCTCAGTGCTCTACCCGAGGACCCGCTGGACTGCTCGAATGGGAAAGCAATGCGCCCGTAAACCGGGAGGACTTTGACGGCCATTGGATGACCATTGAATGTGGGAATGTTCTATCCAGTGAGATGACATTGGAGTGTCACACTGGACGGAATAAGGTAGAGGAGCGGGAGAGATAAATGCCTGTTGAGAATCATAAACAGATTCGATACTCCTCGCCTCTTTCAACGTAACCTTTTCTTTTTCCTGGAGGGAAACTGTGTGCCACTCCGAAACCTTTTGTTTGCGGCTCATCGTCTTGCAAGACAGATACAAGACGACAACGTTAAGATCACCTACGTCCCCCTACGCTAGAGACATCGGCTCGGGATGGCAATGGCAGTGGCGGTAGGGAATGGAATTCTCACGGCCAACACCCCGAGTCTTAGCTCCTTCTAGCGCCTTGGCCAAAGTCCGCATCGTGCCCACTAGGCCGGGTTTTGCAATTCCTAAACGAGATGTACGAGTTAAGCGATGTCGTCCAGGCGTCTCTCGAGTGCCTAACCGAGATATTTCGGCTGCACACGCGAGCGGGTCCGTCGGGTCTCTCGGATCGCCTTGCGAACAATGTCCTTAAAATGCCTGCTGCCCGCGTGGCTTCCCATTTCGTTGGTAACCCGCCGGAGCAAACCCCGTAGGACGGTAACACGACGCCCAGACTGTCGGCGCAATCAATCTCGCCGAATCAGTAGGGCGTGGGAACGAATTATCTGCAGATTGGTGATAAGGAGAAGGTACGCTGTGTGCACGTGTCGTTTTTTGTCACTCCAGCCAGCAGGGCCAGTCGACCTGTCCGCAGCATCGTGTGTCCCTTTCCCGTCTTCGATTAACATGGTGTGATGGTTGAGTGGGATCTCGTAGCCGACGGTTCTGCGTGGCCCGATAGACTGTTCTCGGTCATGAGTCGGGTGCACCAAAAGCTTGTCAAGTTTCGGAAAACATGTTTGTTGTATTTGTATATTCTCTCTCCTCTGTCGAGGTGAGTTCTAGGAATTGGTGCCTGGGACGTGCTGTCATGATTTGACCAGACGACCCGCTTCGTCGTCGTCACTTTCGCTCTCCTCCTCTTCTTCTTCGTCGTCTTCTTCATCTTCGTCCTCGGAATCGTCTTCTTCCTCATCGTCGTTGTCGTCATCATCTTCTTCTTCGCTCTCGGATTCCTCTTCTTCTTCTTCAGCGTCGCCTTCTGCCAGCCAGTCGTCGAGCGTTTTCCCTCCAACACCCTCGCCGAGGCCGTTGGTCTTGGTCGGCGCAGCCTTCACCGCACTGTCGAGCATTTGGCTCGCCGGCACGCTCTTCTCCTCGCCGTAGCTTGACGGCGCCGCTTCGGTATCGCGCAGCCGCGGGTCTGGTTCCGCGCCATCGGCCACCCAGTCGGGAAGGGCCTCATAGCCGCGCAGCCCATGGATTCCACCACCTCCCGCCAAAACCAACGTTGATGAACCGAGCATGAACCCCTTGCGAGTTTCTGAGGGGCTTGGTGCTTGCGGCGCTGGCTTTGGCGCCAGCAGCATCAACGTGGCCAGCTGCGGAACGGAGAGCAACGCCCGGTACATGCGCGCTCGGTCGCGGAGGTCGTAAGATGTATCGTAGCGGACGAGTAGCAGCACATAGTCCCAAAGCTTGGCCACAGGGTGGTCATCCTGACTTGAAATAGCTGCCTCCTCCTCACTCTTGTTCTCGTTCAGCCGATTTATGTGGTGCAGATACACCTTGGCAGCCAGCAGTAGAATCTGGCCCTTGGCTGCCTCGGCCTCGCTGGCAAAGTCCTTGAGAAGAATTCGTAGGACATCGGCGGCGATGTTATCTTCGCCCTTCAGACCTGAAAACTCTCCAACCAACCATATAATGGTTGCCCGCGCTTGAGGATCTGTTGCGGAATCCAGATTCTTCGCCAAACGAACGACGGTGCCGACGTGACCTTGGGGATCTTGCTGAATTAGGTGACGGATGACAGTTAGGGACTCGGCTGCCAAGGTCCCGTCCAGACTCGTGATTTGCCCCAACAACAATCGCAAGCAGCGAGGGGCGGTAGACGAATCCGTCTGGGCGCATCGTCCGATGGCGCGCACTGCCTCTCGTACCAATGCCTTGTTTGTGGACCCTGAAAAGTGCTCGAGCTCGTTCAAGATCAGGCTCTTGATGTGAGGCGGCGAATGGGGGAAGATGAGCGTCAGGATTTCCAGTTTCAACTCCCACACTTGTGCAGGGTCCGTAGCCCTCACAAGAAAGTGGCTGGCGTATTTGACGAAGTCATTTGGTCTTGTCAGGCAAACCGACACAATGTTGTAGAGAGCCACCTGTTGGATGTCTTGTGCGCCCCTCAGCAGTGCCACGAGCGGCCCGATGGCAATCTTGACGTATTCCGGCGTCCCGATCTCCGCATAGCATCTCGTAACTGCTATGACGACGGCAGAGTTTCGACTTTGGAGCAGAGGCTTGATCCCATTGAGGAGCATCGCCAGATCCGGGTCCAGTACGACGATCTGCTGCTCTTCCCCTCCATCTTGCGTAGTCTCGCCGTAGAAATCGCCCAAATCTGCCGTCTTTTCCTGGCTCTTCACGCTTCGTGTTCGTCTCGGGAAGCACTTTCTGGCGTAGTATGTCATCATTCGTAACGTCGCCAGCTGGCTCCATTCGTCCATGTCGACAATCTTCTTGACCAGTGCTCGGTAGTGCTGGTGGATGAGATCGATGCGGTCGGGACATATCTCAAGGAAGGCCGACACCGCAGCGCCGGCAACAAAGTACTGCTTATCGCCGATGAGCGTTGTCAGGTAGTCGAGAAGCTGCGGTAGCTGGGTCGGGTCGAGTCGGTAGCACTTGGGAATAGACAGGGCAGCCGCGCGGCGAACGTAGGGGCTCATGTCTGCCACGCCCTTCTTGATCGCGAGAGACACGATTTGGCTGATGACGGGGACTCGGATACCGGACATGGTCTTGAGTGCGAGTGCGCGGACTTGAGGATTGGTATCGGAGAGGGATTTCTGGATGGTGTTGATGGAGAGGAGGGCGAGGTCGGGTTCTTGTTCGGCATGGTGGATGAGATAGATGTAGACGAGCTTCTTGATTTCGATGTTCGGGGAGGCGACATTCTTGACGACCGAGGAGAAGAAGGGCAGCGTCTTCTGGCCACGATACATCATCTGGACGCGATTCGGTTAGCCATGATGTTCTGCAGCGGGCGGTATCGACCGGAAGCGTACCGAAAGGACGCGGCGCAAGCCGTCGAGAACCTCGCGCTCATTTCGACTGTCCAGCAGCTTCTTGATCTGCGTACGGTCGAGAGGGCGGCCGGTGCTGCGGGAGCTGCGCGTCGCCGAGGCGGCATCGAGGGTGAGCTCTCGAGCTAGACAGGATAGACGTCAGCGAACAAAAGACGGTCAGCTCAGCGGTAGTTGGGAGCGCCTACCGCTCTCGAGCAGACTGGAAATCCTGGCTATGGACTCCATGGCGAGCGGCGGGCAGAGTCCAAGCGGATATCGAGCTTCGTGACCTAGGTGAGGTGCGTTGGAGAAGGGAGAGCTACCGTGTTTGCAGGGAGGGAAATGACGTCTCGTGCTTGGGACCTCGGAGGCTGAGGACGGATGAGGACTGGCGAGGGGCAGAGGCTGACTTGACTGGCTGGCGTGCTGAGGTGAGCTGTCCCGTCGGCTTGCACCCGCCTGAAGAGCAGACAGGATCCAGGCGCCCCGGCCACCTAAAAAATCCCCCAAAATCGGTTTAGGGGACGAGCTTGAGGGGGCTGCCCCGCCAGAGGGCGCCATGTGAACCTGCCCGGAATGTGATCCACTGGACCTGGAGGTTTAGCCCCACCAAGATCTGAAAGCTTACCTGATGTCCTGGCATCGTGGAATTATCACTTCGGAATGTCACTTACACGACATTTCCGCGAGCAAAGACGCCACTACTCTACGCCTTTTTAAAAAAAAATACCGCACAGTTGGAAATCAGGATGGGCATATTGCTTGGTACTCCTACGAAATCGCTCTGATAATGACGCCAACGGTTCTCTCCTCAGCTTCGCCAACCGAGCTGCTCCATTACATCGTCACATTCCAAGCACATCCGACCACTATCATCATTGGCTGTCCCGAAGAGGAATTCGTCTCGTCAGTAACAGCAGACATCAAGAGCCAGGTCACTGAAGAACGACTCGAGCGCTGGGAAGCACATCTGGACCAAGATCCTCCGCATCCTCTCCTCGGAGCGCCGCTTTTTCGGGAGGTCATCGCTCGTCACATCCGCCTCATCTTCGTTCCGACCGTCGCCCATCTTCGCGCCAATTTATCCGTCTTCTCCCCTGCGGACTCCTCGATACCACCTCCTCCAAACCCTCCTCTGCCATCGAATAAGCAGAAACTCCCTTTACTTCTCATCTACGGATTCCTTGATCTTCACCGGGACAGCAGTGAATGGAGTGCGCAAGGCATTGGCAGCTCAGCCGCCGTGCTGGTCGAAGCAGCTCAGCGGACCCAGTTCAAACCAATCATCGTGGAACCCAAGGGCGCAGGAGGTCACCAGGATTTCAAGGCTCTCCTGCGAGAAGACGCCCCAGTGCTGAGTGGGAGCTTGAGAAGGGATGAGGGCGGATGGACTGGGAGGACGGTGCATGTGAAAAGAGTGCTGGGTCGCTGGTTCCGATTCCAAACAGGCTATTGGGACATTCAATGGCCAGAAGAGAAACCCCAAGACCAACACTGAAGTAGAAACGAAATTCGCAACGGATTGCATGCCTGGTATTTCATTATGTCGGTACCCATGAAAACAAACTACCTCCCCAAACGCCGAGCCCGGGTATCCTCAACTCATGTCCTCGTAACCGAAAAGAATCATGTACGGCAAAACATTCTCTCACGACAGCATGGCCTGATCCATCTCTGTGATGTACAGCTTGATATGCGAGTCCATCTTGAGGAACTCGTCGTAGGCGCTGTGGATCTCGTTCTCGATGTTCTCCTTAAGATCAACCATCTGTTACAGAGTTAGCGAATGATGTCAAGTGCTCCGGGCTTTGGCCGTACCTTTTTCTCGGTTTGCTCAATGCGAACTCTTCTTCTCTCAATGTCCTTGCCCTTGTCCGTCCGCTCCTCTGTGAGCTTCCGGTGTATGGCGCGCAGCTCTTCCATCTTTTCCTTGGCCTCCTGGGCCTTGGCAGAGCTCTGTTCACGTAGTTTCTCCGTCCGCTCGTTCCACTTGAGCAGCTGTCTCGATAGCAACGCTTCGGTCCGCTCGACCTCTCGCACGTTGTTACCGCGCTCGGAAAGGGCATCGCGCTGCTTGGAGTTCTTGAGGTTCTCTTCCTCTTCTTTGGCAAGCTCGATGCCAATCTCGTCAAGGATCTTGATGCAGGACGCCACGTCTGTTGACACCACCGCAAAGGAGTCCGCAGAAGTCTGTAGAGCGCGCGAGCGGCGGTCGAGCGAGTCAATGTGTGCCTTCTCGCTGCTGAGCGCATTGCTCAGTTCCGTAAGGCTGGCCTGTAACGCCGAGGGACTTTGCATGACGTAGGGCCTCAGCTTTTGGCTCTCCTGCTTCAACGCCAGCTTCTGCGCCGTCTTGTCCTCCAGAGTGGCAGTAAGCTCCGTCTTCTTGACCTTGGCGTCCTCGAGGCGCGCTGCTACTCGCTCCTGGTTTCGCCGTAGGTCCAGCAACCTCTGCTTCAAGTCCTCGTTACGCGTTGTCTTTTCCCGGACTTGAGCCTCCATGGCCTTGCGGTTCCGCTTCATGTCGGCGATGCGCACCTCCATCTCCTGGTTTTCGGAGTAAAGGTTCTCAATGCGGGCCTTGGTCGTCTCGGCCTTGTTGAAGTGCTCGTCGATGACGCTCGTCTGTGACTCGCGGAAGCGCACGAAGTTGATCAGGTAGCTGAAGATCTTGACCAGTCGGTCATGCGAGGGCTTGTACAAATCGTTGAAGCTGAAATCATTAATTCCGCATTCCGAAAGCAGACGTCGCAGAGAGACATAGAAGCCCATGAGGTTTCGCGTATCGGGAGGAACAATATCGGAGTATTCACCACAGATGTCTTCGGCGGCGGCGCGCATGGCAGGCTCGACGCTCTCGCGGGTTGCGTTGAGCAGGAGCTCGGCAAACCACTCGAAGATCATCTGCACCTGGACGGGGTTCGGTTTCTGGAGGTCGGCGATAGTGAAAGGAATGCCGATGTCCGTTATGCAGCCGACAATTTCCTTGTCCGGAAGGCGCATAAACGCGTCTGCTTCATCTTCCTTCTTGCGTGTGTTCCGTGACTGGGTTTGGGAGGTAGGGATGATGCTCATTCGAGGATTGTACGACATCTTGGGCGATGGATGATAAGCTCCTTCCGGGAGCAATGCGCTGCGATGTGGTATATGTAGAATCGGTCCAAAAGTTGGGTAGTTGGATGCTCGAGCTGGTCGTCGCGACTCTTGGGTGTCAAAAGATTGTGTGTGAGTTTAATTGCCATAAACAGAACCGGCCGGTCGGGCGGCGTGTTGCTGCGACAACGTGTCGTTATCGATAAGGACTCGATATCACGTGATAATGAGTCATCACTTTGTCCAGCATGTCCAGTCCCGTCCGAGCTATTCCCGGTGCCTTCCAGTCCGTGCCTGCCTTCATCGCTTTTGGCAAACGTCCAAAAGCCGATTCGTCAATAAGCAGAAACAGTCTCATCTTCGACAGATTGTTCGGGGCACAAGGAAACCTTGTCGCGAAGCGGCCATGCAAAATATGGACAGCGACGACTCGAGGGCTCTATCAGCACATGTCCACACACACGCCGTGCCTCTTAGACAGAGGCAGCGTTGGGCCGGATTAAAGCGACATGAAGACGCATCCACCTGTCTTACGGATACCACAGAAAGACGGCCCCGGGATATCGATTGATTTCGGACAATATCTCACTTGCACAGAGTACCTACCGCTCCCCGCAAAATCAAATAATACCGGCGTCACCAGGACATCCAAAGCGGACCGAACTGTCCAGTCTAGAACAACTACAAGCCCCAGTAGCCATTACGCTTGACGACAAATCGCCTTACAATTAATCACCACGGCTTCAAGCTCGCTTCCATTGAAACCAATCAGACGGCCAAAGAACTGCCAATTTCGAGTCGAACGGGACCGAGATGGGCAGATGAACACACCCTTCAATGCCACCAGCGGCGATCTGCGCTGAACCCCAGCCCGTTCCCGCCTGTCTGCCCACATGGCATCCAGGCATTTCCGAGTCTGCCCTGTCCTGTGTGTCTCGACTGACTGCAGCCTTTGACTTTCATCTCCCGCGCCATCAAATCCGTCTCTTCGGACCCAGACTCATCTCACGTTGTTCGCGTCTTTCCACTGGTTGCCCTTTGCAGGCCGACTTCCAATATCACCGGGCGACGATTGGTTCAAAACCCTCCTTCGACAGGCCCCAGCAAGCGTCGAAACACTGGATTTGCTTTTTGGCATGTCCCAGCCTAGCGTGGACGCCAGGGACAAAATTCATCAGATGAAAGGGGTTGTGCTCAACCACTATTGGCCATGAAATCAAATGCGCAAATCTGCTCTGACCTGCTGCATTCTGGTCTGCGCCGCAGCCACAGAACAGACCTGCCAGATCCGATGCTGACGGCTTGACAGCCATCCAGCAGCGCTCGCGAGGAACGCCTAATCCGAAGGTCAGACCAAGAAGAGCAAAACATCCGATGGAGGTCCGCGTGTGACGCGCAGAAATCGTTCTGGCCGCTGCCAAATTCATGGCGAACTACCTACCAAGCAGTATGAGCGGCAGCAGGCCAGTGACGACGATCCATATGTCAGGTTGACGAGGGAGACTTGGTTCGTCCTCGAATCTTCGACATCTGCAGTCATCCGGCATACCTCTCAATGGCGTCTGTGTCAGGCTTCTGCGACGAGATTTCTCTGACATCGTGGTCTGCGAAGGCCCTGTCGCTTCTGCTTTCGATATCGACCTTCGCAACCGACATACACGGCATGGATGAGCACAGAGCCGCACGGCATATCCCTACTAAGAGACGAGACGCAGCAGCGAGATGGGACAAGGTCCCGCTATGAGCGACGGACTAATATGGCTGTATTAGTTGTTCACCCAACACGATCAGTGCCGCGACTCTCAGCATGCAGCATAACGCAGCACCAGCAACATCATCCGGGGAGTTTGCACTACGTGTCGAGTTTGACAGGCACGAGAGCGACGATGCGGCCGATACCTGCAGGATACATTGGACCACTCAGCAGAAAAGATGGGGGAGCACGACACGTTTGACAATATCTCGCATGCAACCGTTGGAAGGTTGCTCAATCGCCGCCTGAGAGTCTCACTACATCAAGCCGCGCAGCTCGAAGCCGTGGAGTGATTTCCCGCCCCCAAAAAGGAAGCAGATTGAGGCCGCGGGTGAGGGATGACGAAATTACGCCGTGTAAGCTGGGAAGTCGACGAGAGGAACGGCCCCCGCCGCCATGACGTTGTGATGGGACGCCAATCTTAACTGATCGCCCTCAGGAGCGCTAGGAATCGGGACCCTGGTCAGCCGCCGGGCGAGCAGGCTGAAAGAAGCCACAGACAGTGATGAAGCTCGCTCACTTGCAGCCACGCCGCAAGAGCTGCAGGAGTTCCCGTTACGACGTCCTGACTCTCAGGTGGCATAGAGTCCGTCGAATCCTTGGAATGCTGCCCCTGCCTTGCCAGCCGCGGCGGCCATGACTTCATAGTCGAAACCTTCGGTAGCATCGCCGCGAAGGAGGGGACTTCGGATAATGAACAGAGTCTCAGGCTGGTGAGCTGATAAGCAGATAATGGCAAAGATGCAACGTCAGGAAAGGAGCCAAAAGTCTCAGCGTCGCAGACAGCCATGCTATGACAACAGCAATGGGGCAACGGTACGGTTATCCGCCCAGCGCACTACAAAACTCCGATCTCAACAGGCGGGGAGAAATGAGAAGTCAGAAATCTTGAGCGATGGGGACGTGAATCCAGGCCCTTTGAGAGTCGAAGCCCATGTCGACGGCGGCCAGTGCCGGGCCCCGAGGCCGTGGACAGCCCGCAGCAATACGGGTTGCAGCATCTTTCGAACCGCCTGTTCAGGGAGTTGGGGACGAATACGAAGGAAAATTGAGGGTATTCCACCAAAACGACCTGCAGGTTCCCACCGGGCCAAGATCGCACTTCGTACAGACTAGACTGGCCGTAGCGGTTCGTTGCCTGACGGTCACAAAGTTGTGCCCGATACCAGCCTCCGACGCCAGAGACCACGAGACGGCTGAAGTATTCGTGTCCCGCCGCCAAAGTAACGATACTTGTGCGAAATGCGACGATCCCTGCCCCAACGGCGCTTGGCCCCTGTGCCTGGCAAACGGCACGTTGGAGTCTGGACGGTTCAGGGTTTTTACAAGTGCAATCCCTTCTGGCCACGCACACGGGTGCCACAGCGTCGTCTAACAGGGTGACGGCGCAGTTTCCTCTACATACGCGTGTGGCCAGCTCTTTTCACGTCCAGTGCACCCACTGGAGTGTTTCTCCCTCCGGCCTGGGTTACAGCTATGGAGATGGCAACGACCCGGAATAGAAACCCTCATGTGGCCAAAAGACGACTAAGCAGCACCCGCTGTGGTTCTCTGTGCCAACGCGGCGTACGGAGGCAATGAAGGGACGCTATCATCGAAGCTAGAGTGGTCAGATGGTGTCTTCCCCTCAATAACTAAGCGGTTTCGGTCGTGGACCGTCGCCTTTGTGTGCTTTGTCCAGTCAGTTGGCCGCGGCGTCACTTGAGGGATGGACCCGTGAGGGGATAAGCTTGAGTTCTTGACAGGAAGAGGAGTCGCGCTGGTCATCGCGCTACACTAGTTCTTGGACAGAGAGAGACCTGTCGCCCATTGTTGGCTGGCAATGGCTGCTATCCAAGTCGATCCTCCGCCTTCAGTCTGACGGCGGGACGGCCGGTAGTTGGCTGGTGCCAAATGATTGTCAGTGTTACCGACGACAAGCGCATGGCGAGCAAGAGCCCAGCGCACGCCACGTCCTGTGCGACCGTCTGTGAGTTGAGCCCGGTGGGCAGACGAGGCGCGACAGGAACGTCAGGACAGATGGTGGGATAGCGGAGGACTGATTCCAGCGACTTCACCATGTACAACGTCAGTCGGTTCGACTCTGGACGTAACAGACAAGCTGAAGCTTAGAGCATGCCGCAATTGCCAGCACATGTTGGGACTTAGCCGAAGCATCACGACGGCGCGGAGGCGGACGCAATGACCAGCCACGCAGCCATCGGGTGCCGGTACAGAAGGCCGTAGTAGCCGGCAGGATACGCCGGGTTTTCAGTGGCTTCCACACAGGCTCGTCTCCATGGGCTTGTTTCTCCGTCCGTTCTTCACGCCCAGCAGGAATTATTTGGGTCGGAACCAGGGCAGAATCGATTATCTTCCACATCTGGCGCGCATGTGGGTCACGATTGGATTGAGCCGGCGCATTTGGATCTTGTTGGTTTTTTCGGGGTCCAATATGTGGCACAGCAAGGAATAGCAATATGAGAGCACTATGGACGTTCCAAAAGAGGAACACTTTGATCGAGTCGATATGCCTCCTGACGACAATGGTCAATGGAGGCTGGGAGTGCTCGAGTCGGACTCACATCATCTTGGTTTCCTCCCTCTCCTAGGGGAATGTCTATGACTCAGGGACAACGGCATTCCCTTCATCCTTGGAATGATGTCCGTTGAGGATCCCAGCCTCAAGACTCAGACAACTCAGGCTCAAAGAAGAGGCGACTGGAGCAGACCGCCTCGGCAAGAAACGTTGGCGCTGCATCAGTCTGCGAGCGACACTGCAGCAACTGAACAGACGACCCAATTGCGAGGCTCATACCCAGCATCACATCCACTTTCTGTCTGCTGTTCCTGACTCCATTCCTGTTCCTGTTTTCCGCGACTTCCCATTGAGCTGTTTCGGTTTCGCAGACAGCAGTGGAGTGAAAGAAAGATGGTACGGCACACTTGAGCTGTGCTGTACTGTACAGGTCGGAGTCGGGACGAGAGCGCGGATACGATACCGTAAGGTACGGGTGCCTTGCCTTAATCCCTCCCACATCCCTTCTTTCTCGCCTTTCTGGCACCTGAGCATGCTTTTTTTTTTCCGCATTCTCTGCCCAGGACAATACATCGCCGGCGGTGGCCAGGAGACCCTCCTCTTCCGACCGTTAAATGAGACGGGCGGGAAACTCTATCAAGCTTTACCTTTGGAGGCACAGCTATTACGCAGTACGGAGCACCATGTTCAACACCACGGCGGCTGGGCAGCAGAATGCACGGAAAGAATGACAGATAACAGCAGCAGACGAGACAAGCCAGGGCGAGGAGAGACGGACGTTAAGACATTCAGACAGCGAGACAGCAAGACGTCAAACAGATCAAGAGACTGAGACATTGAGACATCGAGAAGCCAGGGTGGCGGGACTGTCACTGGCTGGATTGGCACATTGGGCAGCAGACCAAACGAGGGGAGAGACATTTCAACAGCCGGCCGCCGCTCCCCGTTATCCGTTCCGCACATCAGTCAGGTCATGCCAGGCCAGGAACCAGCGCGACGGCAAACACCAAGCACACAGCGCATCGCATTGCATGGCATGGCATCGCATCATTTGTCGTCTCTCGGTTGCTAATAAGCAATAAGATGCTTCGTCAGTCTCCAATCTAGGTATCAGTCCAGACCAGGGCAGCCGGGTACCGCGTGGTTTGCAAAGAAGGACGACGGTTCCACACCGTTGACACTGAAAGAGAAAAAACTTGCGGCGATCAAGCCTAGTCCATGTCCAATCGACGACATTGTCATTCCCCCTGCCGGCCGGAGGCTGCGTGTTGCGCTACCTAGGTATCCGGCTCTCCCTCGCTCTCCCTCTTTGTCTTTCTTTTTTTCCAACAGTCCGGAGTCTGCTTCTATTACGGTACTCTCTCTGTACAGGGGCAACAACAGGAACAGAGGCATATGAATACTTCATACTGCATAATGGTATGCTGCAGCGAGCACGGCATCCCCCAGCCAGCTGTCTCCTGAGTCGTCTGCGTATGCAATGCGCTTGAGTCTCCTCCTTCTTGTCTGTTGCGCACCTCTCAAATTCAAATATTGAGTATTCCACACAGCACACCACAGATTCACGCACATTGTCCCGAGCAGCACCACCTCACAGAGAGAGAGGGACCAGGAGAAGGAGAAACAACGAGAAACATACCCCCGGCGGCGGGCCACACACCATGTCCCATGTCGTGTACACGCCCCCTGGCCCTTGACTGATCCTTGAACCTTTCCAACCCAAACCCAGTGAACCCTGGCCAACCGTCTTCTCGTGGTCTGGTTCCAAAGGGCCCGGCTCATGCTCCCTTTGCCCTGCCACCCATTCGAGCAGCCCTGTTCCTATTCGGTCAGCACTGTACCTTTTACGCAGAATGGATACGTACTGCATCGCGAGGTACTCTGTAGTGTACAAAGTACACAGTCCAGCAGATGCGCCGGCTTCTTTCCTCTAGCCCAGCTGTCTACGGATACCTCGTCCCATCAGTGTCCAATATCTGCATGTACCGAGTCTAAAGGACGAAGTAGATCTTCTATTCGTCCAGTATGTATGGCTACTTACGCCATATGCTGCAGTCAGTCTGAAGTCAATCCAGTCCAGGTCCAGCAAGCAGGTTCAGCACTTGGAGTGAGCACCAAGGAAAAAAGAGGAAAAGGTCTGCTGCCCCCTTCGCTTCAGTCGCCAGGGCATCTTCGTCTTGACCCTGATTGCTGTGATTCTTTGGGGCCTTCATCCGTCATTCCATCCATCATCTTCCCAGGCATTGCCACTCTGCATAGCATATGACTTTGTCCCTCTTTTTCCCCTACACGTACCGTTACTGCTTCCTTGTTGTAGCATCCGGTACGCCGTACCCTTCCTCGTCTTTCCTCCACTCGCTTCTTTTGCTGCGAACAACGATCCGGATCTCCTAGACACCAAAACCCATATTAACTGCTGCACAATCCTGGCGCCTTCTTTAAGCAGTCAAGCCTCCCGTATTCCTCTCGCTCGGGACAAACCCAGCCTTACCCTCGTTCTGCTCGCCCATTGCGAAACTGGTGGCAACTCCAAGACTGCAGCCCAAGTTTGGAAGAGAGACACCGAGATCCAACAGCATTGAGATCTAAACGAGGCCGCCTGTCCAGCACGCACATGTCCCCCGATCTCGAATAATTACCTCCGATCATGCACCCATACAGAAGCCGGTCCTGCGACGAACAACCCAGTATCAAGCGTTAACACATACGTAAACCCCCCATTCCCAGACTGCTGGCGACGCAAGACGCAGGAAGATGGCCCTCTGGCCCTTTCGCCGGAGGAGCGGTCGCAAACGCTCGCGAAGCGGCGCAAACCTGTCCGACGTCGAGGCGCCGCCGCTGCGAGGTCTCACCACCAACGATGCCTCCCATGGCCATGGCATGGCGGCAACGCCGAAGAAGCAGCGTCTCGACGAGCAGCACCCTCACCCCTCCAAGAAGCTAACCCGACGGACCCGTACTTACAGCTTCTCCCCCGGTCGCAACGACTCCATCCGCGTCGCGGGGCAAAAAGGCTCGGGTCCACCGGTACCTGGCCGGCTGACAGGGCTCTTCCCAGCCGACCGAAATGACGGAGAAGAAAAAGGGGATCCCGCGTGGCACCGGGCGCCAACCCTACATAATGCACGCAACGGCCAGAAGAAGGGCTCGTCCTCCCGCATCAACATGAAGTCCAGCAAGAGGAGGAGAGAAGAGTCGGATCGTGAGGCGGAAATCAAGGCCATGACCAACTTCGCGCCGGTACGGCCAGCGGCCGACGACTGGACATCCGGTCGGCCGATGAGGAAACAGAGCAAGAGGGTCAAAACGGGCCTCGGCTTCCGCAGGAGCTTTGAAAATCCGGCCTCGGACGTTTCACTACCGATATCGATTCACTCGAGCATGTCATCCGACTCCGAGATGCACTCATTCCGGGTGTCCGCCCTCGAGGCATTGGCACCCCGACCGACATTACGATACACCGTCTCTCCGAGATGGGGTCCTGGCCAGAGCAGTTCAGGACAATCACGCCCACATCACCAAAAAAGGAAAGTTTCAGAGAGGGTGCCCGAGTCAGTGGTGAGGGCACACAAGAGAGTAAACAGTTTCGCCGATGACCTCGACGCCGCCGACTTGCGAGAGTTGATGGAGAGGGACAACCGGAGGAGAGAGAGGAAACGACAACGGGACCAGGAACGAGTCGAGAGAAGGTTGGCACGACGGGCAGAGAAACAACGCGAGGCCGAAGCAGAAGCCAGGAATAGCGGCTCGCCGCCGCCGCCGAACATGGAGAGAGGAGTGTTGGGACGAGAAATCGTCGGCTTGGGGATCGAGGCCACGCCCGCCGTGATGACCTCGGCCAACTTGAAGCGACGAGCATCCGGCTCGTCGTATCGACCCGCTAGATCATCAAGAGAAGAGGCAGCACCACTACCGGAACCAATGGATATCGACCCCGACATTCACCGCACATCCAGCATTCAGCCCGACATGCCCCTCTCACCGCCTTCGCCGGACACAAAACCCGAACGCAAGCCCAGCACGAAGACGACGCCCAAGGGGAGCCTGAGATTGAGACGGAGTCTTCTCCGCTCGAAGAAGTCGAGGTCGAAGTCGCCCAACGCGCCGGATGAGGAGCACGCCATCTCACAACTGTCGTCGAGACACGACGAGACCCCCCGCAAGACATCCGAGTCCACCTTGCGTGCTCGTCTGTCGTTTTCAGCCCTTTTCCGCTGGGGTAACAGAAAGAGAAGAAATTCCGGACCCTCGTCGTTCTCGAATACGTCGCGCGAGGAGATGCAAGCCGCGGCGGCAGCTCAGGCCCAGACCCAAGCCCAGACCCAGATGCAGGCGCCACCACCACCACCACCACCACCGGCAGAGGAAGCACAAGCGCCGGTGCAAGCGATCCCACCACCGATGAATTACATTCCTCGCAAGGTCAGCTCCGGCGTTCCCAAGCGCACTCGCTCGCGCTTTAGAGAAGACCTGCCGGAGCTTCCCCTTAGCCCTCCCGACTCGCGCGTGGGGTCGCCAGAAGTGGAAGAGCCTCCCCTGCCCATTGTCTCAGAGGTCCGGACTACAGAAAACATTCTTGACGACGCCGATTCCCCCGCCGTCGTGAGGCACGACACTCCCACCTCAGATATGCGCCGTGTTGACGAGAAGATGGAGAAGCTCGAGAAGATGAGACAAACCCCGACGTCGCTGCGACACAGCATCCAGCCTTCGCCTGAGCAGCCCCAGTCTGTCTCCCTGGCTTCGATCGACTCCGAGGCTTCATGGCTCTCCGGCCGCATCGGCAAACGCAGATCGTCCGGCATGCGATCCAGCATGCAGCGTTTCCAGCCCCGCAACCGCAGCCACTCGCCTTCGGTCAACGACACGGAGGAGGAGCTTGCCGACGATGAGTACCTCTCCAACCTCGCCACGCCATCCCGCGAAATGCTTGCCGGTGATCGCACGCCCCGCAAGTCGACCGGCGATGCCTTTCCCAGCAGCGATGAGGAGGAGTTGATGGACGAGGCGGACATGAAGTGGGGTTCGGTTGAGAAGCAGCGTGCAACGCCGGTCGTGCAGCATCAGAGAATCAAGAGCCGCGAGGGCTTGCTCAACGCATTTGAGGACGGCAGCAACACGTCGCCCGACAATTCCGAAGGCGAGACGCCCCAGCTTCAACGTGCCACGAGCGTGAGCCTCAGCAGAGGTCACGCCAGGCATGTGAGCTCGAGCAGCACCAAGATGCTCGAGGTCTCGCCGCGCGCGAGTGTTGACCAGAGGAGGACCAGCGATGCCATTTACTAGATGGGGACTTACTCAAGATGACAGGAATGATAAGCCAGCCCAGCCAGCGAGACGACGATCTTTCACATTTCCTTATCTCTCTTCGTCGACGACATTCGACACACGACGCTCATTAACATTTCCTTACCTGTCTTACCGACCCTATTCACTCATTCAACTCTCAATATTTCCTTTGCCACTGACGACAAAACCACAAAAACACTTGGAAAACGACAAAAATCAAATCAACTCATCTCGACGCTGGCTGGCTATCTAACCTCATCTTGATATCTCCCCACGGTATCCTCGCTCCTTCTCATCACCTCGACAACCGGCAGCCCTTGGCTTCTCTGATCTCATTTGATCTGTACGATACGACCTTACGACTCGCGTTTTCTCACGGTGCATCCGCGCGCGCTCGCGCGGTATGCTTCTTTTCGTTTCGTGTTCTTGGCATATACCGTTTGATACCACATCTCTTCCCCCCTTCCGCCAATGACGGAGAGGAGGCCGGAGACATTTTTGAGATTTCTATTTACATTCGAAGAGGGAAGCAGCAGTCCCCTTTCTCGCGGCAGTACAGCACGCAGCACTCCTTTTGCGGGATACTTTCCGTTTCCCCATCCTGTGGGTGGCAAGCAATCCCGCGGAAATCCTCGGTCCAGTCTCTTGCGGCACAGGAAGAGCGGATATACATTTGGGGAGGAATCATGCGTGCCGAAAAGATTTAGACTGGATTGGGAAAACAACAGGACAGGAAGGCTTTGACAGGAGGGACGCACAAAGAACAGAAGGCATTTCATGACATGTACTGCCGACTTTGGATATGTATGTATGTAGTACAGGAAGGTTTCCTGGATGAGATACCCGAGTAACTCACCCTGCAAGGGGAGCCTAGTCTCATGTTCTGGAGTAGAAGGATACACTTTGAATGAAAAGGATTCAAACGCACTGGATATTACCGATGGCTGTGATGTCAGGAATAGATGTTGAGCAACGTCGGAAAAGAGGTTGAGTCTCACTTTTTCTGCCATGTCCTGACTTGTGGATGGTGTCTAACGTCAATGTTTCGTGGTTTCGTGTCTATTTTGCATTTGCTAACGCCTTGTCATCCTGCTTGGCGACCTTGTCTTTCTTGCCCCGTGTTTGTTTTCACAGCTATGATATACTCCTCCAACTCTTCGGTGTTTCTCGCTTGTTCCTCTCCACGTTTGGAATGGCTTCTATCTAATATGTTTCGTGTATCCCATGATGATGATTCCTACCTGTCTTCCCCCATCACCATGTTCTGCTCTTGGTATCTTATGCTCCTGTCTTCCCGTGTCTCTTCATTATCTCCATTCGTCGTTCATCGTTGCCCCCGCCCCCGTCGCTTCTTCCTAACCCTGTTTTTATCGCCGTCGTACTTCCTCGCCATCGCACGGATTCTGGCTCGCATCAGTTCAACTCCGCACCACCTAGCCTCGGCGAAGCCCGCGGCGAGGCGCTAGGCGATATGGACAGTCTTCCACCGACAGACGGTGAGCCTGCAGCGGAGCTCGGTCGGTCTGCCCACCGCATCTCGGCAAACTGGTCATCGTCCAATATGAAGATGTCCGTCTTGTTGCCGGTCGGGAATTCACCGCCCATTGATGACGGCGCAAAGGAGAAGTCGTCGCACTTGACACGGCGGTAGAACGCTTGGGTGTAAGACGGCGACGGCAGGGGCAGGGCAGGCGACGCCGGCCGCGGGACCGGCGAAGGTGATTGTGACGGGGCCGGTAAGACCGGCTCGAGATACAACCCCACCCGGGCCCGTGAACCGGCATTCGTCGGCCTGTCGCTTGCCCCAATCGGCAAAACGACCAGAGGCCTGGACGACTGTGACTGCAACTGCGGGCTACCCCGGGGACTTCCAGGAGGAGGAAGCGGAATCAACTCTGCAGCGATGGAGAGCCCCATGTTGGTCATGCTGAACAGGCGGAATGGCGATGCCTTATGCAGGGCGCGCTGGTGGACATCGTGGGACCGGGCAAAATCGGCGGGGGAGGCGGCTAGGAGACCGGAAGAGTTGACGGCCCTCCGTCGGCGTTCTCCCGTGTGGGGATCGACCAGCTCCTGTGCCGGATCGACCCTCCACGCGAAGATGGTTTCGTCGGGGGACGTGCGGATGATCTCGTGCTGCAGCCGTTGGAAGGCGTGCGTCAAACCCTCACCGTAGAGAACTGGGATGTTGACTCCAAAAAGCCCCATGACACAGTAGGCAAGATCCTCTGGGCGAGTGGTCTGGCGTGTTGCGGCCCACGACATGCGCTCTGCGACAGAGTAGTAGCGCGGCGAACGTGTGTTGGACAGCACCGACTCGAACACGCCCGTGATGTTGGCGATGGCAGCGATAAAGGGCTGCTCGCCTCGATGAAGGCCCTTGGTGCCGATACTCGACCAGTCCGAGGCGTAGAAGATGGACCTTCGTGGCGCAATGAGTTCCTGGAGGGTCCAGCCGCGCGTGAACCAGCGAGATCTGGCGAGGGATGGCAGAGCGTTCATAACGGGGGAAGAAGAAAGCGGGGGCACGTCGGAGAGGTAGACGAAGCAAATGCGAGAGAGCAGATAGTACGAGTACATGGAATTGATTGCCTCGGAGAGCTCTGCGGACGAGGTTTTGTCGATGCAGCAGGAGTCGATCCAAGCCCAGCTGATATCGTGACGAGAAGCTTGGAAGCAGGTGCCTTGGATCTTGAAGAAGCCATCTTTCGTACGGGCGAGAGACAGGTCGTGTATGTCTTGAAAAGTCACCTCGTTGGCACCCCAGGTGTGTGATAGTATGGCATAAGGGGGCACTTCGGGACCATTGAACATTTGTAGTTCGAAGGTGTTGGTGTTGATGAGCCACATTTTGTCGATTGCGTGTGTGGTCCTCGTCTTCGTCGTCCGCAATTTACTCTGCCATCCGTGATATTGGGGCTTTCGCTGTCTCCTTGTGATAGTCCTTGTCGGTTCAAGTCGTCCGCATTCGTGTGTGCCTCTTCCTATCGCTCTTCTGAGCCTCTTGCCGCTCCTCGTCTCTGTTGGTCGTGATCAATCCTTTCGTGTCCTGAAGTGGGCTCCTGCTCTTCCGCCTCGCCGTATACTTATGCCGATGTAAGCTCTTGCAGTTTCACTTCTTTCGTCTGATCACTGTCTCTGCCCAAGCAGTGGAAAGCGGCTGCCTTAGAAGCATCAATCAATAACACTTGACGGAGAAGGAGCTTTGTCTGAGTCTGCGAGCGGAAATCAGATGGACCCAGCTGGTTGACAGACTGAGGTCTGCCTTCCTCAAGCTGTGTCTTGAAGCTATAGCAAAGGGCAAGGAGAGGTATGACCGCTTTGGTTGAAGTTTAGCTGTGAGCCGGGTAAGCGTCCAGCGTGGCTCGTCATTTCTTACACGTAAGTCCCGTACTTTTCGTCGAGATCACGAGTTTGATTCGCAATTTGGTCTTGGAAATAGACACAAAGGCCACCTCAAGACCCGTCCTCAGCAGGCTACCGCAGGAATTTCGGTGACCGCCTCACAAGGTGGAATCTTGAGGGAAGAGGCTGATTCCTTTCAAGGAGGCTGGGTCGCCTCAAGTGACACGAAGGCGACTCTGTTGCTCATTGAAAACAGTCATGCGATAGAGACATGCGCGTACGCTGACAAGGTAGCCTGGTGTCTTGGGAAGTCAAGTGAGCAGGAGGCATCGCTTGGAGGGGCAATGAGGGGTGACTGACAGCTGTCAACCAGGCACAGGGCTTGACACGTGGCTGGCAGCTGGCGGCGTGAAAGGCGTCTTGGTCAGTCGGAGAAAGCACGCAAGAAGCGAACGGACCAACAGAAACAGCAGCAGAAACAGCCAGATCCACCGACAAATCTGAGTGACATGGACCTGGAATGGAACGCAGGACCCGGACCCCGGCGACAGGACCGCCATCGGCAATGGAACTCAGGTCCAGCGGGAGTCAGTGCCGCGGTTTCCCGCTGTGGAGGACGGATGATTTGCGCTGCGTTGGCGGGCAGGGCGCAAGGCGGGTTTGACAATTCGGCATGTCCGCTATGTCATCCCTCGGAAACACCTCGTTCTCACTCATCCTCCAACTCCTTCTTTTCCTTCCTCAAAGCAACACGAGCATGATATCCTGAACATCGACCCCCGAACAACAACTCCATGGCGACCGCAACGCTGTTTCGAGTGTTCCTGCGCCGCCAGACCCCGGGTCTGCGCACCCGTTTCTCCCAGCAACAACGCCGCGCGAACTCGTCCAACTCGGGCACCGAGCCCCCAAAGCCGAAGCGACAAGACGACCCGATTCCCGTACCCAACACCGTCGCGACGATCCCCTTATGGCAGCGACTCGGGCCGTTGACTCGGGCCGCCGAAGGCTATGCGCGCGCCCAGCGCAAGAGGCCACTGACGACGCAGTTCGTGAGCTCCCTCGTCATCTACTTTTGCGCCGACCTCTCCGCCCAGAACATGAGCGGCAACGAGTATGATCCGGAGCGAACGGCGCGGTCGCTGATTATCGGCGCGATATCCTCGATCCCCAGTTACAAGTGGTGGGTGCTGTTCGATCGACGTACGCTTGGTGCGACAAAGTGCTGACTTGGTGGCCGACAGGTTCATCTTCCTCTCCCAAAACTTCAATTACGCTTCGCGCCTCCTGTCCCTCGGCACCAAGGTTGTCGTGAACCAGGTGTGCTTTACACCAATATTCAACTCGTACTTCTTCGGCATGCAGGCGTTCCTGGCTGGCGATAACTTCGAGCAAATCATCGAGCGAATCCGTCGGACCGTTCCCGTGAGCATCGTCAACTCTTGCAAGCTTTGGCCTGCCGTGACGGCCTTCAGCTTCTCCTTCATCCCGATGGAATATCGCAGCGTCTTTTCCGGCGTCATCGCGGTGGGCTGGCAGACGTATCTGAGCTTCCTGAACCGCCAAGCCGAAGTCCTCGAGGAAGCCGAGGAAGCGGAGGAGAGGGCGCACCCTGGAGAGAAAGCCCGCGCGGTGCAGGACATCGCCGTTCACAAGGGCGCAGTGAAGATGGAGGCATAAACAAAAAGATGGAGTGGAAAGATCCTAGACACGCTCAACGGGAATTTTTTTTTCATTTGTAGTTGCATTGGGACGGCGTTGGACTAGACGGATTTAGACATGGAGAACGTCATGATCTGTTACGATTTAATTCTTTAGAAAATACCTTAGACTGGCTACAGTACAAACTCGCGCCATATCCGCACTGTCCTCCGTTCTAAACCGACGCCAAATGTCGACCACCAAACTTCGCGTCAACCCCGTTCTCGGCAGTGACATCTGCAAAACTCCAACCCGCAATTCCGCATCAACGCTGAGCCATTGAGTGCTGGCCAGGACCAGCAGCTCTCCTCAGCAATGGCGTCCCTCTGCATGCGATCTGGCCGCGTGCAATCCGCCCTCCGCTCGGCCAGAAATCCCATCGTCGCCCGCCCGAGACTCCCTAGCAACCTCCCCCGACGTCATGCCTCGACCGGCGCTGGCTCCTCGTCGACCGAATCCGAGGCCGGCTCGAATCTGAAGCTCGCTCTGTACGGCACCGCTCTCGCCGGCTCTCTCTACGTTTCCTACCTCTACGTCACCGATACCAGAGCCTCGATTCACCGTTGGCTCGTCCCTCCCATGCTGCGCTTCCTCTACAGCGACGCCGAAGAAGCTCACCATGCCGGCACGACCATGATGAAGACCCTCTACGACTTGGGCTTGCACATCCGCGAACGCGATAGAACCCTCGCTGAACACCCGGCTCTCGTGAGCGAGGTTTACGGTGTTCAGCTCGCCAACCCCATCGGCATCAGCGCCGGCCTCGACAAGCACGCCGACATCCCCGACGCTCTATTCGCCCTCGGCGCCGGCGTCGTCGAGGTCGGTGGCTGCACGCCCCGCCCGCAAGAGGGAAACCCCAAGCCGCGCGTCTTCCGCGTTCCGAGCATCGACGGCATGGTCAACCGGTACGGCCTTAACTCCCGCGGCGCCGACAGCATGGCTTCCACGCTGAGGGAGCGAGTCCGCAGATTCGCCCGCAAGGTGGGTGCTACGGAGCAGGAGGTTTTGGACGGCGAGGCTGGCGTCCCCGCGGGCAGTCTGCTCCCCGGTCGTCTTCTGGCCGTGCAGATCGCCAAGAACAAGGAGACGGACGAGCGAGATGTCAAGGCCGTCGCTCAGGACTACGTCTACTGCGTTCAGGCTCTCGCCAAGTACGCTGATATCTTGGTGGTCAATGTCAGCAGCCCCAACACCCCTGGTCTGCGCGACCTCCAAGCTACCGAGCCTCTGACAAGACTGTTGAGCGCGGTCGTGGATGAAGCCGCAAAGGTGGACCGCAAGGTTCGCCCCAAGGTCATGGTCAAGGTCTCCCCCGACGAGGAGGAGGATGCTCAGGTCGAGGGCATCGTTCAGGCGGTCTGCAACAGCGGCGTCGACGGCGTCATTGTTGGCAACACCACGAAGCGCAGGACGGGCGTCGTCCCGCAGGGCGTCCAGCTCTCGGCGAAGGAGCAGAAGGCCTTGATGGAGACGGGCGGATACTCTGGGCCCGCCATGTACGGAAGGACCCTGGAGTTGGTCAAGAGGTATCGCAGCAAGCTCGATGCCCAGACGCTGCAGAGCGGCTCCGCCGAGGAGGCTGCTGCCATCCCTTCCATGGATGGCACTCTGTCGGGCAAGGTTCACGACTTGATCGAGGGCAAGGACACACCGAGAAAGGTCATCTTCGCTACGGGCGGTGTCACGAACGGAGAGCAGGCGTTGAAGATTCTCAACGCCGGCGCGAGTGTGGCTATGGTGTACACGGGCTTGACTTATGGCGGACCGGGAACAATCACCAGGATAAAGAAAGAGATGGTGGATCAGGCGTAGAATACCAAAAATAGAATTGACCGCTCAACGCGACGAATTTCTTTTCTAAATCCCCAGCGCCTCCATCCAGAGAGCACCCCATGCAGTTGTCTACATCATCACAACCGTATAACGAACCTCATCACAGTTGTCTGACTAACTATGCCCGGAGGTCATGTCCAGATGGCCTGTGTTCTACCGACGAAGCCCGCCCATTCAAAGCAGTCGTCGTCAGTATCGAAAAAGCAGCCGCCTTCCAGGCCTTCGTATTCGGCGCAATCTGTTGCATCGCTTTTGTCGGAAGGCTCGTTACAACCAGAGCAAGGTCCAGTACAACCCAGGCATTTGTCAGAAAGTAAGTGGTATCTCTTCAAAGGTATCCGAAGGTTGGAACCGAAGAATGCGCCAACTTCCTTGGAACCTTTCTGGTTCAAGCATTCTTCGCGCATGCTGGTAACCCATGGTTTATCTTCCTACCCCCTTCCTTCAGTTGTCCACGAGCCACCAGCAGACGAAGTCGACGGGGTGAAGATGACTTCCTGTTCTTGGACCACTTTATGGCGCCGCAGATTGTCATCAGTATCTTGCTCACTCCCCGTGGAACTCAGACTCGTCTGGTCGTCGCCATGATGACCCTCGTCCTGAGGTTGCCAAGTCTCAACTTCTGAGAGAAGATTCCGTTCGAGGTGCTGCGGTCGACTGTAAAGTGTATCTCCCGTTCGGTCTCGGCGAAGCAGGTCTCCTAGAGATGCCTCCTCGCTGAGACGACGAGAAATTGTGTGTCTGACACTTTGGCAAACCTGCTCCACGATCGACGTCTCCTCGCCATGGCGGCGTGCCACTTCCTGCCTGACGCGTTGACAGACCTCGTCCACTAATGACTGTACCATTTCGCGCTCGGTTATTCCTTGAAGTCCAGTGATCTCTTCGGAACCATCTGATGGCTCCCTCTGCTCATAGGTCTGCTGGCAAGTACACCTTTTTCGAGATGTCGTGATGTTGTACTTAGTCTCTGCCGCATCCGCAACCGCTGGTTTTGTTTCTTTCGGACCCGTTGGTTTCTTTGGCGAGGGTCCGGCGCAGACCGAAAGGGAAATGTCGAGAATCTCATTATTGAGCAGGGACGCCATGCGCAGATGTTGTTCAAGAAAACCTGGCGGACTAAAATGCCAGTGAACAAATAAGGGTATGAAGTAGAAAATGAAGAATGGGAAGCAGGCCGCCGATAGTGTTCCATAGACTAGTCCACTGAATATCGAATGGACGAGCCAGAAGGCAAATCGACGGAGGGGCTTCTTTGGAACTGGAGGTTCCGGCTTTGATGCGTCGACGTACATCAACATGATGGTTTCTGCGAAGCCAGCAGTGCAGCCGATTAAGTAAAAGAGTCGAATCAGAAATACGAGCAAGCCCGCGTTTGGACCGAGGTGGTAAGAGACCGTCGCCATCGTTGCCCGATGTGCGTGTGGTCCGGGACGATGGATCCTCAGACCAAGATAGCTTGGAGATGTCTGGGATGATCACAGCGAATGTGTCACTAACTTTGAGGATGATGTCTGACTGTCTCTGACTGAAAAGCCTTGCTAAGGGTTTACTGCTGTCTCGTTTGTTGTCGGTCCGATTGGACACCTAGTCGAGCCTTGGTCCATAAAGGTATAATCATTATTCTCATCCGTTCAAAGTTTTCTCTCCGGACACCTTTTGTAACCCATCAGTCAGAGCCTCGGCAGAAGTGTTAGCATCCAAGGGAAACACCTGGGCTAATTAGATTCATGACAAGATCCGGTATGAGCATGGAGATAGATATTTTCGGCTAGCGAATCTGCTGCCTGAAATGTTCAGTGTAGTCAAGCCATTCTCCAGCAGTTGCCGTCACAATGGCGAGAGAGTGAAGTTCATCTCAACACACAAATCACTTCACCTGAAGCTTATTGGTTCCTCATGTGGTTGATAGGGTTGGATATTGCTCCAGCGCATGACAATCTCTGGCATGACCTTTTGTGAAGGCCGACAGGAAGTAATGCATCAACGGTGCCCCAATGTCATGATGAACCTAGGCAAGTCTGATTTCTACCTGTCTTAATGACTATTTGTGTGTCGAAGTACGGATTAATACGGGCTCGAATGTAGGTGACACATGAAGCTGCGAGGACAATGGCACAGACCGTGATCAGTGAGTATCACAGAGCTTCAAAATCTGCCTCGAAGGATCGCAAACTTGAAACCAGCGGCATCGAAACTCCGAGACACGCAGTTGTAGCCCAGGTCTGTTTCTCTCATCTGCTCAAATTCGACATAACCTTCATGCGGAACTTCCTGCCCGCTCGATGCCATCTTCCTTGCGATTGGGCACCCCCCCTGGCGATATGTGCGATAGAGAGATATCTTGAGAGGGAATCCCAGGTTCAGCAGCTCCTATCATCCACAAGGAAAATCGCTCCCAGTGGGTGAAGATGGTGGTCGGAGGAATGCTGATTGTGTGCAAGACGTCGCGTATTGAGATCCGCCTCGCACAAGCAAAGGGACCGCAAAGCGGCGCGATGCATGTTTTGAAGATCAATGACGGGACTATGGCAGCCACGAAAAGACAGACCACGACCGCGTAATAGGTAAGAACAGGCCCGATCAGTATAGACCATCCAATGAGAAGTAGAAGCGCTCCAATCACGACCTGAAGGCAAACTTGGTCCTCCCTCGATTTCAGGAGTTTGCTTATACGGCAGATGGCCCCCAAAACCATGAAGAAACCAATTATACCACAGCCAGTACCGATGCCTACGATTCCTTTCGAGTTGAGAAGTTGCATCGTGGTCATGGACATCGATTCAGAGAGCGGTTCCGCACGGGTGCCAGTGCCGAGTTTGTGGTGCGTTTCTTGGTATTGCTGTGAATGATGTGAATGGTGAAGATTCCGGGGCCGAGTTTGTGGTGCGTTGCTGGGTCTTGTTGCGAGTAATTTGAAGGTGTAGTTGCCGGTGGGAGAACCGATAAGAATTGGCACTCGTACCGCGACTTTAAGTACAGGCAAGAGCAGGTTTTAAAGACCTAGCACCGACGTAGCGTTGGATAGCGAAGAGCTGCACCTTAGACATCGCCCGCAAAGGTTTCACCGTCGAAGGGTAGATATGCGGCTGTTGCAAGCGAGTGAAATCTATGGGGGCACCTCGATGGTCCGATGTGCTCAGCCCCAGTACCCATCCCTCCAGAGTTCCTTTCGATATCCCTCAGTCAATCGCTCATCTTCGCCATAGACTTCCTGCCACCCGACAAAGCCACGGTCGAGAACGTAGACGGTCTGAGGCTCCACTGAGGCTTTATCATCTGACGATTCCGAAGCCTTTTTGGAGGCAAGAATCTGGTCACGTTCTCGGAGGTAGCGAAGGGCGGCGCTGGGTCCGCGTTGCTGTGAGAGGGCGCAGTGGAAAACCACCGTCTTCTTGTCTTCGAGGCGGCGGATGAGGGTGGGCATCATGGCGTCGAGGGTGCGGGAGGGCGCGTTGATGCAGCCGTTGATGTGGCCGCCGATATAGTCTACCATTAGGCAGATGTCAGTGATGACGCAAAATGTTTAGACCTTGAGGGTAGACACGAACCATCGTCGCGGACGTCAACCACGGCCACAGATGGGTTGGCCGCAGCCTGCTCAGCCAGAAGTATGGCAGAGAGCTTGTCAGCAGTGATGCGCTGGAGAGTTCCAATGGTCGCCATGGTACGTTTGAAGGATAGAAGTCGCGGCGAGAAGGCGTTCATGGGCGAGGGGATTCGGAGCTGCAGTCGAAGCAAAGTTGGACTCTGACGCGAAGTTGGAGCTTTACTTTAGCGGGGAGCTTTGACGCGGGGCATTTCTCCGTACCCCTGCGACGCTTGAATTTAGCGTGGGGAACCCTGGCGAGCTACCTGACCATGCACCTACCTTACTGCGAGATTACATAAGCCACGACTTACACACATCCTCAATTATCGAGAGAACTGTACACCAGCATTCTCAAAGGAGCGAATTTGAAAGAGTGACGGCAGCACAACGTAGGGTATGTTACGGGGCTTTTCCATTTCAGCCTGCAACATCAGCCGAACCAATTGAATTTGGGATGGGGCGGGAGCTCCCTCAACCTACCTAACTTTCCAGGGTACATTAACCTACCTTACCTCAAATAGCAACGCGACATTCAAGGGAACCCCTTATTCAAGATTGGGTAACTTGACCAAACGTATGGCAGAGTTATCCCACGTTCATTAAAGTCCCTAGAAGAAACAATGGTCTGAATGAAAAGACGCATAGTGCTTCGCTTTGCCCCTCTGAACAACTGGGGTTGGTGCTGTCCAAACTCCACATCGATCTCGGCCTCGGCGCTAGTCTAGACTCCAGCTCCGAGCCAGAATCATTATGGTTCTGGCCATCCCCCACCTTCTTTTGGACGTTCCAACTGCCGCCTTTTCTAAGTAGGAAAAAAAAAAAGAAAATACACAAGGTAGTTCGGCGATTGATGAAGACTTCAACAGCCCCCAGCGGGTTAGACGAGTCCAAAGAGTCCTACCCATTTACTTCAAGCACTAGTTGCAGAGGTTCCATGATGTATTGTTTAGCCCCCGAGAGAAAACGATCATTCTGTAATATGTAGCTAGATACGTCCTTGCTAAGTATGTTCTAGACGGCATCACTCCACAAAGTTCTCGCAATGTCCCTTACGAGAACCAGTTTCTCCCACATTCTCTCCTCCGAAGCCACACCTTTGTTGGTGTTATGGCTGGCAAAGCCACATTGGGGACTTATGGCAAGCGAATCCTCAAGAACCTCAGCCGCGCTTCTGCTCTGTCCCTTGGCCATGGCTTCCGAAGCTTCATGGACGCGCTTGACCAAGGCACTCTTGTCCTCTAACTCAGACAACTTGGTCGATACAAGACCCAAGACCACGTTCTTGCCTCGAGGAACAAACCTCAAGGGTTCAAAGTGACCAGACACGCGAGGATCGTCAAACTCCAGGTAGAAAGTGGCGTAGTTCAGCTTGGGGAACACCTGGCTGGCAATCTTCTCGTATGACCCTTCAGCAAATGAGGGTCCGTCGGGCATGTTTCCACGGCAGAGGTGAACGCCAACGTGCAAGTCGGCGGGAAGACCCTTGAGGGCTTCGTTATGCGCCCAGATGTAAAGCTCCAGCAGGCTGTCAGGGTCAATGCCATCGCCCCGCAGACCCTCTCGAAACTCTTCAACGATGAAGAAGGTCAAGTTGGGGTCATCGATCTGAACCGATCTTAGACCTGCGTCGTACAGGGTTTTGAGCTCGGCATGATAGGCGGAAGCTAGGTCGAGAAAGTACTCTCGGTCCGAGGCGTAAACTCCTGGAGAATAGGCCGTCCCCTTGGCCAGATACATGTGCTGCCAGGATATGGATGGGATTGCCATCTTGCAATCCTTCCAGTGCTCCTGAGGCACGGCGTTCTTGATCATCTCCCAAGCAGGTAGGTAAGCTGAGGTGACATGCCTGATCTTCCCAGTGGCGATGACGGCGGCGAAGTGGTTGAGGCCCATTTTGGATAGACCGGTGATGTTGGGAAGGCCTGGACGAAAATCATGCGGGATCCGAAGATCTGAGCGAACCTCCATGCCCTGGAGGTTCTCGAAGAAACCGCCGAAGAAAATGGTGCGTTCATATTCACCGGAAGTAATGGGCCGGATCGAGAGGTCAAGCTGTTTCTTGGTCGCGCAGGCAATGGCATCGGATGTCACTGCGGCTTGACCCTTGGACAGCTTGTCGGAATAGAAACCCAGAGAGTCGAGCTCTTTCAGTAGAGAAGAGGGCCGAATGAGAGAGCCCACTTGGTCGGCACGGAAACGAGGGGCCATGTTGAGCGATGAGAGACTTGAGCCTTAAGATGCTAAGCGCACTGTCAACTTCAGGCCCTCCCATGGCATTTATATACACGTCTTGCAGACCCATCATAGTACGTCTCGCAAGATGACTACTCTTACCCTTGCCCAAGCTCCCGTCATTGATTAGCACCCCACCTGTCCTGATGCCCCGCCACGTCCACCCCAGACAACCTATACGTACATGATTGCATGTTGGGAAAGGTACATAAAGAGCAGAGAGAAAGCAGGGCGAGAATGCATGGGCTGAGTTGAAATTCTAGCATACTGTCCTGAGCACCAGTCTATCCCTATGACAGGAGTTGCAACATAGTCACCGCAGTTAATGTGTAATGACTCTTGTGTGAGAGTGATAGATAGATAAAACAGTCAACAGTAAATGTGACTTCTAGTTGCGCGCACGACAAGAACAGCCGGGCTAAGGCCCTTGAACACCTGCTCTCGATTTCTTTCGCATGTATCAGGTCAAGTAGGCTACGCAACGTCTTCAAAACATAGACTGCTTGGTCGAACGATCCACACTCAGATTTCAGACGTCAGAATAGAGCTAAAGGTTTCAGCCATAAGTCTAATAGTCAGATGCATCAGATGAGTTGTGGACGAAAATCACAGGCATTACGAGCTACCCTCAAAAACACAAATCAGCCAGCCTGTTGCCAGACATGCTGTGTTTTGCAACACCTACTCTTCAAAAACGGCAAGGTTTCTTCCACCATTTCCTTTGCCATCCAACTGTTTGACAAGTACGAACTGCTATTTATTTGGGCGTTTCTCCAGTTGCACGCGACGTTATGGCTGGAAGACCTACGGTCAGCCGGGTTTATTTATTTTGCCCCTACCTAGATCGGACCAACCCTATGAGAACTTGTCTTTGTCACCAAGAATTTTCCGCTCAATGCCAGACTTTCTGAAGATAATGCATATGCACCTGCCTAGGGCTTACGTTCCAAAGCTACACACAACCAGGCCGTCTTTCGACTCGGAACCCAACTTGTGAAACCATCTATATCTTCAACGCTGAAGTTTCAAGGAATAAAGTGTAGCCGTAGAACGCTATACCTAAGTACCAAAGCCATCGACGGCATGCTTCCTTATTCCGCCTGATGTTCATAAAAAGGAACTTCACACGAGAGGTTTACGACTGTGTGTGGTCGATCATCTACAGAAACTGCCTGACGGCGCAAAGTCTGAAGTCTTTGACAACGCAAAAACGGTGTAGTCCTTGGCGAGAAGTATGGTTGCAGCGAGAGTAAGTACAGCTTTGCACTGGTCAGGGGCATGTTTGAAACTTACTGTGTCCGTATCTACTACCTTGAGGGTGGCGTAAGTGATATTAGCTGTGGTTTACTCTTTAACTCCAATGGACCGGCAATGTTTTGATGTCTAGGCTTCCGAGATGTTCCAACGTACTGTCTTGCTGGGCCTCCTCCCGTTTACTGTTTGCACTTTGGAGCGATTGGTCTAGTTTTACATTGATGCATCTCCCAAGGAGTGGTAGTTAATGAAAAAGAAAGGGTTGAAGCACGGTCGAGGGATGGGAGGGAGGCGAGGGGACTCAGGGGAGTACGACAATTGGGTTGAACGTGCTGCTGAGATGAACCGGCGCTCTGTGGTAAGATGGCGGATCTTTATTCCTGTGCCATTAAACATGTGATTATTCAATTGCTACTGTAGAGTTCTCTTTCCGCCTTTTGGTCGGCTAGTTCATGTCGCCCGTGTCGCGCTCGTCACTTTAATGCGACTGACGACGTCACAGTGCGGTCTTCAACCACAACCACAGTGTGGGCTAGATTGTCGCCAGAGTGATTGGCCGTGCGAAACCGCGAGATTTGCGCCAGTTGAAATGCTCACCATCATCTTCCTGACCTCACACTACAGCATGTTTCGGAGGAATTGCGCAACTGCTATTTCACTGAATATCATCCCGATATCGTTTTTGTTCCCACCTTCTTTCTCACCCCCAGGAAGGAAAAAGGAATACCTAAGGTATGAGCCGCAGAGCCTTGCTGCCCCGGATAACTCGCATTCGGGGGCGGAAAGTACCAACTTGCCAGCACAATCATGAGGCCATCAGAGATTCAGGCCTCTTGGAACTCAACCACGACACTCATCCGGTCAACCGCGACACTCGTTCGGTCACAAAAAGAATCCGTAGTCTAATATCACGCGACCTGGAGGCTCGTGATCATCGTTCCCTCGCCGAGGTACATGCAGCGAGGCGAAGACGTCCCAGGAACGACGCTGAACCTCAGTCCCCTGAATCGGGCCATGCTCACAGCCCCTGGCGCTTCTCGCCCCGTTTAAGCAAAACAGATGAGCATTTTAAGTCAATCTACAGACTTGCCTGTCCAAAGGACCGCCCTGGCCGAGACCTGGAGGCTGTCCACTCTAGACACGTTGCTGCTCCAGGTCTCGAATCCAGACCGCTCTCCACCTGCGCCCCGGAGTTCGTTCCGCCAAGTGCGTCAGAGGCTTCGTTCAGACCCGGGCCATTGAGCATTCCCGCGTTTTCGCCTTCAATCACGGGACTGAACAAGTCGTCCAGACGGCCACAGCCGATTGTCACCGAACTTCCGTCTCCAGCTGCTCAACCGACCCAACCCTCGGGATCTCCGTCGCCACCTGTCTCAGAGACTCTCTCTTACATCTTTCCCCAACCACTATGCTCAATTCATTCGCAACCCTATTTGCAGTCAAAGCCTCAACTCATATCCGGGAAGCATAATTGGTTTTATAAGACAGTCGCCGACCCAGCAGGCATTGTGATTGCCGAGACCATAATACCAACCGGCGTGCCAGTCTCATCCGCCGGAGGCTACGAGACGCTGTGCTCGTACAACTGGACCAATGCGCCGCATCCTGAAATACTCGTCCCAGGTTAGTAGTTCCAAGTCGTCGGTTGAAACCAGTACAGTCTACTTTCCGTCATGATCTTCGGGCCGACGCTGGTTTGGGGCCTCTTCTGAAGTAATCTAACGGTTCTAGGCGCTGCTCGTCAATGGACGCACCGAGCTTGTCCCGTCAAGCTGAAAGCTGACCGAGGCATTGCATACTCGAATATAAACTCAGCCAGGAATCAACGCAGGCCATTTGAGCCTATGTTCTCTGCACTCACAGCGTTGCATCCCCAAATGAAGCTCGACGACATTGATGTGATCCTTACCCGGAACACCATTCGGAGCTTGCTCTCCTTTGTCAAGACCGGAATCAAGAGATCAGTTGCTATGCAAATGCATCTGATCAACAACACTCTGATTATCGCGGCCGACGAAGAGAAAAATCGGCGGTATAATGACCCCCGCAAGCGTCCTAACTGGGGTCATGCCTTCGAGGACGCGTTCACATCGTATAGTGCGGAGCTCCGTGACAGTATTTCCCACCATCGAGTTATCAAGTACAAGCTCGGAAGTGTCACCGTTGCTGTCTGCCACGAGGCAGATGCTTCATACTCGCAGTTGCCACAAGGTCCACAACATCCCGCATACCAAGAGAGGGGCTCCTCGTTCGGGAACATCAAACCTTCCGCTGGGCTCAGACGACGATATGAACAATTAAGCACGGACGGGTTGACAAAGGTGCGCCTGGCTGGAGCCGGTACGTTTCCCAGTGAGATGGCAGAATTGAAGGCATCGTGCTTCTTCCAGTCGATCGGGACCCACATGAATCAGCTTTGGTTCGGTCGAACATCCTACATCATTACCGGAAAACATGCTGAGGGCAACTTTCAAGAGTGTGGTATTGTTAACGCCGAGTCTGAGTTCTCAATCTGGGAAGAGAGGCACCAGGAGGCGCTGCAGAAACTCGATTCACTCATCATGATTCTACGCGAGAGGGTCGGATCTTTAGGTGGCCAGGGGGTAGGAATCATCAACAAGTCGAGGAGCAAGACCATATTGGAGATATGGACAGCCCAGAAAAAGACAGAACCCCTCTCTGTCGAGTTCATCGAGAGGCATTGGAGCCAGAGTGAGTTGTGGCAAAGAAGGCGAGGGTGGAGCGGAGTTGTGAACCGTATTTCCAGTTGAGACTGGGCGATTTTCTGTTCAGTTCGGTTCGAATATGACCAGGCAAGATTAATCTGCATTATGGCTATCATTAAATATAAGAAGACACGTTTTATACAGGAAACTGCTCCCAGTTGATACGGGATTCTGGTTCAAAGCCTACCCCTCGTATGCAGTATGTACTCGAAGAACACAGTCTACGCGTTCGACTCATCTCACGACTGTGAAGTGAGCCGCCGTTCCACACGCCCACAGCTGACCTGCTTACTCGTGATGGTTGTCCAGTTGCCCTTGACGCCAAAGCGTTGGTAAGCCAGTTCTTTCACCGAGCCGTTTTCAAATTTGAGCACAAAGGAGCCATCCCTTGTATTGCCTTTTTCAACCGAGGTAGCCTCGATAGACTCGGGCTGGGCCACGACTCTGTTCGAGCCTTCAGTCAGATCGAAAGGGGCACCCGACTTCGATAACACCCGCACTTCGAACTGTGAACCTGCATTTCTTCTCCTGGGACAACCAATGTCGAACTGAAGTGGGTATGTGTTCTTCGGCAGTGGTTGGTCCATGGGCGTCAAGCTCATGCTGATGGCATCGTCCGAGCCGAAATAGATTGCGGAATCGTTAAGCGTCATACGGGTAGTGTAGATGGAGCGATCACGCGTCGTATCATTTCGAGCGTGATGCACGTAGAATAGCTCGGCTCCCTCGGGAGTGCGGTGGGTGATCCCTTGAGCGCTGACCCTGTCTCTTCCGCTGCGAGGAGGTGAAGCGACGATACTTCCGTGCCCCGTAGAGTAAATGGGGATTTCTGCGTCCGGAGCTTGTGACAAGACGGGGTTCTTAGCCGACTTGCGGAAAGGACCCAGAGGAGACTCTGCCGTTGCGAAGCCGACACCATAGTTGGAGGCCTCATAGTTGTTGGCGCTGTAGGTGAGCAGGTAAACTGGCTTGTCGTCTTTACCTGTCCGCCTAATCAGCGTGCTCCCTTCAGACCACCGCCGGTCTTTCTTCGTGCCGTTATTCTTCTTGTAGTCGTCGACATGGAAGTTTTCCCAATCTTGGGGGTCAGCGCCGTACGAGATGACCGTTTTCCAGCCATCCTTCCGCGGCGGACTCCCAATCTCTCCGGTGCCGTTGTAAGAAGTGATGTTAGCCGGCAATTCTGGTGCGTCTTTTGCATGAACGTCAATCTCCGAGGGTGCAATGTCGGGCATGGTCCGCGCGAAAGGGTCGTCCCACCACGCTCGACTCATCTCAACGACGATGATGTTTGACTCTTCGATGTACTTCCCCAGCTTCTCGTCCCAGTTCCAGTTCCTGTACGCATTCCGGGAAGTGTAGAGATAGATGCGGCCATCTCTGTCGAAGAAGATGTTGGGATCGATGGTGGGGATGTAGGTGCCCTTGGGCGCCGTCCTGCCTTCGTCGAGACTTTGCGGCGGCAGCATTTGCTGCTCATTCATGATGAGATTGACATCGTGATAATTAGGGTCGAATGGGTAATATCCAATAGGTTCTGACCGAATCTCTTTGAATGGCCCCGTCGGCGATCGGGAGACGGCCACACCGAGCTTGGACGGCTCTTCAAACTTGGAGTACCGGAAGTGGTCCTTGGCCATGTCTTCGCGCAGGCGTCCGGCGAAGAAGAAGAAGTACCATCCCGTCCTCTCGTTGTAGTAGGTTTCGGGAGCCCACTGCCAATCGCGGGCCCAGCACGCTTGGCCGCCATCGATCCGTTTCATCTGATCATCGTAACACGCCTTCAACACGCCGCCTGGGTGCTTGCTCCATGTCGAGAGGTCAGGGCTTATGTAGATTGCAAAGTGGTATCCAGAATCAGCGCCCTCGGTCGAGTAGGCGTAATATTGACCACTCTCCGAGTCGTAGAAGACGTACGGATCTGCCGCGGCGTGTCGAGCCGAGTTATAGAACTCGGGTTGTCGGCCTTTGCCGTTGTCAGACTCGGCCCATGCGGACGGGAAGAGTAAGATCGTCCCTATCAGAGCACTGAAAAGGCGCATCTTCGAGTACGGTAAGTGAAAGACACCAGCAACTAGGGCAGTCGATTCGAAGAGTGGCACAAAAGTCCTGGGGCCGTATCGACATGACGGGAGTCTTATACCACGAGACCGCGTCCCATCAGACCCTCGTTTCCCCTCTTTCAGATGTGAGTAGTTCCTGGGGGCCCGAGCAGCGTGATCCTTCATCTCATCATCCTATTGAGTCCCTGGTCCGTTGTGCAAACAAGGCCCGGGCCTTGAGATGGCCCACAATTTCCCCTCACAGACATGACCTGCTGAACCAACCGAACTTGTCAATGTACGTCACTAACGGGTTGAGTTGCAGAGACTTGGCTGTTCGATACTCTCTGCCACCTTGGTGAAAGGGGGTGTTAGACCGGTACCCGGCCTGCTCGAGATCTTGAACCTTGGATCCACCGGCTCGAATTAGGTTTTGGCCAAGCCTTTCAAATTTAGTTTGCGCGCATGAAGGGGACCGGTGGAAGAGATCTGGTCCGAACGAGATGGCAAAGGACTTCAGATGTCAGAGATCGGGACCTTCCTTGAACAGACGAGGGCGTCTGCGACCGGGGACCCTTACGCCGAAGGGATAATTACAAGTATCTGGACTTGTGAGCATCGGGTACGGCAACATGTGCTTACATGGAGGACTTCTACCGCTGCAAGCGACGTTACATTGGAAATGATCATTTCCGCTTCAAAGCGATGTCAGTTGGATCGAGGTCGATCTGACCCCGCATTCGACACGCACGGTCATAATGCCTTGATGAACTTGCGGCGCAGTCGAGCTGCTCTTGTTTTCACTACACATGATATCTCCATCACGATCTTGGTATCACAGATTCGCATCCTCCCTTGGTGGTGCAGATCGTCTTTCTCACTTGGCCAGATTCCCACGTCCAGCCCGTTCTCGCGTGGAGATATCACAGCTCGTACTCCGGGATATCAACTGTGGTGTTTGACTCCAGCGACTGCTTGATGGCATCGCAAACGATCAATGCGGCAAGACCAGCTTGTGGCGTGCAACTCGGAGCTACTTCACCCCGGATGTATTGGCAGAAATGACTCAGCTGCATTTCGAAGGGGACACCTTTGCCCACGTCAATGGTATGCGTAGCCATGTTGGAGTGCCACGATTTCTTGTCTTCGTATGTCCAGAGGGCCATGTCGGGGACGCTGAGAGTACCATTGGCTCCAAATACCTGGTAGAACGTGCCGCGTGTCTGTGGGATGAGAGGATTCTCGCCAGTGCCGGCCTCAAAGTTGAATGGCGATGGGGTGTTGTCAGAGATTAGGAAAGAACCGACAACACCGGATTTGAAACGAAGAGTGAGTGCAGCTCCCTCCTCCGCCTCGTGGCCTCTCTCTGACATTGTTTTCTCGGCATGAACTCTGACAATAGGCCCAAGAAGATAGTGGAGGATGTCAACTTCGTGGATCATGTTGATGAGGATGACGCCGCCGTCTTTGCCCTTTCTCCAGGCGCCGGGACCTTCGAAGTACTCGTCTGGCTTGTACAAGGCCCAAACACCGTTGACGGCGATGATCTTGCCTACGCTTCCGGCGTCCAGACTGGATTTTGCGGCATAAATGTAAGGGTTGAAGCGACGGTGGTGTCCCACGAGAGCCTTGACGCCTGTCTGCTTCAGGTGGTCCAACAGGTCGAGGCCGCTCGGAAGGTCGGAACTAATCGGCTTCTCAATGAGTGGATGGAGGCCGTGAGAAGCCAGCTGCTTGGTGATTTTGACGTGGGTGTGGTTCGGGGTGCAGACGATGGCGGCCTCGGGAGGGTGGGGAGATTGTACAAGGTCGTCGACGGACGCATAATGAGCAACGTTCAGCTCGGTTGCCAGTTCCCTGCCGGCTGGTGCTGGGTCGACGATGGCGACGAGAGTGGTTTCGGGGTTTTGGATGACAGTTCTGGCGTGACGTGGGCCGATGAGACCAACGCCGATAACGGCGAAGGAAATCTTTTGGTGAGATGCAGCCATATCGAGATTCGAGAACGTGCTTCGGGGAATGGGTGATAAAGGAATCGTACCGTGATGGCGATGAGAACGACCGAGAGGAAGATACCCCGTTTGAATGTGCTGATGGATGATATCGCGGGGTAGTTGATGGGATAATAAGCGACGTGGGATGCTGGGTCCGGGGCCCCGCATAATGAAACAGCCGTTAGTTGTCATGAGGCGGTTTTGTTCTTATCCGGACACTTCACGACAGCCCAGGAGGACGGGAGTACGGCACGGCCCAGCTCATCGCAATTGGCAGAAAGTATGGCTGTTGTGGATATCTATGCAGATCTGAAAATGTTGGTTGTCAGGTTCTCGTGAGATAGGTACGCGAGGATTCGACGAGGATGCGAACCTTGGCTTTTTCCCAACGGCCGCCCTCCTTGCTCAGACAACCAGACTAGTAGGCCTTGCTAAATGTCGATATTGTGTAACGTGTAAAGGCACAGACATGGTCTGATAGTTGCGCCAGAATACACCTGAAAGTTATTTAGCTAGCTCGACTGTCATCCAATGCCGGCTTGTCAGTAGGAGTTTGAGACCCAAGGCGGACATGGTAAAGGACAGTGAGAGACCACGTCGACAGCTGTGCATGTTCAGCGGAATCCGACTGGGAGGTCAGTTTGCTCTGTTCGGTTCTGAGAGGCTGAAGAAACTGCAGAAAAGCAAGCAACCAGGCAAGATGCATAGAGCTTGTTTGCCATTTGAGGATGCGAAATGATGGATTGCCTACCTACGACGGGAGTGCCCTATGACGGAGGGCGGCATCGCTCACAAATGTCGCTGACGTGAGTGGCCGGTTGGCCGAAGGTGGGGCCGATGTCCGTTCCAGCGTCGTGGTACTCCACTGTGTCGCGCGGAATCACAGGGAAGCCGCAGCGCAGGGCGGTTGGGCGGTGACATCAAGCTGGGATGCTCCTTCCTTTTGACGACCCTTTTTTCTTTTCGCCTGCCCGCGCTGTGTTTATGTTGTTCTCCTTTCCTTTCCTCATGCCTTTCCTCATATCAGTCGACCCATTGACTCCAGTGTCTTCTAGGTAAGCCTATGCTCATTTGGTGTCATCTTCTGCCCTCGTGATTCTGGGCTGGCTAGCGCCATCAACTGACCCCGCGATAGTTCTCCGTTCCTCACCTGCCCCGCACCCAGGCGCACTTCAATCTCCTCCAATTCCTCCTAGCGACGTCTTCTCTTCGCAACGACGCCGAAACACCTCCAACGTCTCTTCAAGACTTGCAACTGAACTCGAGTGTCGCACCGCTCACAGCCATGTCGCCATCGAGCACAAACGGTGCCAACGGCACCAACGGCACCTCTGCCGCAAACGGCGAGGTAGACATCAAGAGCGAGTTGGACCACGCGGCTCCTCTGCTACCCCTCTGCTAACATCTGCCAGACCTGGGCTACGTCGCGACACCCAAGGTCGAGGGAACCTGGACTGTCGAAAAGGCTCTGAAGGCCTCCTCTGGAGCGCCTCCTGAGAACTCCACCTCGCCGCTGCCCTACTTCCACATGCTCGAACGTCTGAAGACGACTAAACGAGAGGGCTGGCGTCGCTTCGGCGTTGAAAGGTAAGCCTATTCCCTATCGGTACTGCTGAGATATCACTCGAATAACATGATGGTGCACAGAGGAGAGTCAATTGCCGATCACATGTACCGCATGTCCCTCCTGTCGATGCTCTGCCCGCCCGACCTCGCCAAGCGTGTCGACCTCGCCCGATGCATGAAGATGTGCCTCATCCACGACATGGCCGAGTCGCTCGTCGGAGACATCACCCCAGTCGACGGCGTCCCCAAGCCCGAGAAGAACCGACGCGAAGCCGAGACGATGGACTATATCACCAAGGGCTTGCTTGGAAGCGTGTATGGTGGTCTCGCCGGCGCCGAGATCCGCGAGATCTGGCAAGAGTACGAAGACTCCAAGACGCTCAACAGCCACTTCGTGCACGATCTGGACAAGATGGAGCTGCTTCTCCAGATGATGGAGTACGAGAAGCGCGGCGAGGGTAAGCTGGATCTTGGCGAGTTCGCCTACGTCGCTACCAAGTTTTCGCTTCCCGAGACCAAGGAGTGGGCAGATGCGCTGCTCAAGGAGCGGGATCAGTTCTGGGGTGCCAAGGAGCACGTCCATGGCGAGGTGGACGGTGGCGTGAAGCAGGACACGAGGCAGCAGCAGCACGAATACTACACGCGCGACTAAGGGAGGACTGCGTGGAATGCGAATGACACGGATGGGGGAGACTGATTCCCGTTGGCGCTACTTTTTTTTTTGGGCTGGAAAAAGAGAGATGCCAGGATGGTCGGACGGTACGGCACGGGGCGGGGCGGGGCGGTGATGAAGCTGCGATGGGTTTTCGCATCATGACACTCTGCATTGCATGGCTGCATGAAGATGGGCAACAGGAAGGAAGGCTTTTAATTGATATCCATAGACGCTAGGAATTGGACTTTTCCAACATACGGGGTGCCTATTACCAAAGGCCCTATTACCAAAGGTCAAGCATCGTGAGATTGGGGAGGCGGTGTGGTATTATTGCCCCTCTATTTTACGCGTTAGGTACGGGGACTCGGACACGGCCCCCCGGGCGAGCACCCCGGCAACTCCATCGCCGTCGCGTCTTCCCATACCGAGACCGACCTCCCATTTTATTGATTTTTTTTATTTCTAATTTTTAATTAGAGTTCCAGCGGGAATCCGACCTTTCTCATCCCTTCTGCACTGAACAGCAACAGTGTCTTCTTTCATCGCAATCTTGCTTTTACTCGTTTTCTCCTTTTCCGCGACGTCGTCATTCGCATCATTGATCCCTTGCGTTCCTGGCGCATAACGAACTCGACGTCACCTGAACGCCACCACCAAGTTGGTTCGAATATCCAATCTTTTTTTCCCGCCTGTTGATCAGTCCTATCACCCGCCACATCGACCAACCAGCGTGCGACAGCGACTCAGCTAGAAGGGCTTTGCCGGCACTTGGAAGCTTGGGCAGGCAGCAAACGCCATCGAACACACCAATACACCCAACACAACCGGGTGGAAGCTTGTTGGTCGCCGACAGCTACTCCTTGCTACCCCGAAAAAAAATAACACCCATTCCCGCCCACCGCCGCATTTCTCCAACCTTGGAAACCAGCTGTCCCCCGGACATTGGCTTGTGTTGCTTGGCTCACAGAGTCACAGCACCTCCTCCTCCCGTCATCACGCGCCTTGTCAACACGGAAATCCGTCCACCTCCGTCGCCTGTCAACGTCAAGTCTGACAGCGTCCGGCTTGCGCGCAAAACTGTCCATCGCACGGCCGCTGACACGACAGACGACAGATAGACCGTCCATCACGAACAACACAGAGTCCTTATCATCCGAGACATTCGACGCAAATCCTGCGCCCTGGCACCACCGATCGGCCATGAACATCTCCCTCTGAGCTCTGCGACAGTGTGAATCACCACCGTTCAAGCCAAGACCTAGCTCGCCCTCGCATCCCCCCTCTGTCTCTGTCGCGGACCCTTCACAACCATCATCCGATCGCGCGGAGCTGCTTGTCCTTGCATATCGTCGTTGGAATAACAACGGCCGCAATTCTCAGCATGGCTTTCGAGTACCGTATGCCCGGTACCTACTTCGACGCACAGCCCGGAGGAGTTCACCCCGGTGTCTTCCGAACCCCTTCTTCTCCCTCCGCAAGCTCCTCCTTCTACCTAGCACGATCTACTGGAAGCTTCCACTCCGATGCTGCGAAGCGAAACCGTAAACGTCGAAACGATGTCTCCCGCGAGGCGACCCCTCTGCACGACTGGTGCGATGGGAACATGAGCCTCGATAGCTCAGGCCATCTGCCCCCGAATCAAGAGACGCCCCAGCCGAACCGAGAGGCCCGCTACACACTCGCCGGCCAGCTCGAGACCCCCGGCACTGCCGCCAAACCGCCCTTCGAGAACGGCGCACTCGACGAGAGCACCTACTCGGATGCCGACTACAGGAGACAGCTGGGATCGAAACGGCCCCACGAGGAGATAGAGTCGCCCGTCTGCTCTCAACCAACAATGCTTGTGCAGCCCCAGCCCGTTTCGCTGGGGTGGAGCCGTTTTGCCATCAACACCATTGGCGGTGTAGTCGGCAAAGTCTGGGAGTTTTGCAAGGCCGGTCCATTCAGAGGCTTCTCCGCTGGAGGCGGCAAAGCCTACACTATCGACGGCCAGAGCCTGCCCAGTCCGGCGCCCGAGCCCAGCCCCGAGCTTCAAGCTCAGCTATCGGAGAAGTCGATTGTCCTTGGCATCGAGAGTCCTCAGCCCAGCGCTCCTGTCCTCGACATGACGCCGCCTGGTGGATTTCCTCAGCCCGACTTCATCATTGCGAACGCTTTCACGACCACAAACCCCTTTGCCCACGAGGCCCAAGATATCCAAGATACCATTGCCCCCGAAACTACTCCGTCACGCCCAGCTGTGAAGCGTAGGCAGACTAGCGCCGGGAACCATGATGAGCTTCGCAACTGGGTTGTGGTGGACGACCAGGCTGCTGCCCACAGGAGAACTCTGCCACGGCCAGCATCGCGTCCGGTGTCTCGTAACACAAGAGCATCCATGGTGACCGGACGCAGAATCAGTGTCCCCAAGCCGCGCCTTAGCTCGACTCCCAACACCCAACGTAGGCCGACTACCAGCCACAGTAACATCTCTCACGCTGGAACCGCTTCAATGTCTCCGCGGCAGCCCGCCAGCTTCGCCGGTGCCTGGTCGCCCGAAACCACTACCCATTTTACAGGCCCGTCTCCGAGCCGAATCCCTCTGCCGACCCAGCCTGCCGGCATGAGCCCCAATCCCTTCGCGAGACCCAGCAACCCGAACATGCGCCAAAGCGCCATTCCCTCGCCGGTCCAGCCCAAGACCAGCCCCAAGTCACACCGACGCTCGCATAGCAATGCATCGGCAGCGACGTCACGGGGAAGACAGAAGGAATTCGGTGTTGACTCCATCCGTGCAAGTCCTCGTCTGGATGCCGAGGCCAAGAAACTAGCGGCTAGGAGGGTCCGCGATGAGCATGATTCAGACGCGCGAATTGACGATTTGAACCAGAGACTGAAGGAGATGATCCGCCAGGGCCGAGAAGCCCTCGGTACGAAGATCGAAATTGACGGTGACGACGGTGGATGGATGGACGATTGAGATTGCAACTTGTGGATGATTCTTCGAGCGGCGTTTTGCATTTTGCTACACACATTCGGTCTAGGTTCTGCTGACGGCGGGGAGTTAAGGGAATTGCGCGTGATACCACCTACTTACATACTGGCGTACTCGCTGGCCGGAGCCTGGTCTTGTTTTTGCTCTGGGCCAAGGACGGCGTACCCATCAGGCTGGGCTTGGAGTTTCTTTTGATATAATTGCTAGAGTGTGCAAGATTGGGCACCTACGAGATTTCGATCGTGAATGGAATCACAAATGCGCGAGTCAGAAATAGGCCGCTTCGATGCTAATGCATCTGTGTTGCAGTGATATCATAATGCTTAAACAACCGTTGTCGCTTCAAACCACCCGCGCCTATCCATCTTCGTCCGTCACCCTCTTCAACTGGTATTTTGGTGCGGCATCAATCCTCGTGCTACCTTGGCCTCGTGGCCAGGTCGCTCCTCGACAGAGTTGCGAGTGAGCCCAAGGCACTTCTTTTAGCGCCGGGCCATCCTCTGTTCCCGCAGATTCAACTTCGGGAGAACACCATGACTGTTGATCTAACGGTGAAGCCCTGAACCACGGGGAGAACTGAACGAAGGGATGGACCGCCCAAACCTGGCCTCATCTCCCGGGAAGCAACTTGTCAGCCTTTCGGAGGTGGCCGCTGGTGATCCTCACCCAGCCGCTGTGAAAACAGCGTGGACTGATCCGCGCCGCAAGATCCGCATACAGATTCCCCCAACTTCTGCAACTGAACCCTACAGTCAGCGTTCTGGCAGTGCCTCGTGCAGAAGAACCTCGGACAGTCCTCAACGACGCACTTCCTCTTCCCGGGAGGATGGTCGATCGTCAGGTGACTCGTGCCGCAGCGGCACTTTTTCAGGTGACAATCCCGGCCTGCGTGGCCGAGCAGCCCGCACATGCAGCACCGAGCCTTGCAGATCATGGCGTTGCGGTGGTAGTCGCTCCCCGGTGGCTCCCCATTCTCCGTCTTGGGGCATTCGGCGGTGCAAACGACGGGGCAGCGCTTGGCAAGGTGCCGCTGCGGGAAGGTGGTGCATTTGCAGTGGTTCCGCGGGATGCTCTCGCACACGTCGACCGTGTGCCAGTCCTGGCCGCAGTAGCCGCAGTCGGCCCCGCAATCGAGGATGGCGTGGTACGGAGACCGACAGTTGGGACATGGCTCTTCGAGCTCTACCGCCGAGAGTGCTTCGCTTTCATCGTCGTAGTCGCCGTCGTCGAGGACGATCATGCGGTGGCCGAGGTGTTCGACTACCAGCCGCTCCATCAGATAGGCCAATCTCGCCCCTGCTGCGTCGGCGAGGGCGTCTGAGCTGGGAGGTTGTCAGTTGAGTGCCCCTGAGCAAAGAAAGGTCAGGGTTCGGGTGGTCTTTTACACCATGATGATGGATCGCCGAGGCGGTCTGTCCGCTTTAGACTTTCGAATTCGATGAGGGCTCGGAGACTACTGATGAATATGGAAAGGGGCGGGGTTGCTGAGTGACGTGAGCCTGAGTCGCCGCAAGTGAGGATTATGTGAAATGCCGAAATTTTCGAATTTCTTCGGGACTATGAAATTCTGGGCGCGGTGAGCTGTGTTCTGGAGTTCATGAGATTCAACTGGATGACGATGATCATGTTCAAATGGAAGTTGGAGACGTGGACGGGATGCACTCGGGCAAGCGTCTCACCGATGTACACCGAGAACATGGCCCGTGCTTCACAGTTTGACACTGTCTTGCGAACGGTCGCGTTTGCTGTCCATCTTCGCCATACCGAATTTACCGCAAATTTTCACCTCCAGCTGCGACAAGACAGACTGGATCTTATTATAAGAAGCCTTATCAGCAGCGTGTCTTATGAAGATTCTGAACATGCCCATTTTCTAACGCGACTCGCCATTACGCCGGACATCCAGCAAGTACACCAACTATGATACACAATGAGTCTCTATGAACGAATGTCGTCGCAACGTTGCTCGCCTGCAATGATCGCACGTCTACCTCTATGAGTGTCTCATGAATCAAAGCTGATGCTCCCGAAGAAAGAAGGCCGCAAAGAACGCCAGCGCAGATGACACAAGTGAGAAGCCATGGCTCCACCCCAGTCCCTCGACATATGCCTGTACGACGGCTTTCGCAACGTTACTATCAGTGTGGTGTATGAATTCCACGTTCGAAGTTGCCTTCTGGATAATCTACAGTCATCTGTGTCAGCAAAAGAAAGACCTGGGTCCTGGGACGGCGGATTCGGCTCACCTTTTGTCGCATAATTGCGTCAATTCCCATCTCTTTCAGCAATGTGCCCAGCTTCCATCGCATCGTCTCCATCATCACAGCGCTAACACTCGAAAGGCCGATGATCATGCCGATCTGAACCGTCAAGAATACACCGGATGTAATTGCCGCCTTGTGTTTCGGATTGACGCCGGCTTGGGCACTGATGAACCCGGCTGTCTGCACAAGACCAGCTCCTAAACCTCCTGGGAAGATATAGAGCGACTCCCATACGTTGGTGTTTCCATGCCACCGGAGAAGGAGAAGGACGTACGAAATCGACGAGGCTATGCTTGCGACGATCAAAAGATGCTTGTAGCGGCCAGTTCTATACAAGTTAGCAAAACAAACAGGTCTGGCCGCCAAATATGAGCCTTACTCTTTGATGAGATAACCACCCACGATCCCGCCAATGGCGTTGCCGGCCACTGCTGGAAAGAGATGGAGCCCTGCGACTGTGTTCGATACTCCTTGAGTGACCTGGAAGTATAACGGCACCGAGAACATGAGGCCGAGCTGAGCAGCAACTTGGGCACCGGTGATGAAGTACGTGATGACGACGTCTCGGTGCTTCAAAAGTTCCAAGGGAAAGATCGGCTCCTTTGCCCACCACTCTTCCGTGGCAGCGAACAAGCCGCCCAACACGATCGCAGCACCAAAAAGCGCGAAAATGACGGGATGCGTCCAAGGGACCTTCGTACCTCCGATTTCGATCGGCAAGAGGAAGGCCAGAATGAAAAGCGCCAACAGCCCAGCTCCCAAGAAGTCGATCCTGGCCAAGGGGCTACCTTTCGTTTCTTCAGGCTTGACATCCTCCTCGACTTCTGTTTGTGCCATTTGACTAGGCTTTCCCTTCGGCAGGAAAAGCCAGCAAAGCACAACTGCGACTAGAAAGATGGGAGCTTGGCCGAGAAACGACCATCGCCAACCGATCGTGTCTGCGAGCCACCCTCCGAGAGGACCACCGAGACTGCGGCCTACAGTGGCGGCAAGATTGAGACCGGCCTGCCATGCGGCGACTTCGCGGAGCGGTACCAGGTCTATCAAGGTCAGAAGTGATCGTCTCAGATTTGGCTGGCATACTCACCCGTGATCAGAAGTAATCCAAGCACGTTCAACGATGAACCGCCAGATCCAGATACTACACGGCCGAGAACAACCTGCCACATCGTACCGCCAACACCAACCATTGCACTTATATCTGTCAGCCTCTGATCTTTTGCCAGGAACCCTGACCAACTAACCATCCAATGGCAAATAGTAGATAAGATACCATAAGCAAGGCCCGGCGGCCGTAGATGTCACTCAATTTTCCGTACTATCCCACAGTTAGATTACCCTGGGTGGCTCGCCATACAAACACTTGTCTACTGACCAAAGTCTGAGTAGCTGCTCCGGCAAGTGCGAAAGCAACAAACAACCAGCTCGAATTCTCAAGATCATCAAACTCGGAGGCAATCGTCGGGTGCGTGGCCATGACCAAAGAACCGTCGGCGTTGGCGGTAAATGTCCCAACCAGCAAGATCGCTACGATCTTGATGACGGCCGAAGCCGGCGTCCCCTTGGTCTTCGTCTCCGTCGCATCGTCGGCGCGGGCGGGTGCGGTGCGTTCAATATCGACGCACGCCTCGTCGACCTCTGTCGACGGTGTGAGATGCCATGGAAGGAATTGACCGTCCGAGTCTCCGCTGGACGACGACGAAGTCAAGGAGCTCTCACCTGACGAACTCGATTCTCTTCGAGCCCGCGACAGCAGCGGCGACCTTTCGTCTACCACTCTCTCGGTCTCTTCATCTCTACTTCTGCTGCTATGCAGCGTCTCTTTGCTGCGAGCCATGGTCGAATCGCTTCGCTCCTGCGTGGGTTGTAGAGATGGAAGAGACAAAGAGCCGCAAGTGTGCCGTCACGGATCGAAGATGACCAAGGTGTCATCGACCTTTCTCAGACTTCATTGTTTGCTAGGATGAACCTTTTCAGGTTTCCGGGGACGGCGCATCTGTGCAAGGCATACTACGCGCACCCGCCGAGATCCCCAAATGTCCGCATGACGTCGGCCAATCAGACTTTACACAAACTTCCGATTTCCTCTTCCTAAGCTCCCGGTCCTCATTACTCGATGACTGATGGGAGAATTTGCAAAAGACATCCTTGGCAGGATGAAAAGTTGCCGATAAGGGGATCCAGGCTCTGGGTCCATGCTATTGCGACATATTGCGCCATTGCCGCCATACGACTTCGGTCATCCTCGGCCCCCACAATGGCCGGGGAGCCGGCGGGGCCCGGTTGTTTCCCGGCCGGCTGGACATGGTAACTCGGTGCAGGACCCCTTAAAATGCGGTAGATGGTGTAACAATCAATTTTTTGAAATGCAGTCTACCGAGATCCTTGACTTGCAGTCGCACGTGGGGGCTCACCCGGCCGTTGCAGATGAGATCTTCCAGGGTCAGAATTTGCTCCTCGCCGGATCTCGCCCGTGCCACCCGGAAAGACAGCAAATCTGACTGTTGCGAAGTCGGATGCGGGATCTCGGAAACATTCACTCATCTGACTCATTATCCAGCTGACTTGGAATGTGAAACTCTGCTGAAGGTTGACGCCGTTGCGGTCCCGATGTCATCGGCCAAGTTCGCGTCGCGAAGGAGGCAAAGAAGAAGCCTTGGCCAGGCCGTCATTAATCCTATCGCCGAGTCCGTTTTGTTTCCCTCCTCCGAATGCTTTTCCGCCTAACATGTGTGAATCAAACACAGACCAACACGGGAATGAAACGGGCTTGGAAATGGGTAATCGGTGGTTGGACTGCCATCTGTTTCATTCGACCAAAGCAGCAAGTATTCGACGCTTGGAAATCAGCAACAGGCGACTCGTCTGATGTTCTGTTGCATCTCAGCTGAGGCGAAACAAGTTGTCTGTCTGCATCGGGACTGGATCTGGACGACCAGTCAGTTTTCAGGTAGCGATATGCGAGGATCACTGGTGCGAATGTTCGATGGCGAACACCTGCAAAGAGCTATTATTTTACTCGGTTCAATCGAAGCTTGCATATTACTTGTCTTGGTGGCCAGCCTTTTCAGTCGTCTTCACCGATTAGCAGGGAGTAGTACCTGGTGTAAATGGAATTTTCCGCGTTCTACAAGCTCCTTATTTGCCGTTGAGCGACCCTACCCAATCCTTGCAATTGGTTTCAATGCCTTGCGTGCTAGCTTCAATAAACTTGCCTACATCGCAGGTCGAGTTTTGTTAACCTCTATCGCAGGTCACATCAGAGGGTTTGAACATTGAAAAGACGGCCCTTGGAGACCAGAAATCTTACAATTCCACGTTCATGAATGATTGCGCCGGGCATGCCCCTCTTCTCCTGATATTTTCGAACGAGTTGACCCGATCCAAATCGTTCCAGGCGTACATCCGATAACCGCGTGAGTCTTCGGACCTTCTACGAAAGACTATGTTTCCCGTGCCGGCCCGGCTGCCATAAGCAAAGTCTCCGTGCATGTAGACGTGGCATTCGAGCGAAGCTATGCCTTGAGGCCCGAAGACCCATCTGGCAAGACTGTGAAAGGGATGATGGAATCCGGATCTCGATTGGCCTGGGCACAGAACCCGCTTGATTCTTGTTCCATTGTGGCATTGAAGCTCGCTGGTCGTCATGGTATAGTCTAGATAAGCGTCGTCGAATGAAGCGGTTTTGGTCCAGATCGATTCCGGACTGCCTGACATGGATGAGTTTCAACAATGACTTCAATACGCGAAGGACATCAGAATCTGCTTCTTTCAAAGTATGGTTCTGGAAACACATGGAAACGGCGCGCCAGCTTACCAGGTATTCTGGAGTGCATGCCAAGCCAAGACATACTAAACCGAGACTTGAAAGAGGGTTCTGGGTGGTACCTCACCTCATGAAAGCTTCCAAAATCCACGTCTAGAACATCGATTCCCCCGTCTGTAAGTCCGTTTCAAGATACCGAATTCTCCTGCAGTGATGTACAAATCTTCTCATAGTTGCCTAATGTCCGCTAAGAGACTTACAAAACAACAGCGGGCAGTTTGGAAAAGATTGTACCTTCGCGCCCGGGCAAATCTCACGGGACAAATGTTCCGGAATTCCATCTATTTGAGTGAGCAGGTGCGAGTATACATGATGGTACGATACCATCTGGGGTTACTCACTCAAAGTTGCGTAGTTGGTTGTTGTGAAGGCCACCCAGTAGCGTGTTTAGTTGTCGAGGCACCAACTGGTAACTGGCCACAAGTTCAGACTCCTTGGGTGAATGTTGAACTGAGAGGCATTGCTGTTGCACATGAAACCGAATACTGTGACCCACGCAGATCTCCTTGGTGTGTTCAAAATGTGCTGATGGAAAGTCAGCAGAAGGCAAGCAGGTGTTACTGTTCAGTTGATACTGGATCTTGCGCCAAAGAAAACCCGCAAATCATATTGCTGGAATGGCGGCCTGCTGGCTTTTCAAGAACCGATTGGTGGATCTAATGATCTCATTGACTAAAGACATCTTCCAGACTATTGACACGGTTGCGCCGAGTATTGTAGCTGCTTACTCACTCCAGTGCAACTGATCTATTCTTATCGTTGATTTTTCATTATCATTTGAGGATTGAATCACACTGACCGCGAAACATTGAGTTATGGTGGGAACGGCTATGAAGCTTTGAGCTTGAAGGTCGCGGTAACATTGTCAATGAATCCATATACCGGCTAGTTCCCTGGAAGGTATCGTGCACAATGCGACATAGTCTGTCGACCTGTTCAAACCCAATCGCCCCAGTTGAGGCCCTTCCAGTAAACAAGTCCATCTCGTTCAAATTGCGGGCCCTCAGCGTCGATCAAATAACCCATCTCACAGCGCGAGTATTCAACCCGGACCTGCTGTTGCTGGTAGAAACTATCAAATCGAGGGGACAGCGCATCGCGCAGATTGTCGACGTTGCCTTGTGGGTGAAGAGAACGCCAAGGTCGGGTGCAGACAGACCACTTACAAGACTTTGTCACGAGTAACAAAGAGTCAAGACGAGAAACTATCTTTTCAATTGAGAATCCAAGAAGGGATGCAGCCGTCGACTTCTCATGCAGAAGGTTGTTCAACTGACCCGGGTCGGTCTGAGTTCAGCTCAGTCAGTATCTCACCAATCGGGCCAGAGTCTGGTCGGGATAAAACTCACGTTGAGGTCATAGAGCTCGTGCTCATTATTGCACCATACCGAGTAATATAGGTTATACTCCTTCGAAACCACGCGGAGGGCTTTGTAGGTGTTGTTGAACACGAAGGACTCATTCCTCCCGAAGTACCCCCAGGGGCCCTCGGACGCAGCGAAGCCCCAGTACTCAACCGTGACGTGTTCGTGCCGTGTCTTCGTAGCATCCGCAAAATCATCTTTGGTAAGCGGAATAGCAAGACCATCGAGATCAGCTCGAATGGGAGCCTGTGCGAGACCAAGAATCGTGGGCACCAGGTCCTGGTGTGTGGTCACGATCTCCGCTACCTTGCCCTCCGGGACTCGGGGTCCCCGGACGATCAATGGGATGTTAATGTCCTCTTCGTACCCGCACTCTTTCCCGGGTTGAAGACGATGCTGACCGATGTGATAGCCGTTATCCGTTGTGTAGAAGATGTACGTTTCATCAAGGATGCCATGTTGCTCCAACTTCGCCACAACGGAGTCGACGAGCTCATCAACTGCCTGAAGTGCCCGAAGCCGATTGCGATAGAAGTGATCGTTGAAGGCAACGTTTTCGTGGCTTTGCTTGGGCTGTTGTCTTACCCAGTTGGCCCCTGACTCCTTATCGGGGTTGAAGTTGTCTGTCCGTGGGACGACTGCATCAGGGAACAGGTGGGCATGCCTCTGGGCAGGAATAGGTGGCGTCGCTATGATTCCGTGAGGATTGTGCTCACTGCCATTATTGATGACATTGGCTTGCACATTCGAATGAGGCGCCACCGGCGCAATGCCGATGAAAAAAGGGTTGTCCTCAGCAAGGGCGTCGTCGAGGAAACCCAGAGCCTTGCCAGCCAGAACATCGGTGCTGTAGTCCCCTTCATGGCTGATCGGTTCATCTTGATTGCGTTGAAATGTCGCATTTAGGTAAGAGTACGTGAAAGGATCCAAAAGAAAATCAGACCCTGTCCATCCAGCTGCATGAGGGCTATCGTAGTTGTCCACGGTGTGTGCGTTGAATAACTTGCCCGTGTAGTAGGTGTTGTAGCCGGCATTCTGAAGGAAGATGGGCAAGTAATTTTGGTTGTGACCCTCTGCCACGAACTTGGGATATCCGCCTGAATTGGAATGAGTAACGGTCAACTCATTAAGTTGTCGTCACTCACCATATGGGGGAAAGATATCGGTGACATTGGTATTGTGTGCAGCCTTGCCAGTCCAAAGTGTCACCCTAGAGGGGCAGCAGACTGCTGTTGTACAGAAATGCCGCTTATAGAGGGTGCCTTGATCGATTAGGTGCTTCTTGATGAGAGGTACATAGTCCAGGGAGTTCATGTGGAGATCCTGGTCGTCGGTGAGAATGAAGACAATATTGGGCCGACGCGAGGATGTGCCCGCAGGGCTAAGAGGGAGTTGGCTGTCATCGGACGTCAAGCGAGAAGCAGCGCCAGTAGATAGAAGCGCGGCATAGGCCGCAAAAGACTTGAGATACATTGCTTCCAGTGATCCGGTGTCAATGGTTTAGGATGTACTGATCTGTTGCCCAAGATGAGAAGCCACCAGCCTTGGACCCAAAATGCTTTTTTTCCCTGTTTGATCCTTCATTTATATGGCAACTTCCACATCGCCACGGCACTCGCCGGTACAGCCCCGCGATGCATCCCCGGCCGCGGCCCTGTTGCGTAGTCTTTTGCAACATCCAGGCACGAATGGCGTGCTTTCGCAGCGGCTGCATCCTACAGCAACGTCACGCCGGCGAACCACTCATATTCACCAGCGACATCCGTGTCGAGACGACGGGTTTTTGACGTGGCATTGGCAATCGTTCCTTGATCGCACTAGATCATTCCTGTCGTGAGTCAAACCAACCGTCTTCCATGGAATGGGCCCAACGTCAAGATGAGCACTCCTTTTATCAACAAACGGCGCTTAAGTTTTTCAGCTCCGATGAGAAAACCGTATGCAGTCTACCGACAGTAAAAGGCTGCTAGTAAGCTGATGGACTGAATTGGGGCGTTGTGCGTAATGAAGGCCACCTAAATGTCTGAGGCCGTGGGTGTCGGACCTTTCCCGACACTCTCTATTTCGGGAGTGTGGCCAACGAAGGAATTTGGTGTCGATGATGCATTTGAGGGATCCTTCCGTCTTCAAACATCGAGTATGATGCAGCCGGGGCATTACGACGTCTTTTGAGACGGCCTTTCTGTGTTGTTCGAAGTCAATCGGTGGCCAGCAAGCCCAGCTCATGTGCTGCTTGTGACTGGTCATCCCCAATCTCTTCATCCCCAGTGATTGCAATATCGCTTCCTATCGGCATCGTAGTCTTCGTAAAATCCAGTCCACACAAGGCGGTCGGCGCATTGTGGTTGATCGGTGCTGTTCGCCCCCTCGTCTGTACATCCAGGTAACGCGGCCTCCCACTGCGCCTTCGTGCGCGGTTCCCAAGGTTTTGGCATGGGCCAATCGCTGAAATGTACCAGATATGCGTTCGACGCCTCCTTCACGGGATCCCACCTGTCGTTGCCGGGTGCGAGGTACTTCTGATGATCGCTGTCGCGAAATTCTCCCGTCAGAAGTGCCAGCCGCCGGTGCGGCAAGATTGTCGCGCTGTCTTTGAACATGCTGTTCACCAAGTCCATGTCTAGCTTGCCCGACGAGAGCGAGCCTTTAACGAGCTTCTTATGCAAGCTCTCGTTCGGTTCAATGAGCATGACGTGAGAGCTCAAAACTTGCTCAGAAACCGGCGTATCGATTTCATTCAGCCAGTACGCGCGAGGCAAGGCGACGGCGGCCTTGGGTGACGAGAAGATGTGGTCCATGCTGTTCAAAACCTGGGTATCCGAATCAAACAACAAAACACGTTCGTACTCTCCGAGATCGAAAGCGTGGAACTTATTGAGGCTGTCGGCCCAGGTGGCGCTCGCTTTCGTCTTGGAGATGCGCAGATATTCGAAGGGCCGCAGCACGATTTCGGGGTACTCGACATGAACCTTACGGATCGCCTTGGCCTGTTGCGAAGTGCCGCTCGTCCAGGATTCAGGAAAAATCAGGACCATATCGTGGCTGGTACCAAGCCGCTCAAGGCGGTTGAAGTTGATGACCTGGCGTCGATGTTAGCCCATGTCTCACCCAGGAGGTACGCGTCAAGAAAACCTACCGCATTACAGAGATAGTTCAAGTCTGTTGCATATTGCGCGTAAGCGAAACGTGACCCGACGATATGGCTCGGTTCCGACGCAGACGCGAGGGAGGTCCGGCTTTCGTTATTCAGAGGTTGTGGTAGGTCCAAGACCTGATGCTCCCAGTCTAATCGATAGCTTGTCAGAAGAATGGTGGTGATGATGCCACAGGTCAGCAAAACGACACATGAGCGTCTCAGTGATGGGATGAACATGTTCGGCATGCTGTGGTCGGCATTTCAGCCATCTGAGACAAATGCATGCCGCCATGCAGCAACACGATGCGGACAGCGAGTTTATCTCTTGAATTCAGCCCAAGGGCATGGAAACACAGTTCCTGGCGGCAGGGAAGTGCCCCTCTTGGCGGCATGGCGGCATGAAGGATTTCGCAGAAAAGTCAATTATACGAGGCTAGGCCTGCCGTGACAATGGCTTGTCTACCTTAGTACCGCCTATCCCGAAGCATGTCAATTTCGACACTTTCCGTATGGCCTCAGCCAGGATTTGGGTGGTCAGCAACACCGACTGACCTCGTATCGAATGCTTGGGGCAGTGGGGCCTGCTGCTTTTTTGGGGGGCTTGGAGAGTCTTGGAGGGTCTTGGGGACTTCCTGGGCAATAACTAGCGTGCACCATACTTCGATGCCGAGTGGGCAGAGGTTGCAGGTCATCGCAATGCAATTGGCCGTAAAAGAGAATTGGGATGTCTTGGGAAAGCTCGGCTTAGTTCCTTGAGCCAGGAAGAGTCGGGATCAACCGTGGTAGACATGAGGATAGACGAAACTAAGATTGAAATGAACAGATCCATGACTCAAAGGGGGTATCCCCACCATATGTGATCCCAATTGATCTCAAGCCGCGCGAATGGAGGGCAATGGATGCCGAGATCCCAGTGCGCTCGTTCACTAAGGTGAGAGAGATCGCAGTCTGTTCCGCTTACTCCAATCAAAGTAAGTACTTCACAGATAACTGTACATGTAGCAAAGAGGACGAAACCAACGAGGAAGCGAGCCTGAACTTCTTCCACTGCAAGAATGTGTCATGACTCGACGAAGACTTCGTGGATTTCGTGAAATGCACGCTTCTGTTGCAATTGAATCACCGAAGACTTAGTAGTTAGTGTCACCATCCATGTCCAGGGTAGCGATGGATGCGAAGCTTTCTGTCAGTGTGCCGTGAGCCGAACGAAAGGCCTTACCCCTGTGCCGTGGGCTGAGTGATCTCCAGGCTAACTAGGTAGGTAGGCCGGCACGCCTGGGTTGAGGGCCCGCCGGGAGAAGGGTTCCCCCACGATACCGGATACGATATTACGGGCCTGCCATTTCCGTCGCCTTCTCCGGTGCCTTGGGACTTTGCGGCCTTGAAGGCTCGCGCTCGTGCGGTGGGAGGGGATGGTTTGTGAAAAGAAAGTGAACTTATTTAGAAAACACAAGCAGAAAAACATAAATAGTGTTCACCACTCACGACTGCTTATCTTTCTTAATATCGAGAACTTGTGCATAGCTCGTACAAGTCAAGTCGGGGTTGGTTCAGCTTCAACTGATGGCAGAGGCGGCGGCAATCTGGTTCAGCAGAGTAAGTTGCTGGATTCTCAAATCTGCTAGTTTGGGATTCGCCTCTAATGTTTTCGCTCACTTTTTGTTGCAGGAAGTCCTGTTAGGCGAAAATGCTTGGCGGCGAGTCCGCGTCCCAGAAATGAGCAGCACCGGCTCTGTTTGGTCCTGCTGCCGAGAGAAACTTGGTAAAGATACATCGTGACGGGCTGCCTACACTATGCCGGATATCCCCTCTTCTCACTCTCGGTGAAGAAGATGACCATGCGCCACAACTTCTTGACCATGTCCTCCGCTTCATCATCCAAAGCCTAAGAAAAAAATTAGCCATGAAAACTTCAAGAGGTGATGTTGATGTACATACTGGAACAAGCTCCTCAACCAACTCCGAGGGTTTGGCATGCTTGCGTAAGTGCTCCTCCACGACCTCGACCAGCAGCTCTTCTTGCACACCGAGGTACTCGACGATCTTCTTCTCGACAAACGGCCGAAGCTTCTCGCGAATGATGGCGTCGTCCAGGTAGTCCCACTGCACGGCCCAATTCCACAAACCCTCTTTCTCGGACGGAATTTCCTGTGCAAGTGCGCGAACGGCTTTGCTGATTTCTTCCTCCGTCATCTTGTCTGCAGCAGTCGTAGGCTCGAACTGGATGGGAATGAGCTGTCTCTTGGCGGTGCCATCCTGCTCCTCGTCATCGAGAAGGCCTTCCACTTCGGCAACAGTACGCCGTTGCGGAGCGGCACGCTGTGCTTGTGAACGTTGAGCAGCGGCACCAAGAGACAACTTGAAAGGCGCTGGCGCGGAGACAGTGGTTTGCTGCCTTTGCTCCATCTCTTGAGCCTGCTGGTCGAGGAACGAATCGGCCATGCCACGCGCCTTCTCCATGTCTGCCGCCTCTCTGCGCCGCTCGTCCTCCTCCGCTCTGCGGTCCGCCTCGTCTCTAGCCAGTTCGTCGGCCCTCTCAATTTGTCGTTTCTTCACCCAGGCAGCGTGGTCGCGGTAGTAAAGGTGGTTCTTTCTGGAGGCTTCGCGTTCGTCGTCCCAGGCCTTCTCTCTCTCCAACTGTTCTTGCGCCCGTCTCTCGAAGCTCTCCTCTTCTTGAATCTCGCGGTCCTTCTCTCGTTCTAGAGCTGCTGCTCGGGAGCGCTCTCGATTCACCCACTTTCGCTCTGCCTCAAGGTACATCTTCTCCTCCTCGGACTTTTGCTTGGAAAGTTCCCTTTGGTAGAGCTCTTCATCATCGGCGTCTGTGTCTTCATCCTCTCGGTTGACGGAGAAGTCGGTGTTTGAGATGCCGCCATTAACGAAAGACGTTGACCGGGTGCCATTCTGGCCCCTAGGGCCTGACGGAGCATTCGGTACACCCCGAGGGCCGACGGGGATGTTGTTGGAGTTGGATGGTGGCGGCGAGTCCAGTCTGGATGGGCGTGAAGGGCCGTTTCGGTTTCGCTCCATCTCTTCCAATTCCTCTTCGCGCTTCAGACGTTCCATGTCTCGCTTGTTACTGCGCTCTCTGAAGGCTGCGATCTCAGCAGCGACAACTTCACGCATCTCGGCAGGAATATCTGCAAGCTCATCGTCTTGTGCGAGAGGAATGTTGACAACCTCAACATTTTCGCCTGAATTGCCCATCGCGATGTCGCCTTCGCCGTCGGTCACCGCTGTCTTGGGATAAACGAGATCCCTGACCACGTTCCTCAACGCTGTCCTTGCAGCATGGACTCTCGATTCAGCTGCGCCGTCATCGCCTCTGCTCTCCTTGTAAGATTCGAGGTACTTGAGGGAGTTCGGGTCGACTGTAACCTGAAGTTTGACCATCTCGACACCGTCAAATGTGTCGTCGTCGTCGGCGGCGGAGGGAGGGGCTTCGGCAGGATTCTGGCGCTTCAGAGGGACTTTGACATCCTGCAGTATATCGACAGCGGCTGAAAAGGAGTCGGGGTCCTCGTACTGTGCAAAACCAAATTTTGTACCCTTGCCGTCCGACAGAACAGAGACCGCAGCGTCCCATCTGCGTAGTTTTCCCACAGCGTTGAGAAGCCTTTCGACGCCGTCATCGCCGCCAACGCCATCTGGGATCTTGTGGATGAACAATGTGCGTAGCTTTTCTTCATTGGTAGGTGGCACCAATGACTGCATGTGTTCTCGAGCTGCGGCTCTTGACTGGTCAAGACCACGGTCCATGCCCAGACCTGGCCGTCCACCAGTCTGCGCATTGCTGTCCTTCCTTCCCAACTCAGGGACACCCGGCTTGGCGCCTATGGTTCCCAGTCGGATGACGGGGGCGCTGAAGTTGATGTTGGGCAGGTTCGCGGGAGCTTGGAAGCTGGGCGGCAGGCCGCTTTGTCGGTTAGCTTGTGCGTTGTTGGGTTGTTGGACACCGGGAGGTGGTGCCATTCCTGGAGCGGAAGACATGCCTGGCGGAGGGCCTGAGAATCGGTCAGTATAGTATCGAGAGGGTGCTGCGTGGCGCGTCGGACCTAAACCAGGTGGGGGAGCCATGCCAGGCGCGGCATTCGATCCTGGGAAGCCGCCATAGCTCGGAGGAGGCCCGTAAGGATTTCCTGCTGAGAGTTCGGGTGAGTAGAAGTGAGTGTATGGGGCCCAGAAAGGCCTACCTCCGTACGGATTGTACGACATTGTATCAGAATCAGCGATGCTGTTGATTGAAGAATGCTTGCCAGGCTGGTCCGTCGGCGCCTGCAGGCAACTAATGGGCAAAGGCCGCCGAATTCAGGATCGCGCAAGTCGGGGGCGGTATCGTGTAGAGAGGGGTTTGTGATGATTATGCGGAATCGACTGGTGACTGGGAGCAAGTCGCAGGCAATGGCGTGGTTCTGGAGACAGGTCGAGCTTGGGTAGCTCTCGAGATTCAAAATTCGGCGCGAGGCCAACGCGCAGCAGCCTTGTAACGCGACGGGTGTCTGATTGGGTATCGCTGTGGGTCTATCGGGAGTTCGGTGTCACACTTATCCGTGTCGGCTTTTGCTCCAATCAGGTCCATCCATATGGATCTACCTAGGCCACACTCAGTAGGTACCTGATGGAAGGTGCAAGGTAAGGTACGTATCTGCCGGGCCTTCCATCCTCCCAGGAAATCTTCTCGGAGGAGCTCGCGTGGTGACAATTCGATATCCAGCGCAACTTGAGCCACACCCGAACATCGCCGTATCCTGGCCAGCCAGCCCTCAATCTCCATGTAAGATATCACTCTGGCACAATTTTCTACCTTTGGCTAACTGTCTCTCGCTCAGGGCGTCCGAGATTGGGTTCCTGGGCAGGAGACTGCTCACCTCCTGCTCCATTCGTGGGACTTGCTCACAGGCCTCACAAGCCATTCGCCAGCCGCTTTGGGCGCAGCCGCGTAACTTCTCGACCTCTGTTATCCGCTTCAACAACGAACCGTCCTCCTTCGCCTCCAAGCCTGCCACCAAGGAGCCCACCGTGCCGAACACTCCCGCCCAGACGTCGACCCCCCGCCTACCCTTCTCGAAGACGGCAGCCCCTCGCAGCAAAAAGGCCGACTCTCCTTACGCGTACGATGCCACATCTGACGGGTTCGACATAGCCAAACTCATCAATTTTGAACACGACGACTTCCTTCAAAAACACTACCCAGCGACAGCGCGCACGCCAGAGATCCGAACTCGCCCCGCGACGGGACGCACGTTCCAAGTCACTGCCGGCCGAGACTTCTTCACCGCTATCAAGACGCTCGAGATCAATGTCGCCAAAAACAGAATCAAGCGCCTGTGGCAGATGCAGAAGCGACATGAGCGTCCGGGATTGAAGCGCAAGAGACTCAAGGCTGAGAGATTCAAGAGGAGGTTTAAGGAGGGCTTCTCGGCAACCGTGAGGCGGGTGCAGGAATTGACGAACCAGGGGTGGTAGTCGGGCTGTCACGGTGGCAAGCAGTCGACGTTGGCCGGCCTCCTGGAACTGTACAACATGTAGCAATCATAGAGATCTTCCAATGCCGAAGCCCGTGTATTATGTTTCATGAGTAACGTTAATCGAATAGTCGTTGTCTTATCATCTTGACGTCTACACATCCTCCGCCTCCAGCGGTCTTCTCGAGGGCGAGGGTGCCGGACTCGTCTTGATCCTTGGCCGGCTCCTAAAAACGGCCTCCATATCCTCCACAGTCATCAACTCTTCCGCAAGGATGGACGCATCCGGGTCCAGTTGCAGCGTCTCCTCTTCTACGACTGGGAATTGGCTGCCTTCGGTCCTTGCCCGCGCGCGGGATTTCTTTAACGATCTTTGCCTATCCAACTGGGCTTTCTGGCGGGCTGCCTCGAAACCTGCCATGCTTCTCCTCGTGCGAGACATCAAGTCGTCCTCGTCCGTGATGTTGATTGTGATGTCCTCCATCGGTTTGTTTGGAGTAGAAAAGGGTTTGAGGGCCAAGGTGTCGTCATCGTCGTCATCGGGGTCGTAGCGAACACCTCGTGATGACCGTGCCATTGAGAGTCTTGTCCGCTCCGCAAGAGACAGAGTGTGACGAGGTTTCGGACGTTTGGCGGGCGAGGGCGAGGCGTTGTTGATGTCGTTGAGAATCTGATCTGCAAGTTCCTGCGTAGGCGATCGAGCCTCCGGTTCAGGTAGCGAGTCTTCGCTGTCAAACGAGACACTACGCTGCTTCAGTCGCGGAGGGCTTGGAGGTCGACTAGAAATCTTCTCCGTAGTCTCTTCATCGTCTGGCAAAGGTGGGGTGGGCGGCGGTATTGCGAGTTCGTCGTGGGTATCTGGTGGCAACACCGGTGGGCTGGGAAGAGGTCGTGGCAAGTCGGCCGCTTTCTTCATGTCGTCGGGGAGTTTGATGGACAGACGCTCGAGACGTCGTGATTGGGGTAAGGAATCCTGAATCGACGGTCGCCGTAGGCCAAGGTGAACTTGTCCCTCCTCCTCTAGCTCGCTCAGCTCCGAGATTGTTTCCTCCCCAAGGCTCTCTCTTGTTCCAGAAATACCATCCGGTCGCTCTGGGTGCCCGGATTGCCGGGTCGGGGGCGGCGGCCCCAGTAGTTGGGTAAGGTCAACCGAAGGCGCAGACCCAACTTGAGCCAACTCTCTCTCACATCCGTCCAGAAGGTCAGCATACTCCGAGGTCAGATGAGGGGTCTTCTTGGCGAGCTGTCTGCTCGAACCCATCCGATCGAGGTGAAGCTTCTCGTGTTTGTTGAACTCGAGATCTAGGCCTTGTTTTGGTTTTGCCGGCCGCGATGCCGCAGCAGGAGCTGAGGGGATCTGGCCGCCGAACATGCTATGACGGAAGTCCTGCCATTTTGCCAGTCTCTCCCTCTGTGTCTGCACGCGGCCATCCAGTTGCTCCAGCAGACCTTTGCCGTGGTCTTCCAGCTCAGAGAGGCGACCGGATTGCAGGCGTCTCCATACCCGATCGAAAGGCGCCGCTAACAAACCGTCCTTACGGGCGTTGGCGTCTCCGTAGAGCAAAGTTTCCATCCACTGCTCATTCCCAGCCCAGTTGTTACGGACCGTCCTCCAGGTATCCAATTTCAGATCGTCTGAAATGCCCCGACTCTTGGAATGTTCTCGAGCCGACTTGACCTGTTCCTTTCTCCGGACGATTCCCAGCTCTTTGGAATCGAGCAAGTCGGCAAGACGGCGATACTCCTTCCTCGCTCCGTCCTTGCGCCGCATGGCATTGGCAATCGATACCCTGTGGGCTATAGCAAGCGTGATCAGTTCGGCCCGCTCAGCGCTGTAACCACGGTTTTCCAAAGCCAGTTGCTGAGCGATTGCAGGATATTCAGACTCGGCTTCCGCAACATCGGCGACCATCTTTTTCAAGACAGCCGAGGAAAATACGGCGAGGACCTCTTCCAGTCTTTCGCCTTTGCATTCGTCTAACATGGTTTTGCGAACCACGGCGTCTCGTCCGAGGACTCCATTCTTCTTGGCTAGCTCGAGGCTTCGCAGGAGGGCAGCTCGCAGATTTAGGGACTGGACGTGTTCTCGGGGCGGGAAGAAGGGCTGAAGTTTCTAGAACAGTAATTGTCAGCAATGCCATTGGCCGTGAGTCAACAACTGCTTCACGTACATTCCGCGCTTCCTCCGGATCCCACAGCACGAACAGTTGGTAGAGGGTCCATTCGACGCAGTGAATGCGCTTCTTCTGCACGGAGAAGGTATGCGCGTCGAACCCTGGCCAATCAGGATAGGAAGGGAAGTCGAGCAGGCGAAGGTTGGTGAGAAAGACACTGAGATTGGACGTTGCAATGGGCGGTGCTGCTACTGTTGTGGTGACAGCTGCACTTGAGGAAGCCTTTGTTGATGCGCCGGCGCGCGTTTGCCGGGATCGAGCAAGCAGAGAGTTGGGCGGCAGAGTCGCCATGACGACATTTTGCTGCAGAACGGCGGGAATGTATAATCAGAGTTCAGATTTGAATCTCTCATCGGCCGAACGCCTCGAAGAAAAGGGGGACGCGCAGGTTCGACAGGGTCGGTATTGCATTGAACAGACGCCAAATGCAGGAAGCGCATTTGTTGTGTTGATTAGGTTGATGGTGGGGGGAAACAGCGGTGGAGGGATCAGCCCAGTACAGGCAGGTAGGGACAGTGTACCTTGACGCTAGGCGGTCAAGGGTCTCTGGCTGATGCCTGCCTAGGTACCAGTGACCGTGGCTCACCTTCGCTCACCTCGGTCAGTATCGGTGTAGTTGTCACCTCCTGGGATTTCCAAGTCTTTTCGCTGACCTTGTCCCATAACATTTACGCATTTTTCTCCATCCGCCATCACTTCCTCGTATTGCCCAGACTTTTTCTGATACCTGTCTGATATCAACACACCAATCCTAGTGTTTCTCACCTTCACGTATTCATACCCCGGTAAGGTACAATCAGGACCCTGTTAGAAGACCCGGCTAAGAAAGTGTCCAGTGGCACCAGCCTAAGGACATAACAGACGCCCAGTTTGCAATTCCGAGCCGGGCTGAAATGCAAAGCTTCCATATTAAATGCGATCCTGCCATTCAAAGTTACCCAGACACCGGCTACGGCGCCGGGTACCATGAAGACAAGTGAGAAACCTTTTGATTTGATTTGCAGCCCAATACAACCGTCCTCGTGGATCTCAGTGTCTATCAGTGGATGGTTATTTTGTAGTAACAATTGAGTTTTCACTCGTTAACATGATCATTTGTCCCTTCGGGCTGAATAACAAGTCCAAGACTGCAGTGCCTAAAAACCTCAAACTCCCACGCCGCCGTTATCCAGAGATGCCCTAGTCATTAGGCTGGGTTTATTGCTAACTAAGAAGGTCATACCACTGCCAATATCTTCAGGATGAGAGAAGCGATCAAGGTCACAACCTTTCTGAGTATTCGGCTCGTCAAGATAAATTGAAATCCTGAAAACTGTCAGCAAACGACTATGCGTGACCTGGCTTGCATGACTGCTCACATCCCGCTTTCTCCTGCCACTAGGTGAATCACATTGTACCGTATGTTTTATTTGATCCAATCCAACGCAAGTCCCTTTGTGGCGTTTGTTAGTCCTCACTTGCTTGCTTCATAACAGACGGGAGTTGGGCGTAGTTGGATTGCCGAAGTATTGGATATGTTGATCAATGGTCCGCCTTCTCCCCGATCAAGGAAGTATGGAATCACAACGCTCGTACTCCAGAAGCGAGATTCAAGCTTAACCCTCATGACGTGGTCGTAGTTGGTCTCGCTGGTTTCAATGCTGAGACAGGAGTTATAAATGACGCCAGCGTTGTTGACAATGATGCCAAGTTTGCCGAATGTCTTTGCAGACATGTCCAGCGCACTTTTCCAGTCTGGCTCTGCTGAAACGTCTCATTCAATGGCACCCGCGTATCCCTGAGGCTGCAAGCAGTAGTTCTCTTTGCGTTGTCGCCCATAATATCGAAAACGACGACCCTTACGCTTTCAGAAGTGAGCCTATTGACGATGCCGACTCGGAAGCCCGCACCGCCGCCAGTCACGATTATTACCTTACCCGCCGGACGTCACGGACTATGTAGCCACCGTAAGTTAACCACAGAAGATGCTGCGTAGACAAACCACGCCAAAATCCTTTCGACATTTAGCTGGAGGGTGAATGAATCTCTGCGCAAGTCTGAGGGTTCAAATGAACGGTGCGACGATGTACAGAAGTACGACTTAATCGCGGGGGTTGCAATAAAGCTCTGCCCAACTCGCATATGTACTCGTGCAGAGTTATGACTGGCCGATCAAGTTCCGTTTTATGCAATCTGAAATGTTGCAGTTACGACATAGCATGCGGAGGAAAGCGGTGTCCTGAGGGTTCCAGTGATTACATGGTCTTGAAGTCTTCCGACTTCTCATACCTGCACTAGTTGGCTACCATGACTACAGCACTACCAGGATAAACCAAAACACCCTCCTTCGCAATAATTGCTTTGACCATGAGGCCATCATGAAGTTCAGTCGCAACGACAGGAATCTCCATCTTCATGGATTCCAAGATCGCAACAGTTTGACCTGTGCTGATCCTGTCTCCCAGCTTCACCAAACTCTTCCAAACTTTACCCTGGTGAGGAGAAATAACCCCGATGCCACAGGACCCTTCCTCGCCTTCTGAGGCGGCATCTCCATCATCCTTAGTGGTCTCGGCCTTCCATTCTGTGTACAGCCTCTGTTCTCGACGTGCCATCTCCGCTGCCGCAGCTTTCTGGCGCTGATCAAACTCTTTGCCTTCAAGGGAGGATTCAATGTGAGCCTCGTTTGCAAGCTCACGCGCGCTATCAAACGTGGTGTCCTCAATAAGGGGCTCCCAGGTTCCCGACTCAAAGGCCTTCTCTATGTGAGAGTATTGCACCAGATCTACTTCGTAGAATTCCACGAGATCGAAGGGCTCACAGAGCCATGGCTGACCATCGGCGAAACCCTTCCTGAGGGAGAACGTGTCCCAGACGGGAATTGAACGCGCGATGGGCATGTAACCGCCGGGCTGGTCAGCAGGATAGATGCAAAAACTGCGGCCTCCAAGTCCAACAGTCCCTGGTGGCGTTGACGTCCTCGGGGGATTATACTTTTGAGCTGACAGCCGTACTCGAGGGTCGAGGGGTAGCATGAGTGGGAGGCCAGTCATGAACCCTACAGCAACCACCATGAAACGATGGCTGCTCAAGATACGGAAGACATCCTCTCTCTCTACCAGACCGTTATTCTCCTGGACATACTTGACGCCGTCAGGAAGGTATGACGCCTTTGAACGAATCAGTTTGGTGTACCGTTCCTCCGACTCTTTCAAGGCAGGATGATCAAATGTTATTGGCAACTTCAGAAGCCGGCACTTCATGGGAACATCTACGCGTTTGACGTCGCTGCTAGATGATTCGATGAGATTGACAATCTCTGCCTGTGAAATTAGGTTGGGGTCGAACTCTAGCAGTACGGCTACAAGTATGTTAGCACTTCAATGCGAGAAGAACGTTCCTCAATGCAACTCGAGGAGCACTAACAGCTGATGTTGATGCGGATGGAAACGTATTTCTTTGCACAGGCTTGAATGGCCGAGGCGAGGCTGTTTGCCCGCACAGAAGTTTCGAGCGTGGCATTTTGGAAGCCAAGATCCACAAGAACGGCAGTATCGCCGGCCTTATCGTGATGTCAGTGCCAGTATAGTTGCGTCTTTGGAACACCAAGAGTCAATTGGACTTACCTGACGAATTATCAAGGTTGAAGCATCTGTGGTACCCTTCACTTTCTTAAGCACAGAGCTAGTGCCATGCTCTTCCTCGTCCAAAACTAATGTCACCGGAATGATGACACCTTCAGCAAGAAACTCGCGGACTGCAGCGATGAAGTCCTTCTTCTTTCTGGCAAGCTTGCGAGACATATCGTATGTCACTGGTAAAAACCTGAAAGCGTGCCCTGGTTTGATCTGACCCAACTTCCAAAGGTCGGCTGAGGGAACAGTAGACGAGCAAAGAAACCCACCGAGATCAGGAGCATCTCTGGGAAAAATAGCCGGTGTATCACCAGTCCAGTTGACCCCGCCGGGAGAAGGATACGGGTAGTCAACTACGTTGCTTGGATGGGCGCCCGCAGCACCGCCGCTTTCACGCGCCCAGTCAACGGCAGGGCCGTCGAGCCGTATACCAGTTCTACTACAGTTATGATTGACCTTCCATATTGTCGAATAAAGATCATGCCGTCCTTTTTTGGTAATGAACTCGTCAGAATCATGAGGGCCGTGCATCACGTATATGTTGGCGACGTCGAGCGGAGGCCTCAGCTGCGCCGGCAGGCTGATCGTTTGCATGGACTCGCCAAGAGAGGGATCTGTCAGCTCAATGTAATCGCCGTGTTTCAATACGCGCCCCTTCATCATATGCCATCAGCGAATAGTACGATAGTTGGAGAGGAACGCAGAATCCTTACCTGCAGTCCTCCCAAGCCGAGACTCGGCGTTGTTGATTTGGAGCCCAACCAGTCGGCACTGCAGAATCTTGTCAGAATGTTGAGCCAACTTGAAAGATGAAAATAGAAGGTTACGTACGCTGAGGGGAAGCCTCCCTTGAATGCAATGTAGCAGCTGCATCCATGGCCGCTGACAATACCAAGCCTGAGCTTCTGGTTCGGTTGAACCTGAATACGGGACCACATGTCGACGGGCTTGCCATCTAACGTGACAGGTAACTCAGCGCCGCAGACTGATATCACAGATGTGTTGAGAAACACAAGCTCAGGGCCCATCATGATTACCTCCAAACACTCGGTATCTTCAGGGTTGCCCACGACGAGGTTAGCCACTTCGCGGAGAGCGTCAGTCATCTTCCGATATGTCGTTAACACTCCATGAGATACGTACGCGTTGCTGAGAGGTCATCCATGGGACCTCCAGTAGGAACGCCAAATCCCTTGATGTTGCGGTTGCGGGCTTGTTGGATAGTTGTATGACCACCCGGGTTCACGACTTGGAAACCGACAGGTGAGAACTTGTATTGCTCAGAAAGGAAGGTCGTAAGCGTGTGTCCTCTTCTGAAGACTTGATGATATTAGAACATGGGTGCTCCATAAACTGTCGCATTACATACCTTGGGATGAAATAACATGACGTAGAAAGGTTAGGTTATTGACAACGCCGCCAATTTTGGTATTTTGCAGCACATCAATCAAGGCCCGAACTGCCAAATTTCGATTGTCTTCATGTACCATGATCTTGCCAAGAAGAGAGTCTTAAGAGTAATTAGCCTAAAATATTTAGCAGTGTTGGTATGCTAGGTCTTGCTCTTACCGAAGTCCGAGCTGATTTGAGTACCTGCTTGGATCCAGGTATCAACTCGGGCTAGGTCATTATGAGGCCATTGAAGCTGTTGTATTAGACCAGAAGATGGAAGAAAGCCCGCGGCCGGATTCTCGCAACATATGCGCACTTCAATGGCCGCCCCAACGGGATGGTCCGTTTGAAGAGGGAGCAGCTCTTCAGTCGGAATGCCTCCAGCTCCGATCAGCTGATGATCGGCTTGCTTCAACATCAGCTCCACGATATCGACTCCATAGCATAACTCGGAAATTCCATGCTCAACCTGAAGACGCGTATTCATCTCTAGAAAGAAGTAATCGTGCGACTCATCATCCACAAGAAACTCCACAGTTCCAGCAGAACGATAATTGATGGCCTTCGTTAGAGACAAAGCGCATTCGAGTAGGTGTTTCCGCAACTCAGGCTTGTCGCTCAAATGCGGACTCGGGCATTCCTCTACCACCTTGAAACAGTTAGTTTTCACAACGAATCACAACAAGCATGTTCCGCGGGCTTCTGTACCTTCTGCAATCGTCGTTGAATACTGCACTCTCGCTCACCAAAGTGGATGACAGCGGAACCATTCCCGAAAATCTGTATGATTAATAGTTGTTCTTTCAAAATGCGTATCGCAGAACTCGAGACTTACTTGAACCTCGATGTGGTGGCATTTCGGATAATACCTCTCCAAAAAGACACCGGCATCCTTGAAAAGAGCCTGCGCTCTTCCCTTCACGTAGGAGAAACCGTTGCGTACCTCTTCTTCGGACCAGCATATTTGAGTCCCCATGCCACCACCACCGCCGGAAGCCTTCAGCATGACCTGGAGAAACGTACTTTTAGTGTATTCCGAGTCTCGGCTTATTCACTATGTACCATCCCGATTTCGTCGTGTGCTGTTCTTGTGGTTACGATGAACTTACTGGCAAACCAATGATATTCGACGCCTCAACCGCGTCATCAGGGCTGCCCAGCAGCCCAGAGCCTTTAATCACGGGAACTCCTGCGGCAATAGCAACTTCACGGGCCGTATGTTTCATACCCATAGCTTCGATTGATGTTGCATCAGGGCCAACGAAGACCATGTGATGTTCCTCTACTCTGCGAGCAAACTCGGCACTCTCGCTGAGGAAACCATAGCCTGCAAAAACTGCGTCCGCATTGTGATCTTGACAAATTTTCAAGATGTTGTCGCTAGGTGTGCTCAGTATTGACCAAGGTTATTTGACTCGTAAACGAAACATACATGTTTGAAAATGCAGCGGAACCGTCCTCTTCAAGAAGGACACTTCGAGTGGCCAGAGAAACGTGAAGGGAGCCGGAGTCGGCTGCCGTGTAAAGAGACACCGTCTCTATTCCCAATTTCTTACAAGCCCTGATGCATCGGACGGAAATTTCGCCGCGATTAGCAATAAGAACAGTCTTGAGTGCCTGCATTTTGGAGCATGTGATGAAGTCAAGTAAGAGGGGGCATTTATGACGAAAGTTAGTCCATCGCGTGAAATGGACCTGTTTGTTAGCACTTAGCAGTAGTATTTATCCGACTTGGTGCTGGAGGCAGTGACGTACAAGACGCCCAGGAGCTTATCAAACATGGTCAAGAGATAGGCATCGCATTATGATAACATTTTTGGTCCTATCTCCGGCTGAACGGAAGTTTTGGGCGACATATTTCCATTTGGAGAAGCACCTCCAATTTTGACCCCGCAAACTCTGTCTGAAAAAGAGGGGTGTGAGGTCGATCTGCGGGTTGAGTGAACCGTATCTATCCCAATACCGACCAGAGCCTGAGGCCCTGCAGCCCCCATGTTCGTGGCTTTGGAAGCTAGACTTCCAAGTTGCGGTTCATCTACGCTTCAGCCGTTGGGCGACAAGAGCTTCATGCGGGCCAAATTCACGGATACAAATGTTTAGCTAGCATGAAGTCTGAGAACGGCTAAAACTAGCCTTAATTGAATAGACGATCTACAACACTCCTGACAGCAGCAGCATTCTCCAGCGCTGCGGGGAAATCAGAGTGGACACAGATACTAAAGCTCGCCTTCGAAACGTCGCCGAATCCGAGATCAACTCGAGCGCCGTCCGGAGTGGTTACATGTCCATCTCTGACGAAGTTGGCCAACCTTTCTCCCACAACTTTGCCGTTGGCTTGCTCCCCCTTAACTGGAGCAAGATGACCAGTCGCGTCGTACTGAATATCGGGATAAAACTCGTGAACCAACGTGACACCATACTTGCTACAGACCTCCTTCATTGTGTCATGTGGTAGGCCATACAACGGAACGTCGAACTTGCTGACAGCTCTGACGACGGCGTCTCGGATCTCCTCATCGCGGTGGACGTAGAAGTATAATTGTCCATGGGGCTTGATGTGGTTGAGCTTCATTCCCTCCGCCTCCAGGATCCCGACCAATGCGCCGACTTGATAGAGCATGAGTGCATACATGTCTTCTGGGTCGATTTCCATTCTCCTTCGGCCAAAGCCAAAGAGATCTGGAAAGCCGGGATGCGCTCCGACTCGGATAACATGTTGCTTGGCCAGACGAACAGTCCGTAGCATAATGGAGGGATCGCCAGCATGAAACCCGCACGCAACGTTGGCGACATCAATGAATTTCATCAACTCCTCGTCTGGGCCCTGTTCCGAAGTCATTAGAATTGGTTAGGCCTCAATGAATGCAAGTCACTTACCATCTTCCATCTGCCAAAACCCTCTCCCATATCACAATTAACCTCGATTTGCTTCTTGGCCATATTGAAATTGGTATGCTCTGGGTGTATTGGCCCGACGTTGAACGATTTGATTCCCTGAGCTTTAAAAGTCGGGACAGCAGAGCGACCCAGGGCCAGATCGTTTTCACTGTTGGCAACGTCAGGTCGGGAACAGCGTCAATGGCCGGCTTCCCAAATGGTCTCCTTGCACAACTGCTCCACTGCTACCCCGCCTTGACTCCAAAAGAACTTCGTTATCATGTTGGAGTTTACGGCCTATCGGAAAGGGTCGGCGTCCAACACTACTCCAACGTCATGATTTGGAGGAACCGAAACCCACCGGCCGCCAAGACCACCCGCAGCGGTCACTCGCCGAGTGCAACGCCCAACCGAGCTAACAACCGGCCGGCTACCGAGTCAACAGACAAGAGAAACGAGGAACGGTGATCTACCGCAATCTTCTTCTTCTATCTCGCATTGCTACCTGCTAAGATGCAACTGCAGTTATGGTTCTTAGACCATCTCCGCCGGCGGTGTTCGCTCCTCACTCTCTGAAAGCTTTCTGACAACTACGACATCGAGCACACCCAGATTTGTATTTGATACAGTACGGAAACCACGGAATAGATACGAGTGCGGATGAACGCCAAGGAAGACTCGATTCTGAGAGGTCCGGCACGCCTCTCCGTGGGCACCGCCATTCGCTTTTGAGCAAGGGATGAAGAAGTTCTTCGCCTCAAGCATAAAATAAAAGTATTGTTTTTTCTGTCAAACTAAGAGACGGCTATCTGCATGCGGAGCTTTTCTTCATTCAATATCAACGAGGAACTGTGTTCTGAATGTAGTGTTGAAGCTGTGCTTCCCCGCGGGAACGGTGAAATATGCGTAACCATTGGCATTTCCATCCCACCTGGCACGGACCGAGGCCTGTAAATCACCCGCTGCTGGTAAACGAACCTCAGCTTGGGTGTTGCATGGAACCGTGACCTCCAATGTGAAATGGCCATCAGCCGTCTTGTTCCATTCGCTGCGTGCCTTCCCCCAACGCGTTTCAAAGGTCCCGGTAGCGGCGACCAGATCACCAATCGGTTTTGGCTGGAACACAAGATGATTCTCCCACGTGGAGCTGACTGTGTTGAGTGCATTGGGACGGATACCCGCTATTCCAGCATAGAACCATTCATCGATTTGTGCTAGAATCATGTGATTTTTGGACGAGGAGCGGTCCCAGTTTTCGCCGACCGTAGTGAAGCCATCTGGGTTGGCCGTCGTCGAAGCTAGGAAGAAGCCATAACTGGGCTTATCGTTCTCTTGTAGAGATTCCCAGAGAACATCGTCACGGCCGCTGGCGGAAAGTACTCTTATAATAGGTCCCAAACCCAAGTGACCACCGCTTAAATGAGGATTCCGATCTGTGCTTAATGGGTAGGAGCATATGAGCTCCACAAGAGCGTCAAGAACCTGCTGACGGCGGTCCTCTGGAACGAGGCCAGCATCTAATGCAAGTGCTTGTGTAGCTTGGGTAGCATTACTAGTCCCGTTATTACCAGTATTTGTGTACCGGCCACTGGCGTCATTCCAGAAAGCAGCGTTGAATGCAGCATGGATATTCTCTGCTAATGTCGTATAACGACTTGAATCGGCTTCATGTCCTGTGAGGTTGGCTATCCGGGCCATTGCTCGAGTAGTAAGATAGTAGCCCCATGTACCAGTGATGCGACCAGAGGTCGAGGCATCGTCTGCTACCCAGTCAGCCAGAGCTGCGTCGACGATGTAGCCGTCGGCCTTTTCGCGTTGTATGTAGTCGATAAAGTCGGTCATCTGGTCGTAGTACTCGGCCATGATGGTCGTGTCACCGTAGAGATCGTAGAGAAAAGATGGTACAAGAACGATCGCATTACCCCAGTTGATCTCGTCACCGAAACGACCGGTATACCCCCAGTCATAGACAGGTGTTTTGAGAGCGACGTTACCATACATTGGTGTATTTGCAACAGATTGACCTTCCACCAAGTGATGCATGCTGGTTCGCAAAAGGGCGTCAACGTGAAAATTGCGGTAGATAGCTCCCATGGGCATGGTATAGTCGGCAGGATACGACAGCTTCTCTCTTCCAGGGCAGTCAGTAAACACTGACAGTAGGTTGCTTGCGAACGAATACCGAGACATCTTATGAATCCTGTTGATGCGGCTGTTGGAAGAACTGAAGGTTCCGCTGACCGGGACATCTGTCTGCAAGCGAATGCCAGTAATCAAGTCTGGTTGTGGCTCAAAGCTGTCGGGGAGTCCAGTGACTTGAACCCATTGCATGCCGAAGTAGTTGAACTCAGGATGCCAAGTTTCTCCGCCAGCGCGCCCCGCCGTTGTGTAAGTATAGAACAAGTCGGTCCCACGGGTTCCGGGGCCCAGCGATGACTGTTCAATAGTGCCGTTGGCGTTGAGAGACTCAGCGGGCGATACCTTAACAACTACACCGGCAGGAAGCTCAGGCAGATTGATCTGGGCCCATCCGGCAAAATTCTGACCAAAGTCGAAAACCCAGATTCCAAGAGCAGGGTTGGTGACCGATACAGGCGTGATGCGTTCTTGTATTTTGACGTACTCAGCAGCTCGAGCCACTAGCTTTGTGGCGAGGTTCGGAGGCGGAGCAATCCCAGCTGAAATCCAGCCCGTCATGTTAAGGCTGGCGCCGGGAAGATCCCATCCCGGCTGCTCACGACGAGCATCGTAGTCGGAGCCAGAATACCACGCATCAAGGACAAGAGGACCAAGTGCTGTGCGCCACGATCGGTCGGTAACGATGGTATCGTTGCTTCCGCCTGCGTAGGTGATCTCTAAGCGGCCGATTAGGCGGGGGGTAACAGCAGCACCGGCCGAGGGATCTCTGGCAGCGATGTTGTTTCCGGAACCAGTTACCTTCGAACCAGCTTCATGAGAATGAAGTAAACTAGGATCGAAGGTTATGCTCAAAGTCTTGTTGTCGATACTGGCAATGGTGCGCGACTCAAGATTGTCGCCGCCCGCCGCCGTATCGATGTTGATGGTGCCGCCCAAATGGTATCCAGTGACGTTATTGAGTTGCACCGAGGTAGCTCCAGCTTGCACGCTCTGATCGAGGGTGCTGCTGCCCTTGAGTTGGCTCTGCCACCATGCGTAAGGGGCATTGCGCCCAACAGCCGGATTCGTGACATCCGAACGTATATAAGCTGGGCCATTGCCCAGGCGGACGGCGATGGAATTGAGTCCAGCGCGTAGGATAGTCTTGATGTCATAGGTGCGATATTCGCTCGACAGCTGGTAGTTGGAGTAGCCCGGGGCCAGGACCTCATCTGTGACTTGCTCTCCGTTCACGGTGGCGTGGTGAAGTCCAACTCCCGATAGATAAAAACGAGCGTCGACCACTTCCTTATCACTAGGAATGGTAAATTCCCTGAGGAAGAGGGGTAATGGTTGACTGTTGGTGCGATCGGGATAGTCAATCCAGCGGGCTTCACCCCAATCCTCCTTGCTGAGCAAACCTGTGGTCCACGTCGAGGGTTTCGACCAGCTCGAGGGGTTTCCGAGGGCATCCCAAACCCGCAGTCTCCAGGCAACTGATTCTCTGGACCCAAGACGTTTTCCAAAACGTGCATGCTGCTGGTTGGCGGCGACCTTTCCAGAGTCCCAGATCAACTTCATCGCATCGAGATCGGCAACAGTAGCGGCGGCTTGAATATTGTACGCGGTCTGTCGGTCCCCAGGGCAGACGAGATCACTGCAGCCACTTCTTTGAGAAAGTGTCCAGGCAAGTGTAGGAAGGGGGTTGCCGAGGCCCAAGGGCTCGTCAAAACGACCATCGACGCTGAGTCGAACAACTTGAACTGAACTTTCCTCCATGGCAGAAACTGCTGTTGGTAGGAGAAGAGAAGAGATAACGAAACTGAGGAGGAGTCTCATTGTGAAGCAAGCAACAACGCTCAACACTTAACAAGAAGTGTCACAAACAAAACAATCGTGAACTCTGCTTCAAAATATGGGCGTTTTCGCCGCTGTACTCTTAGATTTAACCATTATTACGAGGTTAGAACAATCGCAGTTCGCTGCATCAATCATCCGACGTGCGCCTTGTAATGAAGCTCCGAGGTCGTTTCGTGGCAAGCGTTGGCAGCCACAAACAAGATCGTTCGCTAGATCATCAGCCCGAGTGGTCCCTTGTGACCAATTCTTACTTTGAGTGACCCAGATGGTCTATTTCGCAAATGCTGGTCCTCATTGCATTTCGGACCGACTTATATGCCACCGGCTGACGAACTCGGTCCATTGTTTTCTTAGCTCCGAGACTTATGACGAGCCGGGCTAGCAGGCGGAAGAGTATGCGGGGAAGCGGGGAAGCGGAGAAGCGGAGCCCGGGAAAGCGGGGACTGTCGGGCTTCCATTTTTAGCACTACCATCACATCGAATGTTGAACAACGCCACATATCTGAGGGGTATTGGGCCAGTACACTTAAACGACAGTACTGCCGAGCCGGGCAGAAATCGTGAAGTCGGCGAATTCATTGGCGTCGTTCAGCACTTGATGGGGCGGGACAATCTCATGATACGGAGCACTCACCTGAACAATCGGCCATATGCGTCCATCTCGCGCGGAAGGTTCAGATCATCTATGGTCTTAGACGTAATGATGCAACAGCCAAAGCCATCGTGCTTAGATATTCCGGAATTCTGCGATGTAGAAGAAAGATTCAATTGATTATATTCACGATTCCCGAGGTGCAACGGAAAAGTAAAGCCCTTGGTTTGGAGCCAAGTTAGATTCTCAAAAGCAGCCGTCTTTCCATTCTAAACAGATGAATTTCTGTTGAAATCTGGTGTTTCTAGAACGGTCGCACTTGCCTTAGGGTGCAAGATATCTCGAAGCAGAAAAGAGCCAGAAGTCACGCTTCCGAGTACCTACCTACTTCGCCGATTCTATCCTCGGGGTACCTACTTTACGTGGGGACCAAAAAGAAATCAGGTAGGCACCGGGTTCTACTCCCAGCTTCACCTTCCTGTTCATTAGGTAGGTAAGGGACCAGGCACTGCACGTAAACAAATCGCTCGGAATCGTTGCACGGAACGTTCCCGTTTCAACTACATCTCTTGGGACCTCCCAGCAGCCAGCAATCCTTTACCAGCTATCTCAAACTCGGTGCCGGTCAATTGAAATTGCATACCCCCTTACGCCAGAGTCCCTCGATTTTCCGAATGGCTTCAGACTCTCCTTTAGCTGCGCGCTTGGGGAAGCGTCGGCGAGAAACATTTCCCGCGGAAGACGAACCGATCTTCTCTCCACGCCGGCGTTACGCTGAGCCTATTTTACCCACATCCACAGCTGCACGTCAGTCTAACACTCAACAAACATCGCAGAGTCCTGCTGTACGAGAAAGGCAAATGTTTGTCGATTTATCGACTTCAGAGCTCCCACAACAGCCATCGACTCCACACAGGGACAGGCGTACGTCGACAGGAAGACAGTTGTTACAGGAAAGAGACGCCAATACCTCTTATCAGGACCTTTCGATGAACCGAGCTGCCCTACAACTATGCCGTACCGATTCGACGAGCAATTCCAGTCTCGCCTCGTTGGAAAGTCGCACTTTCGAGCGCTCGAATTCCGAGAATTCGCAAGATGTATCGCCTGATTTCCGACACCCCAGCAGCCCACCTCCCTTTCGGGCTTGGGCCAACGATGCGGAACACCCTCGAAGCTCTATCAATGCTACCGCTGGAAAGTCTTCACGTCCAGAACTACCTAGGCTTTTGCCCTCAGCCTCAGCCAATTTTCCTACCAGCCCGCCACCTCGTCGCCAATTTTCACCTCCGCTGCTCAGCCCTTTCTTCCTCAGACGACGGCCTCTAAGCCAAGACAGCACGTCCTTTCCAAATATTTCTCACCACTCAAGTGGCCCATCGGGCGGAAGCAGCACGTCCTGTCTAAACGCAGTATCGACCCTCAGCAACACACCGTCAACCAACTATACTTCTGTTCCCAATTCACTGCCCCCTCTTAGTCAGGCTTCATCCTTCCGAGATCACTCCATTACCATCAGCCGGATTCCTACTAGCAGCTCAACGCCCAGTTTAGGTCTGCCACTTAACCAAGATAACCCAGTTCAGCCAACGCAACACTCAAGAATCTTGCCCAGACAAGATGTTGCTAGCCCGCCATCGCACAGCGCAATTTCAATGGGACTTCTAGCCGCCGCTCCAGCTTCACTTGCAGAAGACAATGTCCACTTCAAGGCACTCCTGGCTGTCGCAGATTCCCTAACCGCCCTTGAAAACCAGCCTTTGATGGATACCTCCACATCACAGAATCATGCTTCTGAGGGTTTGGACGCACATGTTAGGCTGGGTTTCTGGCTTGTCAGTCAATTAAGGGCCAAACAACAGGTGAAAAACTGCAACTGCGACGAGGCCGAGGACAAGACGAGACTCTTCCTTGAGTGCAAGCACGTAAGTTCCCCCTTTCGATTTCGGGTTTGAAGCTGGCATAAAAGTCTATACAATGCCTTTACTAATCAATTATACCTTTCGACAGAGGGCATGCAGATTGTGTTTCGAAACCTCGGCAATGTGCTGTGGAATCAACCAAGAAACAGTGCTTTGCTATTTTGCTGCCAAAGATACTTGTCCGGTATGCTTCGAGGACAACAATACTCTGAACGTTTTCAACTGCGGTAGGCGCCCACAAGTCACCGATTATTAACGTCCGATGATTCTATGCATTCGACTAACCCTTTCACAGGGCATGTCACTTGTGGATCGTGCTGGGAAGCCATTGAAAAGGCACAAGAGCGCAACTGTCCGTTCTGCCGTGCTTCAATAGGTTCTGGACCTGTTGCGGAATACAGCCCCGTTTGATCTTTGGGACAAGGCCCTGGATCCAGGTGGAAATTCAGGAGGGGGGAGGTATGGCGAGCTTGAAGCTCTCCCTCGCTATATCGGATTTTCAGACACTAGAGTTATCCATTTTTGTGGTTCGGGACAGACGTGTATTGGTAATGCTTACTTAGCTAAACACACAAGATTCACCATTACATCATTGGATCCGGGTGTTTCCCCCGTATCATGCTGAAGATGTATAGTCATACAGTTAGCAATGTTAGCCACTGCCTACTTTGCAGCGGTTCGATCGAAGTCTCAAGACTACTACATAATTCAGTATTATTAGTCAATGGGGTTTACTTATTAGGGTTTTAGGCGAAAAAAAACCTTCTGACTGTTGTGGTCTTGCTGATCACTCGAGCGAGCAATGAGAAACGCTGTCATGTGGCAGCTTTCCCGACCATTGCGATACTGTTTTTGTCTTTTTCTTTTTTTCTTTTGGGCGAGGCTCGCTCATCACCCTGTACTGAGAGTCGAATAATAGTTTCATAAGAAGCATAAAAGAAGTAAGCAACTCTACGTACATCCACTCGCGATCGGTATGAAAGAGTTTGATCGTGCAATCTTGTAATTGAGTTATGCTCAAGTACATTAACCAATGTTGAGTCTAAACATGATCTTGATTTCTGGGCGTCTCAGTCGGATCTACTGCTTGCCTAAGCCCATTGAATTCCACCTGGCCAGCACCTTTCTCTTGACGTGATCAGGATAGGAATGTTCAAAGTCAACATGAGTGAAATTCCGAGGTGTGTGGTACTCAGATGCTAGTAAGCAGTCTGAGACGACTTTTCCCCCACGGCGAGGTGCGTCTTTGACTTGGGACATGTACGGGGTCAACGGATGAGACCGAACATCTTCGAAGATGTACTCATCATGCCCAGGTCTACAACGTGTGCTGAAGACCCAGATAATCCTGTTCCAGTCGTATGCATCAATGTCGTCTCCCACTAGTAAGATGCGGTTGATAAGCATGCAGCTCTTATCGTTGAACGCAACTTGCCCAAGTCTTGTGCAGAATTCTTGCGATGTTGTTTTCATCTCGCGGAGTTTATGAGTATCAACCTGCAGCGCACACCAAGTTGCCAACGTTTCAACTGGAGCAAAGGCTTCTTTTATTGGCAATCCGTTTTGCTGGCAAAGTAGAAGAAGTTCTGGCGCCGCTAGTTGTGCCGTAGTATGCTTCATCGAACCAGTTATCGAACCGTACACAGCTTTAAGAGTATTGCAGGAAGGATTGACTCACAGACTCATCCACGATATATCCTGGACACGAGACTGGCAGGATGGCATGGTCCCTGTGGGTGATCGCATTCACACGAAACAATGGCCCCAATTGCTTCTCGTTGTCGAAGACTGCTGCGAGATAATCGCCAAAAGGGCCCTCAAATCCCTTGTCCACGAATGACATAGATCCTTCCAAGATGATCTCGGAACTGGCAGGAACTAACAAGTCGCTCAACTCGCATTTGACCATGTCAAGCTGCCTGCCCGTCACAGCCCCAACGTACTCGCTCTCTGACACACCTTCCGGAACAGGCATTGATGCGACGATGCTAGCCACAGGGGGAACTCCTAAAGCCAAGGCCCAAGGCATTTCTGTCCGTCCCTTTTCAAGCCATTTGTCGCGTATGATTGAGTTATGTTGTCCCGTACCAACAAGACATACCAAATGGTTTTTGTCGTGTACCATGCCTCGGAAAATTGACCAGTTTGTCCATGTCTTATCTGGAGTCTGCAGAACGTGAATACCATAGGTTTGCAAGTACTTGCCGCCATCACCGCCGTGAAGGTACGGAGCTGGTAGGGTTTCCAAGTTGATTTCATTGCCAAAAATCTTGTTTTCCTTGCAAGGCCCGCTCTGGAGAATCCTGGGTGGCAAGGGAGTAGATTTCTTCCATGAAAGAAAGCGGTGCGAAATATCTCTCCAGCTGGCAGTTGGTGGTAACCCGATGTTCCTTGCAATACGGCCA